TATTGTGAGAATCTGATGAGGAGATTTGAAATTGGAAGAATATGTTATTACACTCAAATCTTTCTTTAACATACAGAGCATACATTATACATATGTATAAAAAGTATTATACTTAATGCTAATTAATTACAAAGAATATAATAGAATATTGATAAATTGATTATTGTGATTGATGAGTAACTACACTATAACTTTTCCACCGCTTGTTACCAACCAAAGCTATCCCATTCAAGTATATCCATTTTTCAAGTACCTATAGTTTCTTTTACAGCATTTTCTCTAATCACCAAAAGCTCATAACATTTTGATTTTAAATGTAAACCTGACGTTATGATTATAGATAGATTTGTGTGAGTTTTGTGGACCAGACAGTTGAGACCCATAAATTACGGGCCCATCCAATGAGGTCCAGGATTGTAAGTATCGGTACATTAAGGTCCAACATTTCTAGTGACCATAATTTGTCATGTGATCAAATCTAATAAAAGTTGAATTTATTTGTCCGACAACCAATTTAGTAATTACAATATATTTATATCTGTGTGAATGCTTATATATATAAATTAGATTTTTCACCGATAAAATAACCGAAATACGTACCAAAAATACATTAACTGTAATTTTTAGATGTAGTTTCTATAAAAAAGTGACTAACAAACAATATATTTTTGTATGTTTGCAGATGTTGCTAAAAATATACGATATTCTAGGACGCACATTGTCTAATCCAATAATACATGCTGATTGCTCACCAATAATTTAATATTTATACTAGTATTCTGATTACGAAAGGTTTGGCAAATTTCACGTTATACCGTTGCAAATGTTGTTAATCATTTCAGAATACTAACTTTATCACAAAAATGAAAAGAAGTCATTATAGGACAAACACCAGGTAGTGCATCCTGATTGGTTGTGCGTCTTTCAGATAAATAATACCTTATTTAAACCTTAAAATCTTTTTTTTAATACAAATTTTATGATTTATTCATCCTCACCTAACACCATCACATATATACAAATATATATCATGTGATTGCTTTTGAAAAAACAAAACTATTTTTATATTTTAAATTTTGATTTTTCTTAACCATTTTGTAGATATCTTTCATACTTTTGTGAACGATTTTGTTATCAATATCTTTAAAATTCACCGACGTTGCAACAACAGCCAAATGCTTCTATATAAAGATACACTTAACACTTTGCGACCTTTACTCAAAACACAACAAACGAAGTAACTAGTATAAAGAAACAATCATGAAGCCTACCGTAGACCTCGCATTCATCTTTCTCGTGGTCGCTTTCGCCGCACCCATTCTAGCTCGTCCAGACGGTCATGTCAAGGACTCTGTAGGCCGTATACTTCGTCCTGGTCAAACCTACTACATCGTACCTACGACTCTTGAGACAGGAGGAGGTCTCTTTTCCAACAGTGAAGAGATCTGTCCCATGGACATCCTCCAGTCGAAGAATCCACTTGACTTGGGGTTACCCATCAAAGTTAACTCTGAGCTATGGTTTGTTAAGGAATTGAAAAATGTCACCATCGAGTTTGAGGCTGCAAACTGGTTTTTGTGTCCTGAAGAATCCAAAGGGTGGAGAGTCGCATACTCTACAGAATTCAAAAAGAGTCTTATAATAAGCACTGGTGGTGGTTCATCAAACCCAAGTGTGTTCCAGATCCATCGAGTCGAAGGAGATGCTTACAAGATTGTGTATTGTACGACTATGTCGCCTACTACGTGCACGAACGTTGGCATATTCACTGATATCTCTGGTGTACGACGCTTAGCCCTGACCAACGACGAGGCTCTGCTAGTTAAGTTCCAGAAGGCTCATGATGAACCAGCAAAATCTGATTTGAAAACTAAGTTGAGGATGTTCCCTTACTAGTAATTAACAACTTGTAACAGAAGTGCCAAAAAATGCCCTCTTGAATAATGGTTGGGACAACACCAACAATATATATATATATATATATATATATATATATATATATATATATATATATATATATATTTGTGTGTGTGTGTGATCAGTGTTTCATTTGCGTTGATTTGGTTTGCTTTTATTTTTTCTTTTCACTACGTGTGTTTGGTTTGCTTAAGAAGCATGCTTGTTAAATGACATAAAAATCCGCTTTGTCTTTTTGACAGTTTTGTAAAATAAATGTTTATTTTCTTCTATACTTGGTCTCGGAACAAAATGTAAATTCTGAGCTAAGAAAAAAAGTGCCAAAGAAATGGCATCTTGAGTCATGCATGGTTGAGAGTTGAGACAATACCCAACGACGACTTGTTGGGTTTGCCATCATGTGTGCTTGTTTGTTAAAGGATCATCTCATACGTGTTACTCATGATAGTAAATCATATAGAAATAGTCAGTGCCGTCCCTAATAACTGAGAGGCTTCAAGCAAACTAAAATTTTGGGGCCTTATATTTTTTCTATATATTAATCTAAAATAAATATTTCTACTATATTATCTAATTTTCTTTATGATTTTTGTTTATATTTAATTTCACAATCATATACTTTTAACTTATAAAAAATGAATCAACTTAATTATTCAAGTATTTCAGGTTATATAAATGAAAACATTATATTACTATGGTTTTTCATAACAACTAAAAATACTAACACCATTTATAATACCATTGTGTAAAACATTATGAAAAAAATATGAAATAGTAAAATGAAAAGGTTTAAGTAGCCTATATATTTAATTTTAATATTATTAGATTAGTGAAAAATATTTGTTAATGATTAAATGATAAAAATAAGAAAAAAAAATTAAAAATCATCTAACATGAAACCAATTATGAAGTGAAAAAGCACAAATATTCAAAAATATAATACAAATCACAATATTAATTGAACTGTGTGAATTAGTGACAATAGAAATGGAATTAATACACTACTCTTACTTATGTTATCAGATTTCTAAGTGTGGTCTCTAAATTACAAAATAAAATTGTGGCTTAAAGTACATGCTTTATCTGCCTTAAGGCAGGGACGGGCCTGGAAATAGTGACAAAAAATAATGCGTCCATTGGTTAGTGAAAACATGGCCATTGTAAGACAAAGAAGGATCTCAAACCTAAATAAAACCAATCATGCATGATGAAAATCAACACATATTAACTCTCTGTTTCATAATAAATACTGTATTGTTATAGAATTTTTTCCCTCTTCTATATACCTACTTTTTTACGTAGATTTTTACACAACATTTAAGTTTTAGTTATATTATTTCAAGTTCTTAATGGGAAAATTTAACTTATAATTGTATGTAAAAGAATGATATAATAGAAACTAAAATCTATTTAAAAAAAATATGTGTAAAAACTTTAACAACCACATTCATAATGGAATGGAAATAGTAAAAGATGTAAATATTTTCATTCATTGTCAATATTGATTCTAAATTTGAATCACAATACTGATGAATCATCATAACTTGGAGTCAAATGGGTGCGATAGAAAAGATAAGATCAAATTAAACGAGACAGGCTTTTAGTAATAATCAATAACTAAAGAGAGCTCGCGAAACACAATACTGGCATAACCATTTATTAGTAGATAAACAAACAATATCGGAAGGTGACTGGAAAGTGAAAATATATAGTGTAAAGATGATGATGCAGTTGTACGTACGTATATAAAATTGAATACCAAGAGTTGACTAATACATAGATCATCCGTGTATAAATACTGATTACATCAACTCAGATGATCTTCATATCCATTAACATTTGAAGCTAATAGTATCCAAAAAAAAGAAAAACAAGAAAGCAAAGATGATGAAGCCTAAGTTTTACTACTTTCTTATTGCCTTAACCGTGCTTGTAGCAGCCGAGTTCGACGTACCCGTTGTGGACATCGGAGGTAAAAACGTAATCGGCGGCCGGAGTTACTACTTTGTCCCCGCCGTCCCTGGCAAAGGAGGTGGCTTAGGTCTCGCCGGGCGCGGTGACAAGAAGTGTCCTCTTGAGATCGTGCAGGAATCTTCGGAAGGCAACGACGGCATTCCCGTAAAATTCTCCGAATGGTGGAGTCACCTGGGCTACGTTCCCGAAGCAGAGTTACTTCGCATCGAGATGGACATCGGGGACGTGATCTGCTGCCAGCAAACGTACTGGGGGTTCAGTGACTTCGACATGAAGACGATGAAGTCTTTCGTGAAGGCTGGTCCGAGGAGAAATGGGACGACGGATACTTTCATATTGCGTAAATCGGGACAAGGTTACAGGTTTCAGTGGTGCCCTAGTATTGATTTAGCAGGTAGCACCAAACGTTACAGCTCCAGCTGCGAACATCTCGGGATATTCGTGGATGATAAGGGCGTTCGGCGTTTGACTTTCAGCGAAGAGATAGAGCCTTTAGTGGTTAAGTTTAAGAAGTATGAAATACCTCCAGCTTATTTGTCTAAGGCTATATGATGCAAAAAGATCAGATTACTTGTTTATCACTTCAATTCCCATAATAAAATGCCCTCTCTTCCTTTTCCTTAAGCATATACTACTATATTACGTACAATTAGAAGTAGGCATACTTTATAACCAGAGCCGAATTTATCGAAAGAAAAAAAAACGCTAATTTAATCACCAAAAATAATGCAATGTTAAATGAACATTATAGGCAAAGTCCATCAAAGATGTGTTCTCGCTTAGGTCCCTCTCCCTCCGTCAGAGTCTTTGCCAACAAATGTTTTCTTGGAAAGTCTCCATTAAATTTACAAAATGTTCGTTACCACAAAGATTTTGAGAGGCTAAAAAAACGTGTAGATTGACAGAGAATATTCCTTCTTGATGGAATGAAAAAGACCTAAAGAACGAGACAAACTTCAATTATTATGTGATTACAAATTCATTTCAATCGTTCGTATTTTTTTTCCATTTTGTTACATAAACTTTACATATACTGCATAAAAAAAGGACAAGCTAATCTACACACGACACAGCACAAGAGACTTCCAAAACTACTCACCCCAACGAAGATGCTTACTCTGTCTTTCATCACTCTCACCGTCCTCTCAGTCTCAGCCGCCTTGACCGCAGCTTCAGCGGCCGATGCTGTACCGAACCAAGTTGTACTAGACACAGCAGGACATCCGGTTCAGTCCAATGTCCAATACTACATCATACCGGCAAAAACGGGAACCGGAGGTGGTCTTATCCCTTCAAGCCGAAACTCAAACACACAAGACTCGTGTCTGAATCTCGTCATTGCACAGTCTTCCTCCCCATTCGTCTCAGGCCTTCCCGTAACTTTCTCTCCACTCAACACCAAAACCAAGCTCGTCCAGCTCTCAACTAGTCTCAGCCTCGAGTTTGGTTCTACGGTTTGGTTATGCCCTGAATCAAAAGTGTGGAGAATCAACCACTCTGTGCAATTGAGAAAGAGCTTTGTAAGCACTGGTGGTGAGAAAGGTAAAGGACATAGCTGGTTTCAGATTCAGAAAGATGGAGATGCTTACAAGCTTATGTATTGTCCGATTATCGCTTCTGTTTCGTGTATCAACGTTGATTTGGAGGTTGATGGTCTTGGAGTTCGACGTTTGGTTCTTAGCAATGACCAATCTTTTGCTGTTAAGTTTCACAAGGCTTATGATGATTCAAACTCCAACTGTAATCTTAAGTCTAATTCGAGGATGTTCCCGTTTTTCTAATGTAAAACTCTTTGTACGTTGTAACGGATTTGAGAATTCTTGTGGACAATATGTAAACCAACAGTTTGTATGAAATAAAAGCTTCCTTGGTTATTTGGGTTAATTAAATATATTATGAACTATTGGGTCGAATATGAGAAAACTTGAAAATATTAGTCAATTGTTGATAATAAACCTTTGGGCTCAATATGAGAAAACATGAAAATATTGGTTAATTATTAATAACCCCAAAACTATGTTGTATTTTACTCTGATGCCCTTCATTGTGAGGAAGCCGATGCATATGGAAGTGGTCGAGAGAGTTAATTCGGCGGCGCGTGTGGGAGTTGAGAAAATGGGCGAGGAGGAAGCAAGTAAAGGAGAAGAGACGGTGGAGGAGATACGACGGATGAGTGGTTACGGCGGAGATGTAATAGCCGTCGGTGGGTTTCCGGCTCCGGAGACAGAGTGTAGCTATGAATCGGAATCTGATTCGGATTTGGCGGCGGCGGAGATTATGATTGTATGGGGTATTCAAGGTCCGACTTCTTTTGCTCCCAACGCCTTAGTTTCTCAGTCTTCTCTTGAGCTCCGTCTTGACGCTTGTGGCCACTCACTCTCTATTCTCCAGTCTCCTTGTTCACTGGTAAACTCCTCAGTTTCTCTGTTTCTAGTCTCTGTTAAAAAATGTAACCTTTACGGTTTATCAAGATCAATTTTGCGGATTTCCGGATCCATATTGAGCCCTTTCAAATGTATTGAAACAGGGGAGGTTGTAGAAGAGAATGTGTTTGTTTAATTTTCTCTCGTGGATGCATTAGAAGATAACTCCCCTGTATGTTAGAAGATGATTCTGTGAAACATTCAGCTTGTGTTAGTAGCTTCAGCATAACATTGAAGAAAGTGATTGAATTTGATTGTTTATTGCATTGGTTCCTGAGACTTGTTTGAACAAATCTGACGAGTGTTTCGTTTGTGTATGTGAAGAGCACGCCTGGAGTAACCGGGTCAGTGATGTGGGACAGTGGAGTGGTGCTTGGAAAGTTCTTAGAACATTCTGTTGATTCCAAGGATCTTTCTCTTGACGGCAAGAAAATCGTTGAGTTGGGTTCTGGTTGTGGTTTAGTTGGGTGAGCAAAAAGTTTAAACCTTTCTCCTCCTTGAATTACCATTAACTCCGTGAGGACAGTGTGAAACATTTAGTGACTTTGTTCTTTCAGTTGTATTGCAGCACTTTTGGGAGGCAGTGTTGTCCTCACTGATCTTCCAGATAGACTGAGGCTACTCAAGAAGAACATTCAAACGAATCTGCACCGTGGGAACACGCGAGGATCTGCCGCCGTGGAGGAGCTTGTTTGGGGAGATGACCCGGATCCAGATTTAATTGAACCGTTCCCTGATTACGGTACGATGTTTATCTCCAGTTTTCATCGCATCCACTTTTGCTTTGTACACACCCATTTTTTCACACCTTTTGTCGTCTATGCACTTGAAGTATTAGGCTCGGATGTTATATACAGCGAAGAAGCTGTTCACCATTTGATCAAAACGCTTCTGCAACTTTGCGGCGACCAAACTACAATCTTCCTAGCTGGAGAGCTACGGAATGGTGAATTTCATTCTCTCTTTGTTGCTTTCAATCACGTTATATAACAAGAGCATAATGTCTAATTTTGCTTGCTCATTCTTTTTGGTCAGATGCTGTTCTTGAGTATTTCTTAGAATCTGCGCTGAAAGATTTTGCGATCGGGCGTGTGGAGCAAACGCAATGGCATCCGGATTATCGCAGCCGTAGGGTGGTGCTTTACGTTCTTGAGAAGAAGTCGAAGAGAGGACTCGCTGATCACTCTTCGCTTAATCAATCTTGTTAGTCAGTCATTGAAGTTTTGTTTGTTTACAGTGTATGATGACGACGTATCACTAAACGTATTGAAATCAGAATGTTATAAAAAAAAAAAATTACTTTATGTTCAAGAAACTTGTTTTTATGCTCGCGAAAAGCGCGTTGGACAAGAAATTGTGATTATAATATTCATTGATCAAAGTGTTATATATATGTATCAGGCTTTGCCTTCAGGTGTTGAACATATTGTAGAAGATAAAATGTGTTTGTTCGTTTGTCTCTTGCAGTGAGCTTTTCAATGTGTTTAACAGTGAAGACGAATGAACATGGGCAAGAAGAGGACAGTCTCAGATATAACAAGTTATAACGTATGCGTTAAGCTTTCAATTAAATGAATGCTATCAAAGATTAGAAAAATCCATTACCATGTGAGCCCAGACCAAGAGAGTCTAACGTACGTATAATAATGGTAAATGATTTGTTTGTATGCTCGTGAAAGGCGAAGGACAATAAACTAGTAATTCTTGTATTATCTTAACGTTATTTTATATACGGGTTTGAAGATCAGGCACGAAATTTTCCTATTAAAATAGCGTGACAGAGTCAGAGTGGTGGGTAAGCGACTTTTCTTATTGGTTTAAAATCCAATAACTGCCCCAGACCATACAGGCATTGACTTTTTTAGAAAGACCAATGATGGCTAATGACTACGTTTCCTCTGTTCTGAAATCGTTGCTTCTGCTTCTTCAACTTGTCTTGTTGAGCCAGCTTGCTGGTTCTGCCTCTATCGTCAAGTTTCTTCCTGGTTTTGATGGCCCTCTTCCTTTTGAGCTCGAAACCGGGTTTGTTTGTTTGTCTTCTCTTCTTGTGATTTAAATGCTAATCCTGAGTTTGGAGATGATCTAAGTAGGTCTATATATGTTTCTTGCGGATGAAGGTACATTGGTGTTGGTGAGAAGGAGGAAGTGCAATTGTTCTACTACTTCATCAAGTCTGAGAGGAACCCAAAAGAAGACCCTCTCCTTCTCTGGTTCAGTGGAGGACCTGGCTGCTCCTCCATCTCTGGCCTTCTTTTTGAAAATGGTTGAGATCTAGAGCATTTATTTTTTGTAACACGTTTTTTTCTGCGTTTCTTGATTTACACATTTCCGTTCAACAGGGCCTCTGGCTATGAAGCTTGATGTTTACAATGGAACTCTTTCTTCCTTGGTCTCTACTTCATATTCATGGACAAAGGTAACACACAAAAAGTGTATATTCACTATTCACATGATAATCACAAAACCCTATGATCTAATTTATGATCATTTTTTTAATCAGACTTCGAGCATAATATTCTTGGATCAGCCTGTTGGAACCGGCTTCTCCTACTCAAGAACTCACCTTGTGAATAAACCCAGTGATTCAGGAGAAGCCAAACGGATCCATGAGTTTCTTCAAAAGGTAAATGACAATCTTAAGTTATTGTCTCTTGAAGCAGAGGTTCTCTTTGGATAGAGGCATTTAGGAGCTTTTATTTATTTTCTTGTTGTTGCTGTACAGTGGCTAGGGGAACATCAAGAGTATTCCTCCAACCTTTTCTATGTCGCCGGAGATTCTTATTCCGGTAAGGTTGTTCCGGCCCTTGTTCAAGAAATCTCAAAAGGTATGTTTTTTTGTGATATCAATACCCCAAACCCTTTTCTCAAATTTCAATCCATTATGAAAACGGAAGAAACATGATATGATGCAGGAAATTACCAATGCTGCAAACCTCCAATAAATCTTCAGGTTAAATATTTGTTGCTTCTTATAAATTACATTGACAAAGCACTTAAAACTGATATGTTTCGTCCTTGGTACACTGAGCAACAACAGGGTTATGTGCTGGGTAACCCAGTAACAGAGTTTGAAACTGACACTAACTCACGCATTCCATTCGCTCATGGAATGGCACTGATCTCTGATGAGCTTTACGTGGTATGAAACCATCTAAGACATTTGATTTTGGCCGGTTCTTGTCCCCAACCATGAAAAGCAAATAAACAAGCAGTTCAAATTGAAACCCTATTTTCTTTTCTTGGCAGTCACTCAAGAGAATCTGCAATGGGAAGTATGAAAATGTTGATCCACGTAACACAGATTGCTTGAAACTCGTTGAAGAATATCATAAGGTACACACACACACACACACTCTCTTGGAATTTTTATATATTGATGATGATCTTGTGTCTACCTACTAAAAGACCATCACTAAATTCTGACCTCTTGTGCTTATTTTATTTTAGTGTACAGATAGAATATGCCTACTTCTTATATCAATGCCATTTTGCGTAACAGACACTCCAAATTGCTATGTAAGTAACCCCTCTTGGCATTGACAAAAAAAAAAGAAACATATATTTACAAGTTTGCTATTTGCAGATTTATCGGTATTTGCTATCTACCTACTGGGCCAATGATGAAACCGTACGCAAAGCTCTTCAAATCAAAGAGGTATATATATGAAGGAATTTATGGTAAAGTAACAGTTTCAAGGGCTATAAGAAGAATGATATTGCAGGAGAGTATAGGGGAATGGGTACGGTGTAATTGGGATATCCCTTACACTCGTGACATTGTAAATAGTGTACCTTACCATAAGAATAATAGCATCAGTGGCTATCGTTCTCTCATCTTCAGGTCACAGTTTTTAATCTTTTGCTGACACTACCAAAAGATTATGAAGCCTTTTGTAAACTTGTGCGGTTTTTGGTGAACAGTGGTGATCACGATATGGCAGTACCTTTCCTTGGAACTCAAGCTTGGATACGATCTCTCAACTATTCGGTTGTTGATGAATGGAGGCCATGGATGATCAAAGATCAAGTCGCTGGGTACATACTAACCTTTTCTTCTTCATTACTTCTATCAGACTCACCTTATAAATTTCTCTTGGCTCTTCTTCTTCATCACAGATACACAACGACTTATGCCAACAAAATGACATTTGCTACTGTCAAAGCAAGTTTTTTCCCACTCAACAATTTTTGTTGCGGCTTTTAAATTGTATTTTTATTAATTGAGTTGTGGATTTTGAATATAGGGAGGTGGGCACACAGCAGAGTATAAACCAGCGGAAAACTTTATCATGTTCCAGAGGTGGATCAATGGCCATCCTCTGTAAAAGAGGAGTATAATGGACAAGAAACTATCAAAGTATGTTACATATTTATCATATATTCTCTCCCTTTTTTATTAGATAATATTTTAGAGATATGTATACAGATTAAAAAATCATTTAATTCTTTATTTTTCTAAACAAAACATATTTTTTCGTCAATTCCAAACAGTTCAACCAATACAAAATAGGATTCAGAATTCAAACAGCCAAAACAACAAAAACACAATTAATTTTTGCATAGAAAGTTGAAAACATCATATATTTTAGAACAAAAAATAAACTATAAAACATCATCTAATAAAAAATAGAGAGAGTATATAACATGGCTTTGCCTTTGAGTGACCTGAATTTTAAAAAATCATAATTTGTTAATGTAAGTGAATGTTGCTGTTCTAGCTTGGTACATTTGCATTTCACTTCTTTTCTGGAAAAACAGTCAAGAAAATTTGATTTTTTTTTTGTTTACAGCAAAAACTCGAGTGATTAAACATTTGGTGTGAAAACGCTCTCTTGATGAGAGAAAGAGTCAATCTACTACAGAGCATGCCACGTGTCCAGTTGATTGGCCTTCCCCTTCTTAATGTGTTTTAAGCAAACGTTAAGCTTTCAATTAAATGGATGCTATAAAAAATTAGAAAAATCCCTTACCATGTGAGCCCAGACCAAGAGAGTCAAAAGTACATATAAATTTGGTAATTTTGATTTGTTTTAATGCTCGTGAAAGGCAAGGACAATTAACTAGTAATTTTGTATTATCTTAACGTTGGTTTGAAGATTAGGCACGAAATTTTCCCATTAAAAAAGTGTGACATGTACTGTTAACGTTGCCGTCATGAAGCTTCTAAAGTTGTAAGACAGAGAGTGGGTGGGCGACTTTTTTTCATCTTCTTCTAAGATTCAATAATTGTCCATACAGGCATTGACTTTTTCAGAAACTGAGAAAGACCAATGATGGCTAATGACTACGTTTCCTCTGTTCTAAAACCGTTGCTTCTGCTTCTTCAACTTGTCTTGTTGAGTCAGCTTGCTGATTCTGCCTCTGTCGTCAAGTTTCTTCCTGGTTTTGATGGCCCTCTTCCCTTTGAGCTCGAAACCGGGTTTGTTTGTCTTCTCTTCTTGTTATTTAGTTAAACCCATGTTTGGATATTATCTATAGGTTTCTTGTGGGTGAAGGTACATTGGTGTTGGTGAGGAAGAAGAAGTGCAATTGTTCTACTACTTCATAAAGTCTGAGAGGAACCCAAAAGAAGATCCTCTTCTTCTCTGGCTAAGTGGAGGACCTGGCTGCTCTTCCATCTCTGGCCTCCTTTTTGAGAATGGTTGAGATCTAAAAGACATATTTCTTCTTTATTATTGCCTTCTTCTGCGTTTCTTGATTTACACATTTCCGTTCAACAGGGCCTCTTACTATGAAGCTTGATGTTTACAATGGAACTCTCCCTTCTTTGGTCCCTACTACATATTCATGGACAAAGGTAACACAAAAAGAGTGTATTCTCTATTCATATGGTGATCACGAAAACCCAATGATCTTATATTGTTGACCATTTTCCTCAGACTTCGAGCATGATATTCTTGGATCAGCCTGTTGGAACTGGCTTCTCCTACTCAAGAACTCAACAGTTTAATAAACCCAGTGATTCAGGAGAAGCCAAACGTATCCATGAGTTTCTTCAGAAGGTTAAATGACAAGCTTAATAATTAATTGTCTCTTGAAGACATTTAGGAGCTTTATTTCTTTTGTTGTTGTTATTGTGCAGTGGCTAGACGAGCATCAAGAGTTTTCCTCCAACCCTTTCTATGTCGCCGGAAATTCTTACTCCGGTAAGGTTATTCCGGCCCTCGTTCAAGAAATCTCGAAAGGTATGTTTCTTGGTGATATCAATACGGCAATACCTTTAAAACCCTTTTTCTCAATCAAATTATAATAACGGAAGAAACATGATGATGCAGGAAATTATCAATGCTGCAAACCTCCAATAAATCTTCAGGTTAAATATTTGTTTGCTTCTTAGAAATTGTCAAATGCTAAAAACGTGATATGTTTCGTCTATTGTACACTTACCAACAACGTAACAGGGCTATGTGCTCGGTAACCCGGTAACAGAGTTTGAAACTGACGTTAACTCACGCATTCCATTTGCTCATGGAATGGCACTGATCTCTGATGAGCTCTACGAGGTATGATTATGAAACCATCTAAGACATTGAAAAGCAAATAAACAAGCAAACTCAAACTGAAACCCTATTTTCTTTTCTTGGCAGTCGCTCAAGAGAGTATGCAAAGGAAAATATTTAAATGCTGATCCACGTAACACAGAATGCTTGAAACTCGTTGAGGAATATCATAAGGTACACACACACTGACACACACACACACACACTCGTGACCTTGTGTCTGCCTAGTAAAAGAACAATCACTAAATCCAGGCTTCTTCTTGTGCTTATTTATTTTAGTGTACATTATACATATATCTCATATCAATACCAGTGTGCGAAACTGATACTCCAGATTGCTATGTAAGTAAATCCTTCTTGCGCCCTGTTTACTGTTAAACCATTGAGAGAGAGAAACAAAAAAAAAGCACAAGAAGAAGCTTGAATCAATTATGTATATGCAATTTTGCTTTTTTTAAAGAAATATCGGTATTTGCTGTCTACGTACTGGGTCAATGATGCAACCGTACGCAAAGCTCTTCAAATCAATGAGGTATATGAGAATTTTATGTCAAGATTTTTGGTAAAGAAACAATGTTAAGGGATATAAGAAGAAATGATATTGCAGAAGAGTATAGAGGAATGGGTACGATGTAAGTGGGATATCCCTTACACTCCTGACATAACAAGTAGCGTACCTTACCATAAGAATAACAGCATAAATGGCTATCGTTCTCTCATCTTCAGGTCAGAGTTTTTAATCATTTTCTCATCTTATTTTCTCCATACTCAAAGACTTTTTGTAAACTTACTGCGGTTTTTTGGTGAACAGTGGTGATCACGATTTGGCAGCACCTTTCCTTGGAACCCAAGCTTGGATAAGATCTCTCAACTATTCGGTTGTTGACGAATGGAGGCCATGGATGATCAAAGATCAAGTCGCTGGGTACATACTGACTTTTTCTTTTTCATTCTTTTTATGATAAAACTTTTATCAGACTCACTTATAAATTTCTCCCGGCTCTTCTTCTTCATCACAGATACACAAGGACTTATGCCAACAAAATGACATTTGCTACTGTCAAAGCAAGTTTTTTCACACTAAACAATTTTATTGCGGATTTTAACTTGTATTTTTTTTATTAATTGAGTTGTGGATTTTGATTATAGGGAAGTGGCCACACGCCAGAGTATAAACCAGATGAAAGCTTTATCATGTTCCAAAGGTGGATCAATGGCTAACCTTTGTAAAAGAAGATTGTGGACTTTGCGTATATAATGGACAAGAAATTGTGATTCTGCTATTCATTCTTTCAAAGTGTGTCACATATTCAAAGTACACACCTTCATCACATGTGTAACTTGAATTAAAATTTCATAATTTCTTAATGTAAGCAACACGAGTGTTGCTGTTCTAGCTTGGTACATTGTGCATTTCACTTCTTTTATGGAAAACTGTAATTGATTTTTGTTTTTACTTTATTATTTACAGCAAAGCTCAATTGAAAAAAAAGGATCATCACACTGGTGTGAACACGTTTCACTCTAATTTGATACAAATATGACATCTGGATCTGATACAAATATGTTTTTAATATAATTTTCTTTAGAAAAATTTCTTCAGACGTATTTAATCTAAATTTTTGTTCCATATATACACTAACACTCTAAAAAATTCTTTTCATAATATTTTATACCATATTAATCTTAGTTAGATAAAACATTAGTTAATAAAAAGAAAAAAAATAATGTATAAATAATGTATCAATGGCCAAGACTAATCTGAAATTCGAATGATTGTTTTGTTGAGGATCGCTTTTCTCATTTGATTATGATTTGTGATTATGAATCTCTTAGATCTTTGGAGTTTTTTTGATCGAAAAGTGATTTCAGGATTTAAAGCTCATAATCATATAATGATAGATAGATCTGATATAATTGGGTGAAAAACTCAAAAAACCGAGCTAAAACAACAATAATAGTGAAAAAAAAGAAATCAGTGGAAATTAGAGTTTGGAATATCGCAGATGTGAGAAAGGAGATGAGCGTAAATTTATGAAGATATTCTAAAGTTTTAGGAAGACTTTCATAAAATGTATAAATTAAGGAAGTCATACATATGTTTAGAAATGCCTTTGTAAATCGTATAATTGATTATTATTTTTGTTAATTTATACAACTCAAATTCAAGAAGCTCTTCCAGAAAACCTTTGTAAATCGTATAATTGATTATTATTTTTGTTAATTTATATAACTCAAATTCAAGAAGCTCTTCCAGAAAGTCTTTCCACAATTCATGAAACTCTTCCACAATTCAGAAAGCTCTTCCACAATTCAGGAAATTTTAAAAAATTTCGGAAAGCTTTCCTAAATTATATGAAACGATGTTAAATTCTAATATTTAGAAGACCTTCCTAAAAAATCACGCAACATTAACAGAAAAATAAACATTTAGAAAGACATTCCTAAAGGATAAAATCAGAAAACTCAAATGAAAAATGTTAGGAGTTAAAAAATTTTAGATTATATTTGTCCTGAAAACTTATTTTCAGTGTAACTATGGAAATTACCTTTTTTATATATATATTCATACATTGAAAATATAAAAAAAAATCAAATATTACCAATTAAATATATATATATTATATTTATTTTTTTATTTAATTTTTGATAATTAAATACTATTATTTTAATTTATTTTAGTCGGATCTCTAGATCTGTATCCTAAAATTTCAAGGTATCGTGTCTAACTCTAATAAAAAGCACGAGGCTGGTTAATAAAGAAAGCTCGTGAAGCACATACTTATTTTAAATTAGTAAAATTGACCCATAGAAAAAAAACAAACAAACAATTAATTAGCGAAAGGTGCTTCGGAAGTGGAATCTGTATTATATTTATACATCATCTTCTCAACGTGTACAATTTCTTGAATTTTAGAGAACTTGATAAAACAATTAAATTAAGTGATTTTTTTTATTTTATCAAATACCATTTTTGCAAAACATTTTCGAAAAAAGAACAAGTAATTAACGGTGTTGTTTTGTAAGCAATTTTATCATTCAATTTTTCAATACCTAATACAGAGACTTTTTAAAACTAGCTATCTACAGTATACGGTGATCATATATAATCTTATTCGTCAACCAACGGTCAATGCCAAAAGCTAAAACCCTATCTCCCCATTAGAAAGAAATAAACAAATAAATTAATGAAACGTGTTAGGAAAGTGGAGTATACAAAAAAAAATACTATTATTTAGAAAGATGGCATCTTTTCAAATCTCAATGTGTTTGCTTAATATTTAAGTTAATAATTCGAAACCTAAATAAGCGTAGCGTATACAAAGTTGTATATGTGCATGTATACACATCCGTGTATAAATACCGATCACAGTAGCTCACATTTTCCTCATCCAGTAACATTCAACTCAAATCGACTACATAAACCCAAAAAAGCATTAAGCATGAATCCAATGTTTTACTTCCTTCTTGCCTTAACCGCTGTTTTGGCCGCGACCGCTAACGCCGGCGGGCCAGTTCTCGACGTTAATGGTGTTCCCATATTCGGCGGCAGTTACTACGTTCTCCCCGTCATCTTCGGCGCTGCAGGTGGGGGTCTGACTCTCGTCGGCCGTCGTGGCGCGTCATGTCCCCTCTATGTCGGGCAGGAATCTTCAGAGGTAAACAAGGGCATTCCCGTAAGATTCTCAAACTGGAGGTCTAGAGTTGGGTTCGTCCCCGAATCAGAGAACCTCAACATCGAGATGGACGTCAAAGCTACGATCTGCGTCCAGTCAACCTACTGGTGGGTCGCTCCGTCCGACAGGGACACTAGGACGTGGGTCATAGCGGCTGGCCGGAAGCCAGAACCTGGAGAAGAGTCTTCGAAGAGTTTCTTCCAGATCAAGAGAACTGGAGGTTTTCTTAGCAGTTACAAGATTGCGTTTTGTCCTAACGGTAACAATTGCATCGATGTCGGGGTATATGAGGACGAAAATGGTGTTCGGCGTTTGGTTTTAGGCTCTACTCCATTCCCGGTTGTGTTCGTGAAAGCTGCTGAGACAGAGACTTCGTCCAAGACTATGTCTATTATCTGAGTGAAAAGACTACAAAATTAAGAGGATGATAAGAGTTATAACTTAAGACTAAGAATAAAAACTCTATCTGTGCTGTTTGCTTTGTTCATCTTATCTGAAATAAAACATATTTCCTTTGTTGTTTTCCTTTTTAATACTCTCTATTAAAATAATAAAATCAAATACTACCAATTATTTTACATTGAAATAAAAAATAATAATTTTCATTATTAAAAGTAAAAAATAATTCGAATAATTGTCAAATTAAATATATATATATGTATATTAATATATATATATAATTTTTGTTTAATTTTTTTAATAATTATATAATATTATTTTAATTTGAAGATCTATAGATCTGTATCCTGAAATTTCAAGGTATCGTGTCTAACTCTAATAAAAACTCTCAGAGCACGAGGCTGATTAATAAAGAAACCTCGTGAAGCACATATTTGTTTTATGATTAGTAAAATTGACCCATATAAAAAATAATTAATTAGCGAAAGGTGCTTGGAAAGTGGAATCTGTATTGTATTTATACACCATCTTCTCAACGTGTCCATTTCTTAATTTTTAGAGAACTGGATGAAACAATAATTAAAAGAATTTATTTTTTATCAAATACTCCATCTGTTTTTTTATTAGATGAAGATGTTTTAGAATTTTCTTTTTCAAAATATATGATATTTTCAAATTTTTATGTAAAAATTAATTATATTTTTATTGTTTTGACTGTTTGAATTTTAAATTATATTTTTTTTATTGGTTAAATTATTTTAGAATTGATAAAAAATATGTTTAAAAAAAAAATTTCTTAATCTCTGTGCAGATTTATAAAACATCATCTAATAAAAAATAGAAGAAATACCACTTTTGCAAAACATTTTGGAAAAAGAATAAGTAATTAACGGTGTTGTGTTTGGAAGAAAAAATATCATTAAAAAATTTCAAACATTAACATGTGTCCGGCTAAACCTTTTCTACGTATACAATTTTCTTCTTAGTGACTTTAGATGCTTGGAATGGCTCAGAGGAAGACTGGCTTCGATCGTTCCTTATCTTTCAATCATGAATCTCTATAGCTGAAGTTTCGTGCTCATATACAGTCAGCTACTTTTTTTGCTATATTTAAAAGGTACAAAATAAAATGAACAAAACACTGTCCAAATTAACCATTTACATTCAAGCGTTCAAAAAATCAACCATCCAATATAACCATTTACCATCTACAATCACACCAATTACCACCCATCATTCCCAAAACCCAAATTAACCATCCACCATCCACCATCCACATTTTCACCATTTTCACCATATTATCCATAAATTTAGTAAATATCATCCATCGTCTACAAACTTATTATATATCATAAAATGATAACTTTTTTTATCAATTGTTTAATTCACTTTATTAGAACAAACCGGAACATATTATTTCTTGATTTGGTTTTTGTATGATAAATTAAAATTTATTCTAAAAATTAAATTAAATTAAAAGTAATTATGATATTTAACATATAGAAAAGTATCTGTTTAGCAATATTTCAATATCAGAAGTATATCTTTAAATTATACCTTTAAAAATATAAACCCACTTATTTTTCCATTTTTCATAATAAAGAAAAAAAACATGAACCAGTATTATCTAACTCGTTTAACCCTATTAATTAGGTAGCCATAGAACTAGGATTATATGTATATTTAGAGCATGATTAATGGACAGTTTTTGAAGAGTTTTAAAGAAGAAAGAAAAAGAAAAAAAGAATAAAAAATGAGCTGGTAAGACCACCTCTAACACTAGGTTCTTATTATACTATCTAATTATTAAAATATTCAAAATAATGATAAAGAAGGAAAGAGAGAAAAAAATAATAGTAAAAAAAGAAAAAAAGAGAGAGACAGTCTCTGAAATCAGATACTTTAGAATCGGGTTTCATTTTAAATTTGTCTAATCCTTTAATATTTAAAGTTAAATTATTTTATTAAATTATATTAATTTAATATGTTAAACTACTCAATTTAAGAGTCTTTAGCGTTAGAGATGCTCTAAGATTGAAGAAGGGGATCGACTCTCTGCACACAGCTTGTGGAAGCGACTCTTCTGGGATGTGGCAATATGTGATTGACCAACTTTTTTTCTTTTCTTTTTTTTAAGAAAAACCAATATTTTTTAATAATAAAAAAATTTAAAGATCCTCTCCTCTCAGCTCTCCAATAATCATGTTCTAAGGGCAATAAAAGAATTTTCACAATTTAAAATTACCTAATGCAGAGACTTTTAAAAACTACTACTAAACTTCCCACCCTCAAAAATTAATCACACGATCAGAATCTATTTAAAACACAAGGCAAAAAAAAAAGACTTCTATACTATAAGTATAGCTTTGGTATCTTTCATTTTTTTTTAACCTTATTTATTTCTTTCTTTCATCCACCTCAAAAGAGTTATTTTTGGAAATTTCAATTTAAAACATAAGGAAGAACAACAAAAGAAAAAAACAAAGCGATAAACAAATATACTAGGAACTCATGTGAAGCTGTGAAGATAGGAAAAAGCTTGATTTTATTTTTTTGCATTGGTATCTTTTTTTTTTCAAACTATGATAGATTTAGTATCCTAGACCAATCCCAATGCACACATCAACGGATTTAAAAAAGTGTTCTAAAGAATAAAAATGAATAAAAAAATAAAACAGGTGTCTTAATATTAAGATCGAGATCCAAAATTGGATCTTTTGTTTGATTTAAGAACAGTGATGTGTTCTCTTATCATTGGTTGGCTAAAACAAAACAATAAAAAAAAAAATAAAAAAAATTTTCAAATCATTTTTCCGTCTCTCTCTTTGTCTTCGTCTCTCTTTGTCTTTCCTCTTCCTCTTCCTCTTTGCATGCGATCGAATCAGCGCCTAAAAATATTGAAGAATGAAAAGGATACACAGATTATACAATTGAACTAATTCTCTCCTCAATTACTCGAGTCCGGGCAAATTCGAGCAAGTAACCAAGTGAATTCTTTTCATTTGTCTGCATTTGAAATTGATGATCTTTGGATTTGGTAAACCAAAATCTGCGATTAATTAGTATTTTCAAACGCATCAATGAGTCTGTATTTCACTCATGGATTTGGATTTCTTTCTGAGGTGGAGCATGTGGTGAGAGAAGAGAAGACAGTGGCTGCTTATGTTTCCGTCGATATCAGACAAATCTCGGTACTCCGTCACTTCTGGAATTTTCCAGATCAATACCGGAGTTTCTACGTTTCAGCGGCTCGTCAACACACTCGGTACTCCCAAGGACACGCCGGAGCTCCGGGAGAAGCTGTAAGTTGAAGAAACCGAAATTCTTAATGTCGTTTTTAAGTTTCGATTCTAATTGATTTGTGGGATTCGATTTATTTCGGATTGAAATTGTTTAATTGGTGTAGGCACAAGACACAATTGCATATTGGTGTGAATGATCATCAAAGCGGTGTGAATGTTAGTAAAGTGAAACTTTTCTTCTTGATTGGTGTTTTTTTTTATGTGAATCTTCTTAATATTGTGTTGTGATGATGACGATGATAATGATGATAGTTCTTGGTTGGTTCGTGTTTGTGTAGCCAAGTAAGAAGATTGCAGATGCTAAGCTTGCAAAGGACTTTCAAGCTGTGTTGAAAGAGTTTCAGAAAGCTCAACAAACAGCTGCTGAAAGAGAAACAGCTTATACTCCTTTCGTGCCTCCACCCGCCACTTCTTCTAGGTAACGATTGTTCTCATGGTTTCATTTTACATTCAGCTCAGTTCTGAATCAAGAATGGGAATTGCATGTGTGGTAGTCTAAAAGCAAAAGCATTATTTTTTGATCTTATAGAACAACATTCGAAGAACAAGCAGAGAAGGTTTGGTATTGATCGTTTTAATGTTTTAAGAGCTACATTCAATTCTTTGAGGTTGACGTTTCAATTTCTTTAACACCATTTTAGATAAAGTTGTCTGATTTTGATTTCTACCAGATCTGCCTATTCGTTCGTGCTCATCAGCTTTTATCTCTGATCATTAATTTTTTTTTACCACTTTCCTCAGCTCTTTATTTGTTGGAAATAATTGAATTTTGTATTGATATCTCCTCCCTGCAACGACTTTCATTTTTCTTTTGCTAGATGCTTTCTCTTGTCTTGTGGATCTTCATCATTTTGCTCTTCTCTGTCTTCAAGATCTCTCTGTTTTTATTCACTTTATTTGATTGCTATTTTTTCTGGGTTACAACATTACTTTTTAATCCATATTTTTTGATAAATGCTACTTTATCTTTTATATCACTGAACCGATTACTTTCGATGATGGATTATGCTACTCAACTTGCTGTGTAGACGTGAAATTGACAGGACTTAGCTTTGTTTATTTGCTTGTGGAATTCACAAACTTTAGCTTTTTCTTCTTGCAGGTTTTTAAATTTACCAACTTACTCAGTTTAGACGGCATCTTGCTCTCTTGAGAATGGGAAAGACTCCTGAAAAATGGATCAAGACTTTGCTTCTCGGGAAGAAGTCGCCAAAGTCGAATTCAGAAAACGGAAGCGAGAAGCTGGTAAGCATATGGGATTTCTATGTAACTACTAATTTGAAAATGTTTCTAGAAGCAACTAAAACTACTAATTTCTATATATCTATATATTTTATTTTGAAAATATTTTATGTTGTAAAAGTTGTTAACATAAGTTTTAATTTAAGTTTATTAATTTTTTTTTTTTAAGACACCTATCAAAGTGTCTCCATTATATAATTAAAAACAACCAAATTTTGCAAAGTGTCTTAAATATCTAAATATTATAAATTAGTCATTAAGACTCTTCCCAATGGTATTACCATTGGGGTTGCTCTTACTTGTTTAAATTAACCTTGCGTGTATCCCACTATCCCTATCTTCTAAACACTTGCACTCATTTCACAGACAAATCGAAAAATATTTTCAAATATATTTACAGAGCCTAAATTGAATATATAAATATAATATGCAGCGGGTTGAACTATTCAACGTGCCAATTTCGAACTAAACCAGATTGAACAGAGAAAATTAACAGAAACTAAGCTTTTAGTTGTTTTCATTTAGTTTATAATCTTATTCGTAAACCAACGGGTAAAACCAAGCTAAAACTCTAATCTCCCCATAAGAAATAAATAAACAAATTAATTAAAGAAACGTGTAAGGAAAGTGGAGTATAAAAACAAAATCATTTTAAGAAAGATGCCATCTTTTCGAATATCAATGTGTAATTCCTTAATTTTAAAGTTAATAATTCGGAACCTAAGCACATCCGTGTATAAATACCGATCACAGTAGCTCACATTTTCTTCATCCAGTAGCATTCAAATCAAATCGACTACATAAACCTAAAAAATCATGAATCCAATTTTTTACTTCCTTCTTGCCTTAACCGCTGTTTTGGCCTCGACCGCAAACGCTGGTGGGCCAGTTCTCGACGTTAATGGTAATTTCATATTCAGCGGCAGTTACTACGTTCTCCCCGTCATCTTCGGCGCTGCAGGTGGCGGTCTGACGCTCGCCCCCCGTGGAGACAAGCCATGTCCCCTCTATGTCGTGCAGGATACTTTAGAGGTGAACAAGGGCATTCCCGTAAGATTCTTAAACTGGAGGTCTAGAGTTGGGTTCGTTCCCGAATCAGAGAACCTCAACATCGAGATGGACGTCAAAGCTACGGTCTGCGCCCAGTCAGCCTACTGGTGGGTCGTTCCGTCCGACAGGGACACTAGGACGTGGGTCATTGCGGCTGGCCGGAAGCCAGAAGCTGAAGAAAAGTCGTCGAGGAGTTTCTTCCAGATCAAGAAAAGTGGAGGTTTTCCTAACGGTTACAATATTGTGTTTTGTCCTAGCGGTAACGATTGCATGAATGTCGGGGTATCTGTGGACGAAAATGGTGTTCGGCGTTTGGCTTTAAGCTCTAGGCCATTCCCGGTTGTGTTCGCCAAAGCTACTAAGCCAAAGACTCCGTCGAAGACTATGTCTATTATCTGAGAGAAAAGACTACAAAATCAAGAGGATAATAAGAGTTGTAACTAAAGACTAATAATAAAAACTCTTATCTGTGTTTCTCTGTCTGCTTTGTTCATTTTATCTGTAATAAAACATATCTCCTTTGTTGTTTTCCTTTTTAATACTCTCCCTAGCTTAAGATTCAAATAAATTGGAAACTTAACAGAAACGTTTTCTGTTTTTGAACGGCAGCATATATAATAGATTATCTAACACCAATGCAGCACAAAACTGGTTCATGCGATCGAATAATTTTGCTAAAACAAATGAAAATTAAACTACAGTAAAATAATAAAATCAAATACTACCAATTATTTTGCAAAGTTCAGTATATATGTAGAGAGAAACAAAAGGAGTAGTTCCGATCCGATGAAATTAAGTTGGATTTCTGGTGAGTAATATGCATGAAGGCCTTTTGTAAAAAAAAAAAAAAATGTATGAAGAAGGTATGTGTAAAATTGTAGACGAACAAAAGGAGCGACCAACAATCCTCGTAAATGACGGATGTCTCTTTTTTATTTTTTTAAAAATCACACGAGGAGTGAACAAATAATAAATTAAAGACCGTCTACATTAATCAAAATACGCTGGTATTACCGTATTATTATCATTTATCCGCATCTCTAAAATATTTAGCCACGTCGCGGAGATCCAAAAACCTTTCAGTAAGTTTTATCTGTCATGGAGAACTTAAACTGCATATAATATATTCGGGAGGAAACACCTAACATGCCATGTGCGGACCATGCACGAACCAAGTGTTGACTACTAATCGAAAATTTGTATTCAGGCCCACTCGACGTTTGGCTTTAAGCTTTAAGCCGTTTTCTTGGTTATGTTCAAGAAAGCTAATATGACAGAGGGTTCCTCCATAGCTATGTCTATGTGACTATGTGAGACTGAGGAAAAAATGGCGAATGCTACATGCGGAAGAAGAGGACAATCTCACGTATATAATAAATTTTAACGTTTACGTTAAGCTTGAACTTAATGGATGCTATCAAAGATTAGAAAAATATCTTACGTACATTATTGCGAGCCCAGACCAACAGAGTCTAAACGTAAATATAAAATTAGTAATTTTGATTTGTTTAATGCTCGTGAAAGGCGAGGGACAAATAACTAGTAATTCTTGTATTATTATGTCAATGTTATTTTCCTATTAAAAAAAGTGTGACATTTTTTTTTTCTTTCCTTCTAAGATTCAATAATTGCCCATACAGGCGTTGACTTTCAGAAACTGAGAAAGACCAGTGATGGCTAATGATGACTACGTTTCCTCTGTTCTGAAATCGTTGCTTCTGCGTCTTCAACTTGTCTTGTTGAGCAGCTTGCTGGTTCTGCCTCTATCGTCAAGTTTCTTCCTGGTTTTGATGGCCCTCTTCCTTTTGAGCTCGAAACCGGGTTTGTTTGTCTTCCCTTCTTGTAATTTAATTCAAATCCATGTTATCTAAGTAAGTTATTATTGTTTCTTGTGGATGAAGGTACATTGGTGTTGGTGAGAAGCAGGAAGTGCAATTGTTCTACTACTTCATCAAGTCTGAGAGGAACCCAAAAGAAGATCCTCTTCTTCTCTTGTTCAATGGAGGACCTGGCTGCTCTTCCATCTCTGGCCTCCTTTTTGGGAATGGTGAAATAAATAAAAAACCATTGGAAAATTCGTTTGACATGCGTCTTTGATTACTCAGCTTTAATGCTAAATTTGAATTCCATGAGCAGGGCCTCTGACTATGAAGCTTGATGTTTACAATGGAACTCTCCCTTCTCTGGTCCCTACTACATATTCATGGACAAAGGTAACACACAAAAAGTGTATATTCACTATTCACATGATGATCACAAACCCATATGATCTAATTTTCGATCATTTTTTTTTAATCAGACTTCGAGCATAATATTCTTGGACCAGCCTGTTGGAACTGGCTTCTCTTACTCAAGAACTCAACTGTTTAATAAACCCAGTGATTCAGGAGAAGCCAAACGGATCCATGAGTTTCTTCAGAAGGTTAAATGACAATCTTGTCTCTTGAAGCAGAGGTTGTTTTTGCATAGAGACATTTAGGAGCTTTATTTCTTTTGTTGTTGTTGTTGTTGCTGTACAGTGGCTAGGCGAGCATCAAGAGTATTCCTCCAACCCTTTCTATGTCACCGGAGATTCTTATTCCGGTATGGTTGCTCCTGCCCTTGTTCAAGAAATCTCAAAAGGTATGTTTTTTTTTGTGTGTGATAATAATCCCCTAAACCCTTTTCTCAATCAATTCTAATAACAATGGAAGAAACATGATGATGCAGGAAACTATCAATGCTGCAAACCTCCAATAAATCTTCAGGTTCATGATTCGTATATGTTGCCTCTTATGAAATTTACATTGACAAGCACTTAAAAACTGATATTCTTAGCTCTTGACCAACAACAGGGCTACGTGCTGGGTAATCCGATAACTGAATCTGAAACTCACACTAACTCACGCATTCCATTTGCTCATGGAATGGCACTGATCTCTGATGAGCTCTACGAGGTAATGATACTCTCTAAGACATTTGCTTTTGTTTCTTGTCCCCGACGATGAAAAGCAAGCACTTCAAACTGAAACACTATCTTCTTTTCTTGGCAGTCGCTCAAGAGAGTCTGCAAAGGAAAATATGAAAATGTTGATCCACATAACACCGAATGCTTGAGACTCGTTGAAGAATATCATAAGGTACACACACACACACTCTCTTTACACTTTTACCTGATGATGATCTTGTATCTTCCTAGTAAAACACCTTCACTAAATTCACACTTCTTCTTGTGCTTATATCTTTTTTAGTGTACAGATAGAATATACCTATTTCTTATATCAATTCCATCGTACGAAACAGACACTCCGAATTGCTATGTCAGTAATCCCTCTTGCCCCCTTCTGTTTACCGTTAAAACCATCGAGAAAAACAGAAGTATATACATGTACAAGTTTGCCTTTTGCAGACTTATCGGTATTCGCTAGCTACCTATTGGGCCAATGACAAAGCCGTACGCAAAGCTCTTCAAATCAATGAGGTATATGAATGAGAATTTTATTTCAAGATTTATGGCAAAGAAACAATGTCAAGGGCTATAAAAAGAAATGTCACTGCAGGAGAGTATAGGGAAATGGGTACGATGTGATTTCCATATTCCTTACACTTATGACATTATAAGTAGCGTACCTTACCATAAGAATAACAGCATTAAGGGCTATCGTTCTCTCATCTTCAGGTCTTTAAACTTTTGATGATATTATTATTTCTCCCTACAAAAAGATTCTCAAGACTTCTTTTGTAAACTTATTGCGGTTTTTGGTGAACAGTGGTGATCACGATATGGGAGTACCTTTCCTTGGAACTCAAGCTTGGATAAGATCTCTTAACTATTCCGTTATTGATGACTGGAGACCATGGATGATCAAAGATCAAGTCGCTGGGTATATACTAACCTTTTCTTCTTCATTCCTTCTATCAGATTCACCTTATAAATTTCTATTGCCTCTTCTTCTTCTTCATCAACAGATATACAAGGACTTATGCCAATAAAATGACATTTGCTACTGTCAAAGCAAGTTTTTTCCCACTCAACAACAATTTTACTGCGGCTTTTAATTTAACTTGTATTTTGATTAATTGAGCTGTGTGGGTTATGAATATAGGGAAGTGGGCACACGCCAGAGTATAAACCAGAGGAAAGCTTTATCATGTTCCAGAGGTGGATCAATGGCCAACCTCTGTAAAAGAGGAGACTGGCCTTTACGTATATATAATGGACAAGAAAAGTTGTGATATTAATATTTATTCTATCAAAGTATGTTACATATTCATCATATATATAACATGGCTTAGCCTTTGAGTGACCTGAATTAAAAAAATTCATCATTTGTTAATGTAAGTGAACGTTGCTGTTCTAGCTTGGTACATTTGCATTTCACTTCTTTTCAGGAAAACAGTCAAGAAAACTTGATTTGATTTTTTTTTTTTTGCAGCAAAAACTCGATTGATTAAACATTTGATGTGAATAAATTTTTGGTACTTATGGATATCTTTGTGGGCATTAATCTACTATCGTAGAATGGTTCTCTCCAAGAAATGTCACATCATCATGTTTAGAGCATGCCACGTGTCCAGTTGATTGGCCTTCCCTTTCTTAATGGGTTTTAATGTAGACGGTTTTTTTTTTAAAACGCTTGATTAATAGTATTGATTTAAGCACTTAGAAAAATGATACCAGTGGGCATTTTACAAAGTTTGAGTAAACAAGGACTCATAAAAAAAAGCAAACAAAATAATTTGCTAGAGAAATAGAGAAAAAGACAGACGGTATACATCAAGATTAAAATACACAATTCCATTATTGGATGAATTAAATGGATGCTATCAAAGATTAGAAAAATCCCTTACCATGTGAGTCCAGTCTAACGCACATATAAAATTTGGTAATTTTGATTTGTTTATATGCTCGTGAAAGGCCAAGGACAATTAACTAGTAATTCTTGCATTGTTAACGTTGCCGTCATGAAGCTTCCAAAACTGTAAGACGGACAGTGGGTAGGCGACTTTTTTCTTCTTCTTTTAAGACGAAAAAAGAAGAAACTGAGAGTAGCAAATACACAGGTATTGACTTTTTCAGAAACTGAGAAAGACCAATGATGGCTAATGACTACGTTTCCTCTGTTCTAAAACCGTTGCTTCTGCTTCTTCAACTTGTCTTGTTGAGTCAGCTTGCTGATTCTGCCTCTGTCGTCAAGTTTCTTCCTGGTTTTGATGGCCCTCTTCCCTTTGAGCTCGAAACCGGGTTTGTTTCTCTTCTCTTCTTGTTATTTAGTTAAATACATGTTTGGATATTATCCAAATATAGGTTTCTTGTGGGTGAAGGTACATTGGTGTTGGTGAGGAAGAAAAAGTGCAATTGTTCTACTACTTCATCAAGTCTGAGAGGAACCCAAAAGAGGATCCTCTTCTTCTCTGGTTCACTGGAGGACCTGGCTGCTCTTCCATCTCTGGCATTCTCTTTGAGAATGGTTGAAATCTAAATCATTTCTTCTTTTTTAACTCGTTCGTCTGCATCTCTTGATTACTCATTTCAGTTCAACAGGGCCTCTGGCTTTGAAGCTTGATGTTTACAACGGAACTCTCCCTTCCTTGGTTTCCACTACATATTCATGGACAAAGGTAACACCCAAAAAGTGTACATTCACTATGCATATGATGATCACAATACCAAATGATCATTCTTGATGATTTTTTTTTTTTATCAGACTTCAAGCATAATATTCTTGGACCAGCCTGTTGGAACTGGCTTCTCTTACTCAAGAACTCACCTTTTTAATAAACCCAGTGATTCAGGAGAAGCCAAACGGATCCACGAGTTTGTTCAGAAGGTAAATGACAAGCTTGTCTCGTAGGTTCTTTTTGCATAGAGACATTTAGGAGCTTTATTTCTTTTGTTCTTGTTGTTGCTGTACAGTGGCTAGACGAGCATCAAGAGTTTTCCTCCAACCCTTTCTATGTCGCCGGAGATTCTTATTCCGGTATGGTTGTTCCGGCCCTTGTTCAGGAAATCTCAAAAGGTATGTTTCTCTTTTGTGATATCAATACGGCAATACCCTTAAAACCCTTTTTCTCAATCAATTATAACAACGGAAGAAACATGATGATGCAGGAAATTATCAATGCTGCAAACCTCCAATAAATCTTCAGGTTCATGATCCTTATTGTTGCTTCTTATAAATTAATCAATGCTAAAAACTGATAATTTTTAGACCATAATTTTTAGACAAAATTTGATACTCTTCCCCTCCCAACAACAGGGCTATGTTCTAGGTAACCCGCTAACAGAATTTGAAACTGACTTTAACCACCGCATTCCATTTGCTCATGGAATGGGACTGATCTCTGATGAGCTCTTCGAGGTATGAAACATCAAGACGTTTTGCTTTTGTTTCCTGTCCCGACAATGAAACTCTATTTTCTTTGCAGTCGCTGAAGAGAACCTGCAAAGGAAAATACGAAAATGTTGATCCACGTAACACAGAATGCTTGAAACTCGTTGAGGAATATCATAAGGTACACACACACGCACTCGTGGAATTTTTACTTGATGCTGATCTTGTGTCTGCCTTGTAAAAGATCATCACTAAATTCAGACTTCTTGTCCTTGTTTTTTTTAGTGTACGGATGGAATATTCCCATATTTCATATCATTACCATTTTGCAAAACAGAAACTCCAAATTGCTATGTAAGTAAATCCCTCTTGCCCTCTGTTTACCATCAAACCATTGAGGAAAAACAAAAGATATAATTGCTTTTTTTTGTAGATTTATCGGTATTTGCTAGCTACCTATTGGGCCAATGACGAAGGCGTACGCAAAGCTCTTCAAATCAATGAGGTATAAATGACAATTTATTTTAAGGTTTATGGTAAAGAAACAATGTCAAAGGCTATAAGAAGAACTGATATTGCAGGAGAGTATAGGGGAATGGGTACGATGTAACTGGGATATGCCTTACACTTATGACATTATTAGTAGTATACCTTACCATAAGAATAACAGCATAAATGGCTATCGTTCTCTCATCTTCAGGTCAGAGTTCAATATTTTTTGCTTCCTACAAAAGATTCTCAATAATTTTTTTAAAAAAAACTTTGAGTGGTTTTTGGTGAACAGTGGTGATCACGATATGGCAGTATCTTTCCTTGGAACCCAAGCTTGGATCAGATCCCTCAACTATTCCGTTGTTGATGAATGGAGGCCATGGATGATGAAAGATCAAGTCGCTGGGTATATACTGAGTTTTTCTTCTTCGTTCTTTCTTTGAGACTCACACTGAGATTACTCTTTGATTCTTCTTCATCACAGATACACAAGGACTTATGCAAATAAAATGACATTTGCTACTGTCAAAGCAAGTTTTTTTCCCACTCAACAATTTTATTGCGGCCTTTAAATTGTATTTTTCTTAATTGAGTTGTGGGTTTGGATTACAGGGAGGCGGGCACACAGCAGAGTTCAAACCAGAGGAAAGCTTTATCATGTTCCAAAGGTGGATCAATGGCCAACCTTTGTAAAAGAAAAATTTGTGATATTAATATTCATGCTATCAAAGTGTGTTGCATATTCAAACTACACACCTATATATATATATTAACATATAACATGGCTTGATCTTTGAGTGATTTCAGGGATTAAAAATCCATAATGTAAGTCACAGCTCTAGTAATTTGGTACACTTGCATTTCACTTATTTTTTGGAAAATAGTCAAGAAATTTTGATTTCTCTTTTTTTTCTTTCTTTGTTACAGCCAAAACTCGATTGATTAAACACTTGGTATAATAAACACGCTCACTTGATTGAGGACCAAAAAGAGAATGTGCTTGTGGTTTTTTCGCGATACGATCCACACAATACAACGTAAAATTAAACATTAATACAATGTAAAATCAAACGAATAGAAAAAAAGTAGAAAAAGAAAAAATTCCAACAATTAGTTCCAGAAATCAGAGGAACAATTGTTGTAAGTACAAACAGTTAGTTACAATTTGAATGATCATAAATGTTTTGTTTCTGCTAATAAATAAAACAAATTAGTGGAGAGCTACTAATTTTCGATGTCAGTTACCACTTGTTTGATCATATGGAATGGCTCAGAGGAAGAGTGGCTTCGATCATTCATATCTTTCAATCGTAACGTTTACCTGAAGTGTCTCGTACTATATAGCCAGCTACTTTTTTTGCTAAATTTTAAAACTACAAAATAAGATGAACAAGAACACAATCCACAATTACCATTTGCTACCAAGCTTTTAAAAAATTAACCATCCAATTTCGCCATTTACCATCTACAATCTCACCATTTACCACTCATCATATTCCCAAACCCCAAATTCACCATCCACCATCCAGAAACTTACCATCCATCATCCACATTTTCACCATTTACACCATCCATAAACTCAGTAAATATTCTTGCATCGTGCATTGATTGTTCATGGTAATTTGATTGCTGAAAATGTCCTCATCGCTTATGATGGAGAAAAGCTGATCCCAAAGATTGGAGGTTTCGGTTGTGCATCAGAGCAACCTGATGGAAGTCTGGGATATTTTCGCCATGAACAATCAAATTACCATGCCATCCAGCTTTAAAAAAAACCAACCATCCAATTTCACCATTTACCATCTACAATCTCACCATTTACCACCCATCATATTCCCAAACTCCAAATTCACCATCCACCATCCAGAAACTGACCATCCATCATCTACATTTTGTCAATTGTTTCATTCTTCTTCATTTAAAAATTCGAAACATATTATTTCTTTATTGATTTTTGTATGATAAATCAAAACCTTATTATAAAAATAAAAGGTAATAATGAAATTTAAGCCACGTCGCGAGATCCAAAAACCTTTCAATGTAGGTTTGATAAAGCTTGGTCTGTAAAGAAGAAATTAAATTGCATATAATAATACGGCGCAGCATACGAATTCATGAATCTTTGGAAAACCAATTTGCTCAATTAAAGGATTCAAAAAATCATCTGAATACCGGTTTCTTATTTTGATAAATTTAATATAATTAAGAATAAGGTATATAAAGAGAAATCTTTCTGTTTATCAATTATTAAAAGCTGTCTTTTTACCGTAAAACTCACGACTACATACAGTAAGTATATCGTAAACGAGAAATCGGGAACCCTAACCGTAAAATATAACGCTAAGAGTTCATGAAAAGTCTGAACGTATATAAGCTAGCCCATAAAATATTATAAGTTATTACATGAAGATATATATAACTTGAGCATCGTGACAACAAAAAAGTGCGATTGACGGACGATCCGCTGCATCAATATATCCCGGCTGAAACATCTAAACATGACCATGTGCGAACCACGATTCAAGTATGTGTTAAAAGCACATTCAGATCACGATGTTGATAAATAAATAGGGCTCGTGAAGCACGTACCCATTTTATTTATTTAGTAAAGTTGACCAATAATAGATAAATACAAACAAACACTTTAGCGAAAGGTGCTTGGAAAGTGGAATCTATATTATAAATGATCATCTTCTCAACGTATACAATTTCTTACACTTACGAGAATTTGGGTGAATTAATTAAGTTAGATTTTTTTTGTTTTCAACTAACACTTTTGCAAAGTATTTTTGATAAAGAACAAGTAACAGTGTTTTTGCTAGGAAAATTATCTTTAAAATCTTTAAATATTAGAAGTTTTTCCAACTAAAATCTATATAATCTTTTCCTTATAAAACTTTTTTTCGGGTCGATTCATCGAATATGAAATTGAAGACATAACCAAACATTGTTCCAAAAGGCAGTTTCAAAAATCAGAGGAGTACTTGTTCTAGGTACAAAAACAATTAGTTCTCGTTGAAATGGTTGTAACTATTTTGCTGCAACTACTAAGTTTTTTTTATAAAAAAATAAACAATTTAATGGCTTGTTTAGAGATACTAAATTTTTATGCCAACCACCTGTTTGGTAAAATGGAATTCCTCATCTCTTTAATCGTGAAGCTTATAGCTGAACTGTCTCCTACTCGTATATATACTATACTTTTTTTTATAAAGACAGTCAACCATTTTTTGCTATATTTTTTATAAAATATATATATATATATATATATATATATAGGATGAACAACAACACAAATTTACCATTTACAATCTTGCCAATACCATCCAAAATCTCATTATTTACTATCCATCTTAAAGTCCAAACTCATAATGATCTTTTGTTTTTGGACGAACGATGATTTAATTATAGATAGAGATCAACCTCCACTAAGGGTTACAAGAGGGGAGGCTAAGCTTAGCCAAAAGAACTGCCATACGAAAGACAGTGAAATGAAAATACATTAAAACTAGACATGAGTCACATGACAATCCTAATCCTAATTAGGCATAGGAAACAGATGTCCGATGATTAAAGCCTTGTACGAACGACTTATCAAACGGGTCTTTGAGTTTGATCATGGCTGGAAGGAGATTCCAGACTTGGGCAGGAAGTGGGAAACAGAGAAGAATATGTTTTTCATCGTCTGTTTGGCCAAGCTTCTTGATCAACTCATTATCCAAAGTCATTATCCATCAACAATAAACTCACCATAAACCATCCACCATCCATCATCTACGATTTCACCAGTTATATTATAAACCATTCATAAATTTTCGAAAACAGTATCACTTTTACGATACCATTTTTTTTAGAATACCATACTTTTGTTATTCATTTTCAAAAAAAAAAAATTATAATCTTTTTAAAATAAAATAAAGTAACAAAGATATATAAATTTGAATTTAAATATAAACACGTTTTACAATATGATAATTTTAAAAATAACAACAATATGCAATATTTTTGAAAAATGATATCATAAAAATGTTAATTTTCAAAATTTCTCCAGTGTCTACAAATCCATTATTTATCGTTATACTGAATAGTTAACTCTTTCATTTTTTCATGTGAAGACTAGAAACTAATTATTTTATTTATTTGTTATTTCTATTATAAATCAACTGTTTTAAGATAAAATTAAATTAAAAGTTATACTATAGTGACTTTTATAAACTATGTATTTAGCAAGTTAACGCTTTTAAAACTATACCCACTTATTAATCGCACGAGGCCAAAAATGACTTCTATACTACAAGGCATAAGCACATGCTTTGGTATCTTACCTGTTTAAAATTAAACTTGCTGTTATCCCTTATCTTCTAAAGACTTGCGCTCATATCACAAGAATCGAAAAACATTTTCAAGTATATCATAGAGAGCCTAAAGCGAATAAAATATGTATGTTGGTGGTTTAAATTATTAAACGTGCCCAGTGTGTGGAAATTATCAACATTTACTTAAAACTTTTGACCATGGTGCTCAATTTCGAACTAAACCAGATTGAACCGAGAAAATTAACAGAAGTTACAGAACTTTGTAGCTCCTTTTTTTCATAACGTTTGAATGAAAAACTAACCAGTATAGTGGGGAAAACGCTCAATTAATTCCCCAAGTATCCTAATTTCGCAGATTAATTCCTCAATTAACTTGTGCCAGAATAAAGCCTCATTCCTAATTTGACTTTGCAAAATTAGACCTTATTATTGTCAACGTTAAATCTAATTTCTGAAACTCGATTCCCATATATTCTTCACGTTCTTTTTCCCTAAAATTAGACGCTTTTTTTTTTGTATACTCCAGCTATAGTTAATCATATATAATCTTAATCGTTAACCGACGGTCAAAACCAAGCTAAAACTCCATTTCACCATAAGAAATAAATAAACAAATAAAGTAAAGAAACGTGCAAGGAAAGTGGAGGAGTATACAATTTTTTTTAAAAAAAAGAATATGGCATCTTTTCAAATCTCAATGTATTTGCTTAATTTTAAAGTTCGTAAATCAAAACCTAAGCGTAGCGGATACAAAGTTGTATATGTGCATGTATACATCCATTCGTGTATAAATACCGAGTATAGTAGCTTACATTTTCACCATCCAGTAACATCAAATCAAATCAACTATATAAACTAAATTAAAAAAAAAAACATGAATCCTATGTTTTACTTCCTTCTTGCCTTAACCGCTGTTTTGGCCGCGACAGCAAACGCCAGTGAACCAGTTCTCGACTTTGGTGGTGATATCATATTCGACGGCAGTTACTACGTTCTCCCCGTCATCTCCGGCCCTGCAGGTGGCGGCCTGACTCTCTCCCCTCGTGCTGGCATCCCATTCCCATGTTCCTTCGATGTTGTGCAGGAATCTTCAGAGGTTAAAAGGGGCGTTCCCGTCAAATTTTCAAACTGGAGGACTAAAGTTGCGTTTGTTCCCGAATCACAGAACCTCAACATCGAGATGGACCTCCCACCTTCGATCTGCCTCCATTCAGCCCACTGGTGGATCGATGCGTCCAACAAGGAGAGTAAGACGTGGTTCGTAGCGGCTGGTATGAGGTCAGGAGGAGGTTCGTCGAGGAGTTTCTTCCAGATCAAGAAAACTGGAAATGTTTTTGGCGGTTACAAGATTGCGTTTTGTCCTAACGATGACGATTGCATCAATGTCGGGATATTTGTGGACGAATATGGCGTTCGGCGTTTGGCTTTAAGCTCTACGCCATTCCCGGTTGTGTTCATGAAAGCTACTGAGAGAGAGACTTCGTCCAAGACTATGTCTATTATCTGAGATGAAAAAAAAAACTACAAAATTAAGAGGATAAGAGTTATAACTTATAACCTAAGACTAATAATAAAACTCTTATCTGTGTTTCTCTGTTTTCTTTGTTTATCTTTTCTGGAATAAAACAACCTTCATCTGATTTATTTTTCTTTACAATTCTCTCTTGTTTAAGATTCACATAACTTGGAAATTAAACAGAAGCATTTTCTCGTTCGAACGACCATACATATATACAGTAAAAAATTATAAATTAATACTTGATAAATTAATAAATTTATCAGATTTCGAATTAGACAGTTTTAAAATATAATATAAATCAATAAAATAATAAGATAATATTTTTAAGATATCTATGTAAATATGCAATTTCACTTATATTATAAATTAATAACTGCCATAAAAATAATTTTAAACAAATATATAACTATGATAGTTTACGAAAATATAAGTATATTGTTGTTTATTTTTATTAAAATTGAAATATTGTTATAATTTGTTTATAATTTCTAAACAAAATTTTATAAAATATAATAAAGTCGAATAAATTAAAAATAATTAGTTATTGAATTATAATTTATTTTATTTAAAATCGATAAATTAATAACTTTATAAATTAAGAAAATATTAGAGTTCTAGTATTATTAATTTATAAGGATTGAGTGAAAACCTATGTAACACCACTAAACTTCTACTGACAATTTGTTCATGCATATGTGATCGAGTGAAATTGCTGATTTTTTTTTAAAAAAAAATAAACAATACTAAAATGTTAAAAACTTGTTTGACTCTGAGTGAGCTACACCCCATGTGAGAGCCTACCAACCAAGATGCTTTTAGAGTGGTGTGGATCAACAAGTCCAAAACCAGAAGTGTTACGACCGCAGATAAGCCGATTTCTAACACGACAAAACTTCTACAAACGAAAAAAACTTCGTTCATGCAAATGGTCGATCGAGTGAAATTGATGAAATATTAACTGAGAAAGTATTAAGATGTTATTTAATTCGTATTTAATAAGACAGTCTATTGTAATGATCAAGATCTCAGCCCTATGATTTTGTGTTAGTTCGGATTCTGCATTTGGATTCTTGGATTACCCTAAAACAAAATATACTAGCTAGCCAGTGTTATCATGGTGTTACTATCCGCATTTAAATCGGTAAACTATATTTGAGAAAAAAAAGATTAAAAGTGTTTTATTTGTGGTGTTATCTTTATACAGTGCAGCAAACTAACATGACATGCACATGACAACGAAGTTATATATGAGTATTTTTGCCTAGAGAAAGACGAACACCTACATGTATGGATCAGGATCAAAGTTTACCATGAATTTCGGTTACGTGTCCATTTTGGCTGGTTTAATCAAATTGACTGAAACAGAGACACACGCAAACAGAAAACATATTAGGGCTTCTCATGCAAAGCCAATCGCTCAGATGCATCCTTAAACCACGATTGCGTCCAGCCAAACAAGAACTTACACATTTGTGAGCTAGCGTACAAGAACCACTTTTTTTTTTGAATGAAAATGTTAAATTAATCCAAACAAAACCTGTTTTACAACGAATGTGACTTTGATCTGAAGCTACTTGAGGATAATGCTACTATTTTACAAGTCGAACTATGGTTATTGGAAAGAAACCAGGTCTAAAAGAGGGAGTGGCCTTTTACAACCAGATGAAAACTTTATCATGTTCGAAAGGTATATCAATGGCCAACCCAAAAGACGGAGTGGCCTTTTCGGATAACGGACAGGGAATTGTATTGATTAAAACAGTCAAGAAAATTTGATGTTTTATTGATTAAATCAAATTGCTTACATATGCAATAGAAAACTATGTACTTACAATAATAAAACGCAAAATCAAACGAATAGAAATACAAAAATAACAATATAATTTTAAAAAACTTCATAAACGTAAGAATTTTTATTATTATTTTTAACTGTAGTGTGTACATGCACATAGCAACGGTCCAAAAACGGATAATTAGTATTATGAATATTACATGCACATATACAACTTTGTATACGCTACTATTGACATTAGCACATAATTAATAATAAAAACCTAAACAAAAGAATATTCAGTTCGTTTGTTTTATTTTCTAGATTTCTCATATGAATTTGTGTTCTTTTTGTTTTTTATCCGCGATTTCACAACAAGAGGAGAATGTGGTCTTTACGTATAAAAGATGAACAAATAATTTATGTAATTAAACTATCTAGTTATTCGAAATCATTTGCGGGATGTAAATGTGGGGTATATGATCTGAAAAATGGTTGAATTTCGTATTACATGTACATTCCCTAGGGATAAGTAGCACTCGGGATGAGGTTGTACTGTGCCTACGGATCCTAAAATCATCAACAAAAGAGTCAGTCAGTTCTTCGAGAAAGGGTTTCTTTTTCGAAGGTTTTCCAACACTCAGATCAAGCATGCACAACTAAAAGGATGAGTTTGAGTGGTTTTGTGTGTAAGACACTAAGACCACATCCGAAAATCGTACTATTTATATGGTCACTTGGTGGCGAGGTGTATTAGCCTCTATCCAACGTGAAAGAGGCTAGAAGGGCTCTCACGACGAATCGTAGGTCAAAGAGGAGTTTACCAACCTTTAAACGAGCTTTCAGGTGACCTTCTCGGTCTAATTTTATCAATTGTTATGCATATTTATGAGTGTTTATTGTCTCTTCGGGTGTGCCTTGGCCTTTTTCTCGGTGAAGATCCATTTTTCCTTATTGACTCCTCTTTATTTATACTTTTCTTGCCTCTTCTTCTTTCATTAGCCCCACTAATCTGTACCATCGGGTGTTTTCTTTACATTTGAATTTTGGCGTCAGTCAAATCAAACATGAGCAATATTGGGAGGATATCGAGTAGGTACATAAATTGTTTGGTGGATCATTTTTGTCGATGTGGAGCCATAAAATTGGTTCTCGTAAAATTGATTCCAACACTGATAATTTTTAGTTTAACACATTAGGTCATTTATTTAAATAACCATTTTGGCAATTTTATTTTAGTTTAATAAAGCTTGATCTGTAATGAAGAACTTAAATTACAACTATAAATTACATAGCCTAAACTGAATATAATATATGCCGGCGGATGAAACTATTAAACGTGCCAATGTGTGGAAACTATATAATGGTAACCAAACTTTTGACCAGGGTGCTCAATTTCGAACCAAACCAGATCGAACCGAGAAAATTAACAGATATTACAGAACTAAGCTTTTCGTAGTATTTTTTTTACTTCTTTTCTTTCATAACGTAACGTCTAAATCAACAACTTGTAAAATCAGAGCTATATAGTGGATATAAGTAGTGAACATACATACAGTAATAACATAATCTTATTCGTTAACCGACGGTCCAAAACCAAGCCAAAACTATATCTCCCCAAAAGAAATAAATAAACAAACAAATTAAAGAAGCTTGTAAAAAAAGATACGCATCAACACAACAATAACACTAAAGTATTTCCATGGCTTGACACCTCAGATTTTTGAAGCTTTATAAATATGACACCTCAGCAAAAATAATCACTAATCAAAATATTTTATTAATACATCTCATCTACTTATTTTAATTTTTAAACTTAAACCCATTAAAAACTCAAATATTTTTTCTATTAATTTTTGTTTTATTTTTTACCAAATCCAAGCTCAAATAATTAATAACAGCAAATAAAAAAATCATTATTTTATTTTTTGCCAAATCTAAATAATAAATAAAAACAAATAAAAAATTAAATCATTATTTTCTTTTTTGCCAAAACCAAATCCAAATAATAAATAACACATAAATAATAAAAAAAATTTAGCTATCTGTTTGTTTGACATAAACGTATATAATTTAAAAAATGTAGGATCACCATCAACTATGCGTGCATGACAACAACGCAAAAAACGTTATGTTATAATCAAAGCGTAGCGTATACATAGCTGCATGTGCATGTATACATCCATCCGTGTATAAAATACCGATCACACTAGCTCACATTTTCTTCATCCAGTAGCATTCAAATCAAATCAACTTTATAAACTCAAGAAAGCATGAAACCTATGTTTTACTTCCTTCTTGCCTTAACCGCTGTTTTGGCCGCGACCACAAACGCCGGTGAACCAGTTCTCGACGTTGAAGGCCGCCCCATATTCGACGGCAGTTACTTCGTTCTCCCCGCCATCTTTGGCCCTGCAGGTGGCGGCCTGACTCTCGCCCCTCATGGTGACAAGCCATGCTCCTTCGATATCGTGCAGGAATCTTCAGAGATCAAGATGGCCATTCCCGTAAGATTCTCAAATTGGATGTCTGGAGTTGGGTTCGTTCCCGAATCAGTGCCCCTCAACATCGAGATGGACATCAAGGCTACGATCTGCGTCCAGTCTACCTACTGGTGGGTAGATGAGTCCTACAGGGAGAGTGAAACGCGGTTCGTAGGGGCTGGTTTGAAGCCAGAAGGATATTCATCGAAGAGTTTCTTCCTGATCAAGAAATCTGGAGATTTTCGTAACGGTTACAAGTTTGTGTTTTGTCCTAGATATTCCGATTGCATCGATGTCGGGATATTTGTGGACGAAAATGGAGCTCGGCGTTTGGCTATAAGCTCTACGCCATTCTCGGTTGTCTTCGTGAAAGCTACTGAGACAGAGACTTCGTCCAAGACTATGTCTATTATCTGACAGAAAAGACTACTTTAAGACTATAATAATAAAACTCTTATCTGTGTTTCTCTGTTTTCTTTGTTCATCATATCCGGAATTAAACATATTTTCACTGTTTTATTTTTCTTGTTAATTTACTCTCTAGTTAAAGAACTTGGCAATTCTAAAATTAAACATAAACCTAAAAGCGTTTCTACGTTCTTACTGCTAGTTTTCGTCTCTTTTCAATCATTTTTTTCTCTATGCGTTTCTTTAAACATAATTGTTTAGAATGAGACGCGAATGACCACATACATAAAATAGATTATCTAAAACCACTGCACCACAAAACTTCTATAGACGATTGGTTCATGCATATATATGATCGAGTGATTTGCTGAACACCTTTGCAAATTAAAATACACCAAAATGTTAAAAACAAATACTACTAACTGTTTTACAAGGCTCAGTATATATACTAGTATATACAAAGAAACAAAAGAAATGGCAACACAATGATAATCCTGTGGCAGAGCAGTTCCGATGTAAGTTGAATTTCTGGTGAGTAATATATATGTATGAAGAATGTATGCGTGGAAATATAAACGAACAAAACTTAGTAAAAAAAAAAAAATTATAGACGAACAAAAGAAGCTAACCAACTATCATCGTAATTCGTAAGTCGTAATGCAATTCTCATTTTTCCGCACCTCCAAAATACTTAGCCACGTCGCGAGATATAAAAATCTTTCAATGATAAGTTCAATAAAGCTTGAACTATAATGGAGAACTTAAATTGCATATAATATGTCCTGGAGGCAACACCTGAACATGCCATGGGCGGACCTAAATTAAGCTTGGTCTGTAATGATAATTTTAAATTGCATATAATATGCCCCCGAGGAAACCCCTAAACATGCCATGCTGATAAATAAATAGAGCTCGTGAAGCACATACCCATTTTATTTATATAGTAAAGTTGACCCAATAAAGAAAAATACAAACAAACACTTTAGCGAAAGGTGCTTGGAAAGTGGAATCTATATTACTAATGATCATCTTTTCAGATTGTATAATCGCTTAAACTTAATAGAATTTGGGTGAAATTAAGAAATTTGTTTTTATCAAAAACTCCTTCTATTCCTTAAAGAAAAATGTTTTAAAATATTAACAGTTATTAAAAAAATGTTACAAAATATTCTACTAACCTTATATTTCTATTAGTTACTATTTAAAAATTTCATTAGATAATAAATAAAAGAGTAAATTAAATAAAAACAACAATAACTACACCTTAAAATTGAAAGCATCAAACTTTTGAAACAAATTTTTTTCCTAGAACATCTATTATTTAGGAACAGAAGAAATACTATTTTCGAAAGTATTTTTGAAAAAGAACAAGTAACGGTGATTTTGTAAGGAAAACTATCATTAAAAACTTGTACAGACGAGTGAGATTGCTGAAAAAGAATTAAAATTAAACAATATTAACATGTTTGAATTTGAGTGAGCTTCTCAATGGATCTGATATCATACCCATGTGAGAACCTACCAATCAAAATGTTCTTAGAGAGGTGTGGGTCAACAAGTCCCAAACCAGAACTGTTATTAGGGAGCAATTTAACGACCGCAGATAAGATAAGCTGATTTTTAAAAGCATCTCTATCAAAGTATTTTAATTAAGGTATTTGATAGAATAGAAAGAGAAAATAATAATATTTTATTATTTGGTAAGAAAAAAGAAGAATGAGAAGGGTTACTGAGATGGATTTATAAAGTTTTGATTGATTTTAAGAGTTGAAAGATTTGTTAAATTTGTTAAAATGATTTGTTAAATTTGGAAAAAAATTATATATTTAAAAAATCTATCAAAATATTTTATTATAATAACTTTGAGAATCTAAATTAAGTATTTTGAAAGTTTTCTTAAATCTTGTTTTATGAATTTGTTTAAATTCATGTCCTAATAACGCAATGAGATAGTCCTCAATGGTTGAGATACTCATTAGGGTATTTCACAAATAAAATATTAACTGTTTTAATATAATCTAATTAAATAATTAAAGTCTAAACTTAACATGTATTAAAGTATCTTAATATTTTTTTTTTGAGGTTTTCATATGAGATACCCATTTCTCTCTTTTTTTTTCTTTTTTCAAAATTTTTCATTATTTTAAGAGTGAAATATTCCTCAACATATTCTCATTAGGGTTGTCTTCGTATCTTTCAACTTTTGAAAAGCCTATTTAATATTATACTATTATTTATTTTCAATTATATTTTGATAGATTGTACGAGAGACTACCACTAAAGATTACTTGTCTAAATCAACTTTGATCCCCATCTTCTAAAGACTTGTGCTCATATTACGAGAATCGAAAAACATTTTCAACTATATTTCGATAATATAGGGAGCGGGTTAAACTATTAAACGTGCTAATGTATGGAAACTATCAATCAACGCTTAACCAAACTTTTGAAACGGGGGTGCTCAACCTCGAACCAAACATGAACAAATAAATTTAACAGAAGTTTCTTTTGAACATAAAAATTTTGGACCATTTCTCCATTTCTTGCGCAATGGCTATGCTAATCTTATAAAACTAAACTTAACTTATAAAACCAGAGCTACAGTGAACAAACGTAATCTTTTCCGTTAACCAACGGTCCAAAACCAAAGCTAAAAACTCTATTTCCCCATAAGAAATAAATAAACAAACAAATCAAAGAAGCGTGCCAAGGAAATGGAGTATACAAAAATATTAAGAAAGCGATTAGGCATCTTCTCAAATGTCCATGTGTTTCAGCTGTTTCATTTTAATGTTAATATTTTAAAACCTAAGCGCAGCGTATACAAAGCTGTATATGTGCAGGTATACATCCATCCGTGTATAAATACCGACCACATTAGCTAACATTTTTCTTCATCCAGTAGCATTCAAATCAAATCGACTACATAAACCTAAAAAAAAAACATGAATCCAATGTTTTACTTCCTTCTTGCCTTAACCATTGCTTTGGCCGCGACCACAAACGCCTACGGAGCAGTTCTCGACGTTAATGGTATTCCCATATTCGGCGGCAGTTACTACGTTCTCCCCGTCATCTTCGGCGCTGCAGGTGGCGGCCTGAATCTCACCCCTAGTGCTGGCATCCCATTCACATGTTCCTTCAATATCGTGCAGGAATCTTCAGAGGTTGAGAGGGGCATTCCCGTCAAATTCTCAAACTGGAGGCCTAAAGTTGCGTTCGTTCCCGAATCACAGAACCTCAACATCGAGATGGACGTCAAAGGTACGATCTGTGTCCAGTCAACCTACTGGAGCGTCGGTGAATTCGACGGGGAGAGTAAGCAGTGGTTCGTAGCGGCTGGTCCGAAGCCAGAGGGAGACTCGTCGAGGAGTTTCTTCCAGATCAAGAAAACTGGAGATTTTCCTAACGGTTACAAGATTGCGTTTTGTCCTAACGGTAACGATTGCATCGATGTCGGGATATTTGTGGACAAATATGGCGTTCGGCGTTTGGCTTTAAGCTCTACGCCATTCCCGGTTGTGTTCGTGAAAGCTACTGAGACAGAGACTTTGTCCAAGACTATGTCTATTATCTGAGAGAAAAGACTACAAAATAAAGAGGATAATAAGCGTTATAAGTTAAGACTAATAAATAAAAACTCTATCTGTGTTTCTCTGTTTTTCTTTGTTCATCATATCTGGAATAAAACATCTTTCCTTTGTTTCTTTTTTTCTTTTTAAAACTCTCTCGAATTTAACTTGGAAATTAAACACAAACATTTTCATATATAAAATAGACTATGTAACACCTACAGATGCTCTAAAACATGTCATGTGCGGACCAGTATTTGACTATTAAACATCTAACTGTTCAATATCAGATTCTTCTCTTAATTTGTCCCCTATTTATTCTTGATTTATTATAAAATCTCTAAAATTACCAACATTAATCTTGCTGTGTGATTCCTATCTTCTTAAGACTTGCGCTCGTATCACAAAAATTAAAAAACATTTTCAACTAAATATTAGACCTCTTCTTTACTGAAGATAAAAAATGCCGGTGGATTAAAATATTAAACGTGCAATGTATGGAAACTATCAAAGGTTAATCAAACTTTTGACCAGATTGCTCAATTTCGAACCAAACCAGATTGAACCGAGAAAATTATCAGTAGTTACAGAACTAAAGCTTATTCTAGATTTCTAGTTGCTTTTTTTTTTTTTTTTCTATCGTTCATAGCGTTAACTTTAAATCAAAAACTTATATAACCAGAGCTGTAGTGATATTATTTGTTAACCAAGAACGATCCAAAACCAAGTTAAGAGCATTTCCAATTGGTGGGTGAGGGCGGAGGGCCTGAGGGGGGATTCACATGTGAGTATTTTTTATAATTATAACAATTAATGAAAATGGAAGAGAGGGTTCTCATAAATTGGTTCATATCTTCAAAACTAAAAAATTAATTATTTATTATTTTTTTGAAAACCTGTTTTAGGGTTTTTATAGATGGAGATGATCTAAAACTTTATCTCTCCATAAGAAACAAAACAATTTGAAAAGGATAGGCAATATTAGGCAACTTCTCAAATCTCAATGTGTTTGCGTAGTTTTAAAGTTAATAATTCAAAACCTAATTAGCGTAGCGTATACAAAGCTGTGAATGCGCATCTGTGCATGTATACAGTAATACACACTCGTGTATAAATACTGATCACAGTAAATCACATTTTCTTCATCCAGTAACATTCAAATCAAATCAACTACAAAAACCCAAAAAAGCATGAATCCTATGTTTCACTTCCTTCTTGCCTTATAAGTTATAACCTCTGTTTTGGCCGCGACCGCAAACAACCTCGGATCAGTTCTCGACACTGATGGTGATCTTATATGCGGCGGCAGTTACTACGTACGTTCTCCCCGCCATGTTCGGCGTAGGTCGAACAAAGTCTGAGTTTTAGTGTGATGATCTGTTATTTCTTGAGCAAGTGTTTATGTTCTGTTTTATGAGCGAGTCGTAGACTCGTAGTGCAAACTTTCTATGTGTTTTGGTTTGGCCCTTCTGTTTTCTTCTCTATCAAAATAATCCAAATTCAGTGGAAAAAAAAACGACCTAATACAAAGACTTTTCAAAACTACTATTTTAAAGCTTTTAAAAAAACTTACCAATTTCCTCAAAAATTTAATCACACGGTTCTAGTTTATCAAAACACGAGGCTACAACTCTACCATAACTGTAAGCATATGCTTTGGTATCTTATCTGTTTAAATTGACCTTGCTGTTATCCCTATCTTCTAATTAAAGACTTGCGCTCATATCACAAGAATCAAGAAACATTTTCAACTATTTCATAAAGTGTAAAACATTTTCAACTATAAGCATATGTCACGACGTCACTAATGGTAGAATGGGTGTTATTGAAAAGAAAATACTAAAGTGCTTTGTTTGTGGTGTTATCCTTATACAAATGCTCCAAACTAGCATGACATGATGAACAAGACAGAATCAAAGTTTACCAAGAATCTTGGTAACTCGGTTACGTATCCATTTGGGCTGGTTTTAATCAAATTGGACAGAAACAGACACCGAAAAAACATAAACAAATCTTCGTTGTTATTCTTTGAAACTTTTCTAAATCTAGGAAAACGTTATCAAAAGTAAATTAATCGAATCTTTTTTTCTTACCTTAACAAAATAACTTAACCTTTCTAAGAAATTAGAGATACATGTCGTTAGTAACGCATAAAAGCAAAGCCATACCAAATGAAACTGGAATAGTAGATTCAGTGCTCATATATACCTCAATTGAACAACAATTAGAAACTAAAATATTGAACCAAAAACCAGGCTTAGCCAAAATAAATAGTAAAAATAAAATAAAGAAACATGTGTAGAATAAAGGAAGTTGTGATCAAATATGGAGAGTTTATGGTTCACAAGCTAAAGCCTACACTAGTCATCAAAGCGGCCTCACACAGTCACATCATTTTGACTATAATCACACGGACGTGTTTATATATAAGTATTACATCAACTCGTATTTTCTTCATCCGACAAACACTCGAATCATCACAAAAACTACCAAAACCATGAATCCTACGTTTTACATCGTTCTTGCTTTAACCGCGGTCTTGGCCGCAAACGTATATGGTGCGGTTCTTGACATCGACGGCGACATCATTTTCCGTGGAAGTTACTATGTTCTCCCCTTCGTTCGCGGCCGAGGTGGCGGCCTGACGCTATCAGGCCGCGGGGGCGAGCTATGTCCTCTCGACATCGTGCAAGAATCATCCGAGACCGACGAGGGTAATCCTGTGAAATTCTCAAACTGGGCTCCCAGAGTTGCGTTCGTTCCCGAATCATCTAACCTTAACATCCAGACGGACGTTGAAGCCACGATCTGCTTCCAGTCAACGTACTGGCGAGTCGGTGAGTTCGACGAGGAAAGGAAGCAGTACTTCGTGGTGGCTGGTCCTAAGCCAGAAGGGTCTGGACAAGATTCCTCGAAAAGTTTCTTTCAGATCGTTAAATCTGGAGATGATACTTACAAGTTTGTCTTCTGTCCTCGGACTTGCGACTCTGGCGGCCCGAAATGCAGCGATGTCGGGATATTCGTGGATGAAATCGGCGTTCGGCGTTTGGCTTTAAGCTCTAAACCGTTTTTGGTTAAGTTCAAGAAAGCTAATGTGACCGAGATTTCATCCAAGACTATGTAAGAGGAGGACAGGGCTGTTTTACTTTTACGTATAATAAATAAAGCTCTCTTTGTTTATCTGTTTTCTTGGAAATTACATACTAAATAAAAGACCTCTTTGTCTAGATTTCTTTTCCCAACTACAAAATATTCACCTGATCACGAGTTTATCTTCAGTGGAAAAAAAAAAATACCTAATACAAAGACTTTTCAAAACTACTATTTTAAAGCTTTAAAAACTCTTAATTTGAATATTTAAACATTTTAAAAAATTATTATTTTATCTTTCATAATTTCATAAAAAATAAATAATTAAATGACATGTGTTAGAAAAAATTAAGAAAATTTTTTTAGATTTTTTTATATAAAAACTGATTCTTCTTTTTCTCTCACAATTTTTAATTTTTTAAAATAATTTAATATTAAAATACTATTTAAGAAATCAATTAAACATTCTCTAATACTCTGATAGTAGAATGGATGTTGATGAAAAGAAAATACTAAAGTGTTTTGTTTGTGGTGATATCCTTATGCAATGCTCCAAACCAGCATGACATGAACATGATGACATGTATGGATCAGGATTAAAGTTTACCAAGAATCTCGGTTACGTATCCATTTGGGCTGGTTTAATCAAATTGAACTGAAACAGACACCGAAAAAACATAAACAAATCTTCGTTTTCATTCTCTGAAACTTTTCTAAATCTAGAAAAACGTAATCAAAACCAAAGTAAATTAATCGAATCTTTTTTGTTTTTACCTTAACAAAAACAACTTAACCTTTCTAGGAAATTGGAGATACATGTCGTTAGTAACGAATGAAAGTAAAACCATACCAAATGAAACTAGAATAGTAGATTCAGTGCTCATACCTCAAAAGAAGAAAAAAATTAAAACTAAAACATTTAACCAGAAACCAGGCTTGGCCAAAAGAAATAGTAAAAAAATCAAAGAAACGTGTGTAGAATATAGGAAGATATGATCATTTTCTCAACGTGGATTAAAATCATATAATTATGGAGAGTTTATGGTTCACAAGCTAAACCCCACACTAGTCATCAAAGCCGCCTCACCCAGTCACCATATTGACTATAATCACACAGACGTGTTTATAAATTAGTATTACATCAATCATATTTTCTTCATCCGACAAACACTCGAATCATCAAAAAAACTACCAAAACCATGAATCCTACGTTTTACTTTGTTCTTGCCTTCACCGCGGTCTTGGCCGCAAACGTATGTGGTGCGGTTCTTGACATCGACGGCGACATCATTTTTCGTGGAAGTTACTATGTTCTCCCCTTCGTCCGCGGCCGAGGCGGCGGCCTGACGCTATCAGGCCGCGGGGGCGAGATATGTCCTCTCGACATCGTGCAAGAATCTTCGGAGATCGACGAGGGTATCCCCGTAAAATTCTCAAACTGGGCTCCCAAAATTGCGTCCGTTCCCGAATCATCGAACCTTAACATCGAGACGGTCGTTGGAGCCACTATCTGCATCCAGTCAACGTACTGGCGAGTCGGTGAGTTCGATAAGGAGAGGAAGCAGTACTTCGTGGTGGCTGGTCCTAAGCCAGAAGGGTTTGGACAAGATTCCTCGAAAAGTTTCTTCCAGATCGTTAAATCTAGAGATGACACTTACAAGTTTGTCTTCTGTCCTCGGACTTGCGACTCTGGCCGTCCGAAATGCAGCGATGTCGGGATATTCGTGGATGAAATCGGCGTTCGGCGTTTGGCCTTAAGCTCTAAACCGTTCTTGGTTAAGTTCAAGAAAGCTAATGTGACCGAGATCTCGTCCAAGACTATGTAAGAGGAGGACAGGGCTCTTTTACTTTTACGTATAATAAATAAAACTCTCTGTGTCTATCTGTTTTCTTGGAAATTACATTTTGAATAAAAAAGATCTCTTTGTCTATATATATTTCTTTTCCCAACTGCAAAATATTCACCTAATCACGAGTTTATCTTTGCTACATTACAATCGCTGTGACGTTAATTTGATTAAAAAAATTAAAGAAATTATAGTCGCTTTGATGCCTAAATCAACTATAGTCTGAAGTCTCAACCAAATCAGTTGACTATTATAATCGAGCTTGTGGTCAACGATTGGTAGGTAAGAAATAAGAATAATACTGTACGTGCATGTGGGAGCCGGATTTCTTATATATTTCTTTGAGATTCGAGAATTGCTTTTAATCAACATTGGTCTGTTTTTCTTGTGCTGTGACAAAGAATTCTTTTGTTTAAGAGTCTTATCAATGCCTGACTAATTTATACATTGTCTCCGAGATATGACTTGCATCGCAACAGGGATGAAAGTTAAACCAGAGCAAATTAGTTAAGAATATCAAAACTAAGTTGAACATCTCGCTAATTAAAAAGAATCATATTATAAACAGACAGTCTGAGCCCAATGGACCTATCAATAGCCTTGTAATGATGGCCCAAACGTTGTTCTTAAATATACAACCCAAACCAGAATAGTTGTTAAGATTATAAATAATAAATACCGCCGCAATTTAAAGAGGCGTCTCGGAAACCTAGCAGTCGCTCTTGTCAAATTTTTCCATGGATGAACACGCTATCAACGTACGATTCTTCTTTATCCTTATGGATTTCTCTTTGTTCTCGATTAATGGTGGTAGAGTTTCTGATTAATTAGATCCTAATGGATTTCTCTTTGATGTTCTTCTTAAACTCGGTGTTCTTTTATACGTGAAAAGTATTCTGATTAGATCCCTTGTACCTTAGGAGCAAAAATTGCTGAAATTGAAGGTTACTGATGCATCCCGGTAAGACTTGGATTTGCATCTGTAAGACTTAACTGTCCTGGTCATGTTGATAATGTTATCTCCTGCAATCAAATTATTGCAGCAGCGTTAGGGTTCGCGTTGAGGGATATGACGTTTCGCTTTCTTACGATGATGTCGCGAGCGCGTTAAAAGCATATTTCTCTTCATGCGGAGAGGTCACACGTGTCTCTATCCTTAGATACAAGGAAACCGAAGTGTTCCTGCCCACTCTCAACAGGTTCGTGGCTTCTTGCCTCCGATTATCCCAACCTCAAAGCTTAAGTGGTAGCTTTAAAACTTTGCTTCTTCTTTTCACAGATATGCGTTTTTGTATATTACGGGAGAAGGCGCAGAAGAGAAGGCGTTGAAACTTAGTGGTAGTGACGTGGGAGGATGGACTGTAATTGTCATTACTGATCGGATCACAGAACCTTCTGCTAGAAGAGCCCCAAACAGCAAGTATACAACCAACTTTCTTGAAACCCGGTAAACATATTCTATAGTTTCTTTAGAATTTGTATCTCTAAGATTTGGATTTGGTCTTGTCATATTGATTATACTATCTCCTGTGAATTATCTCTTAGCGCTCTGATTAAAGTGACGGGTTATGACGCTTCGCTTCCTGCCGATGATATCAAGACCGCACTGAGCAAACATTTCTCCTCATGTGGAGAGATCGAGAAGGTCACCATCGGTGGTCATCCCAGCAGCTGGTTTGTGGCTTCTCCCTCCCAAGTTGTGCTGTGAATTTCATTCTCTAGTTTTCTTAAATGCTACTGTGAGACTTGTCTTTTGTTGTTTCTTACAGCAGGGCCATTGTTTATATAACGGGAGAAGGCGCACAAGAGAAGGCTTTGGCACTTAGTGGAAGTGACATGGGAGGATGCAAACTAGTTGCTAAGCCTGCTATGGTACCGGTTAAAAACAGGAAGCGCATTCATCATGGTGCTCCTCACCTAGGTACATCTTTGTTCTCGTTGCTCGATTCTCGATTCTTAATCGATTCTTAATTGATCCTTTGTAACAATGTAAAGTCTCTTTTTTATTTTAGCTCACTTGTTTAAGGAGGCTCAGATGTATTGGGGAGCTCAGATGGCTAAGACTATGAAGAATACTGAGGAGGCTAAGATGTTGTGGGTGAATGAGATGGGTATGGGTAGTGATATACCTCCGGAGGTTATGATGTTGTGGGATGCTGAGATGAGTAGGAGGGATTTATTACCTAAAAACTAAATAATCATTGTGTGGATTTTATTAACTAAAAACTAATTAAGTTATATTATATAAGCCAAACTTATGATTAGTATTTGGAGAATGTTTGTGCTGCCAATAAGTTATATAGATAATATATCGGATTATCACCCTTCCAATGTGATTTATATCTTTCTTTGATATTCAAGAATTGCTTTTTAATCAACGTTGGTTTGTTTTTGTTGTGCGCTGACAAAGAATTCTTTGGTTAAGAGTTTTATGAATGCCTGTGTAATTTTATTACATTGTCTCCGAGATATGACTTACATCTCGCTAATCAAGGAGAATTAAAGGGTATAAACAGACACTCTCAGCCCAATGGGCCTATTTATCAATAGCCTTGTAAATGATGGCGTGAACAAAACGCACCGCGACTCAACGCGAAAAACAAAGAAAAGGTTAGCGTCCAATCAGAGACCTTCTTCGTCTCTCTTCCTTCGTTCGCTCACTTACTTCACGGCCCCGCTTAACTAAGTTTCCGACACGAAAACTCTCATTTAAAATAAAATAAATTATCTAACAAAAAGGGGGAGAACTATCGCCGGCGATATGCCTTCTCCTCCGGTGCCTAAGACGGTGGTGAGCAATCGCTTCGCTGCCTTTCTTATCTGGCAGTCAATACCTGCATCGGCTATCTTCATCTTCTTCAACCTTTTCCTCTTCTCCACTACTTCAGCCATCTCCATTTTGCTCACCTTCCTCGTCTTCCATTCCTCACAGCTCCTCTTCTCCGTCTCACTCGCTCTCCTCTCTTCTCCGACCCCAGATTCTCCTCTCTCCCCTCTCCAATTCGCTCTAGGCCTTCTCCGCCACCTCTCGGATCCGGAGTTCCGCCGCCGTGCTCGCATATCCTTGCGCGTCGCGCTCTTCGTCTCCGCCACTTCCCTCGCTGGATTCTGCTCGGCGGCTGTGTTTTGCTTCTCCAGTGATTCGTTCGGAGCGATTGGAAGAGTAGGGTTTAGGGGATTTGTGACTGGGTTGCTTTACGCCGTCCTTTTCGTCCTCAAGCAGCGATGGGTGTTGGAGTTTCCCATCATTCAGGTTAACGATACTGACATATTTGCACATAACGTTTTTATACTTCTGCTTCTTGATTCATTGAAATATTTTATCAATTTTGTATTCTATTCGCTGATTCTTGCTTGGGTGTTTCGAACAGCGTCCACCGTTCTTCAGCTTCAAGATCGGTCTCCCATCAGCTCTAACACAAGCTCTGAAGCTATCAGGTGTGCTGTATGTGCTGTCGACGATAATGCTGTTGTTTCTGCTAGACTGGTCGGGTGGGCTTGTGTCCGTATCGAGGTTCTTGGGTGAGCAGGTCATATCTTATGCCGGCAGTTTCTGCCTGATTCTCTCTTGGGAAGTGACTCACCATATACATCAGGTTAGTTGAATTGGCTTTGTTTGATCTGCACATGTAACTGGATGGTGATATAATCTGAATGAAGGTGTAGTGTGTAGTAGTAGTATGTTAAGAACCCTGTGACCTTTAAGTGAACTTCACATCTCAGATTGCACAAGAGTTAGTAACTCTCACTATTAATAGAGTGATGCAAATCTCAAAAAGGAATGGCAAATGTTGCATCGATATTGTAGTTTCGTGCTAACCACTTTCTTTTTGGAAGCCCATGTCAAAGGCAAACACTTGCTGCCTGTTCTTTTGTGTCTCTAGATGTCTGTAAGAAAACTTAAATCCATGCCTTTTCTACTTTGAACATTATTCATCAAGTGTTCACTTTTCCTGGATAGCTTAATTATTCCTGACTAGACATTTTGAAGGATCATCTTTGAGATTTTGTCTGTGTGATACTTCTCACTGCATCAATGGAACCATAAAACTTTACCTAGTTTTGCAGGTTTTAGTTTTATATATAAAAGAGGCTTGATACGATTGTCATTTTCTTTTCCAGGTTCTGCACACGAAACGGTTTGCGTTTGCTCCTCCAAAAGGATCTGCTGCAGCAGAAACGAATCCAAGCGAGCCTCTTCTTGCGGCATTAGAAGGGAGTGCACCAGGTTCCCTCGAGCAGTCTCTTGCGTACCTTGATCTCTACATGGTGTCTCAGAACAACGTCGACACATGGCGTCGTGCTGCCTTCTTCGAGGAGTCCAGCGAGACTTACAAAAGAGTAATCACTATATGCTTGAGACCTTTAGAAGAGCTTGCCTCCAAGTTATCCTCTGGGCTAGACCACTCCTTTGCCGACAAAGGCTATCAGACACCACTCCAGCAGCCACACGAGTCATATATCGATCCTAAATTTGGTGAATCACTCAAGTCTTTCCAGGTAAAAGGCACAAATTTTGAAATTTTATGCTCATTTCTCTGTGATGATTTCTTCTGGTAGCTGTAACCACGCATCTGATGACTTGCAGCTATACGCATGGTGTGCACAAACAAGTGCATCACTGACTTCAATCTCACACAAGGAAGACAGGCTTGGAGTAGCACAACTCTCTGGTGGGAACGCCGATGTTGTCTCAACGCTTCTGTCTCTTTTGCTAGCTGTTGAGACGTTTATGGGGAAGAAGACTAATCTGCAATCGCCTCAGCAACTGATGGGACCTGCTAGTATCAAATGGGCGACCTCGAGTATGGTCAGGAAAGATGTTAAGCCGATCAAAAGGCGAAGCGGGGCGATATACTCCAACGCGTACGCAGCTACAGATGTTCTGAGGATATCGATATACCAGATTCTGTCTACGTTCCGCAGTGAGATGCTCAACAGTGACAAAACCGGGCTTCTTGGTAGAGACTGGATCGGGAGCAAGAAACCGCCTTTTGGAACAAACGAGATGTTGCTGCAGAAACTTAAGCTCTTCCTCGAGTTCCAAGCTTGATGGAACGAATATGAAAGAAACAAAAAGATATCTCCATGAATTTGCGGTATGCTGAACAAAAAAGGAACTAGAGTGTTAACTTTTTTTCTCTCTTAGAAATATGCCTTGTATTGAAATTCCTCGATTTGGCAGAAGTTTTGGGACAAATATATTCTTCTTGTTAGATTTCTTTTTGGTGAACTTGAAAATTATATAAGAAAAACCAAACTGTTGTTTAATTTTGCTTCCTGATCACATAAAGTTTTACTTTTACCTGAATTTTGCAGAATTCTAATATGTTTACCGTTTTTAGTTAGTGTGCTGCTAATCATCTCGCATTTACAGCAGATACGGTAAGTGTTTTTTGGAATCTGAAATGGGCCAAAGACTTAAGGCCCATGGTCCGAAAGAAACATCGCTGCTTATAGTAATATCGAACGGTTGAGAGCGATAGTCTTTTCCGGAATGTAAGATCTTGACCGTTGGATGTTGCTTATGTAATAATCGTATTGGTGTTAAAGACGAGATTGGGCTAGGCATCGCATTTACTTAAAGGGCAAAACCCTCCAGCGCCGCTTGGATCTCTTCTCTCTCTCTCTTATCTTCTTATACCCTTCGACGAAGGAAGAACCCTAGAATTCGAATATCAAGGTAAAGCCACTTCAACAAATCCTTCTTCCTCCTTTCCATTTCGAGAAAATCGATTGTTTACTTAGTGTTTTTCTGATTTAGCTGAAATTGTCGCGATCAGTTTCATGTTATGTTTTTTTTCTTCGATTCATATGGTTTCTTTATGGATTCAATACACTTTTCTTTGTCACTGTTATTTTCAATAGAAGTACTGTATGTTAGTTAATACCTAATTAATTGAAAAAAGTTGAAACTTAGGTTAAAGTCACTGTACAAATACTTGCTTTGTTCTTCTCAGCTGCTCTGTACACTACTGAACATATATAACTTAATTGATTTATCATAGATATGTGGTGCATGCCAAATTGATTCACTCAAGAGTAGATTTATTATGCATTTTTCGTTGCAATTTTTTTTAGATACATTTTTAGTGGTTAAGAAGGATTAGTTTTGTGTGTTTTTGAGAAACAGATGAATAGGGAAAAGTTGGCGAAGATGGCTACCACTGTGCGCACTGGAGGAAAGGGGACAGTAAGAAGGTATACCAAAGTCTTGTTCTTAATTTTGTGTTTTGTCCATTTGCAGTTTTAGCGTTAGCCATTCTATATTTCTCTAAAACATTTTGTTTGTATCTCTCTATTTCAGAAAGAAGAAGGCTGTTCACAAGACCACCACAACAGATGACAAGAGGCTCCAGAGCACTCTTAAGAGAGTTGGAGTGAATTCGATTCCCGCCATTGAGGAAGTTAACATCTTTAAGGATGATGTAGTGATTCAGTTCATTAACCCCAAGGGTAAGAATCTATCTCAAAGTATTCGCTTTTATAAATCTCAGGAATCTGGTGATAACTTGCATTGTATTTAATGGTCATTCTGTCTCTTCTTCAATGTTGCTATTTACAGTTCAAGCTTCTATTGCTGCTAACACATGGGTTGTGAGCGGAACACCACAGACGAAAAGTAAGTGTTATGGATTGTCTACTATGATCCGATACTCTTCTCGGTTTATGTGTATTCTAAATCTTAAAGATTTGAATTTCCCCTGTAGAATTGCAAGACATTCTTCCTCAGATCATCAGCCAACTTGGTAAGCACCATTTTGCGTAACTCTTTCAAATTCTTGGCTAAATCAATAATTAGCCAGGAAATTTAACAATTTTTCTTTTTCTTTTTCTTATTGGCTTTGGTATTCTCAGGACCTGATAACTTGGACAACCTGAAGAAGCTAGCAGAGCAATTCCAGAAACAGGCTCCAGGTGCAGGTGATGTCCCAGCAACTATCCAAGAAGAGGAGGATGATGATGATGTCCCAGAACTTGTAGTGGGAGAGACTTTCGAGACTCCTGTTGCTGAAGAGGCTGCTCAGCCCAAACCTGCTGCTGCTTAAACGAAAAGAAGAAAGAAGAGGTCATCCGCATAAATGTTTGTCGCTTGACCTTTTTTGAGCTCTGTCAGATTCTTGTTTTCTCTAATGCTTGCGAACAGAAAAACTTTGTTTTTATTATCACTTGATGCTTTTTGGTCCGAACAGCAGTTTTCCTTTTATTAAGGTTAGATGGCTTTTTGCTTACCCATCAAATGAGTTTCTTCTATCTTCCGTCTCTGAGAAACAATTTCTTGCAACATGAGATTCTTGGAAAATAAACAATAAAGTGAAAAATATTGCAACATGAGATTCTTGGAAAATAAACAATAAAGTGAAAAATAAAAATAATAAGTGTCTATACAACATTTATACCGTAACTACTTTTTATGTCAGAAATTGGTTGGTTTTTTTTTCTGGTCAACGAAATTAATTGGTTAGAAGATGTGATCTGGATGTTAAAAGCAAGCCCAATAATCATTATCTGCCTTCATTAAAACTTAACGACAATGTGGGCTTCGTTTAGGCCCGAACAAAATTTAAGGCCCAAACGTTGTTCTTAAAATATACACAACCCAAACCAGATTCTCTTTATCTGATTTCTCTTTTATGTTCTTCTTAACCTTAATGGTATCTTAATGGCATCCTCGCAAGTTTTTTTATAAAAGTACTAGAGTTTCTGATTACATCTTTTGTACCTTAGGGGAATAGAATTGCTGCAATTGAACGCTTTTTTTAAAATATATATATATATATATATATATATATATGTTACATCCAAAAAATGATGCTGGAACCAAAAAATGAAAACAAAGACCATTTTGTAGACATTTTCCACTTGGAGGGAAAGAACTCCATCAATACTTGCACCTTGTCTATACCAATGGAAGGGTATTATATTATCCCCTCTTAAGTTCTAAATCTTTGTCTTTGTTTTCTTTCTAGACATTTGTTGGGCGATCAGCCTTGTATGCAAGTTCGAATCACTCTTCAAATTTGCTGTTCGTCTGTCTACTCATAAACAAATTTTCCATACCAAAAAATTATTGATCAAATTGATAGGCATCTTTGTACCGGTTTGGGGGAATAGATCAACTAGAAGATGTCAAGTTGTTGTTACAAAAATCTGGCACAGTACTTGAAGAATTTCGACCAAAACTTACAGCCATAAGAAGCCACAAATGATTCATACTCATCAATGATGATGGTGTAGTAGTATTGACCGAAAAATTCAGAATATGTGATTTGCATGTCTATATCATTAAGGACTTCGATGCGATAAAGAAATTTTTGAAGATGGTGTAGATATGCAAATCACCTATTCTGAATTTTTGGGGCACTATTAGTACAATATCATCAAAATGAGTATGAATTATTCATGGTTTTTCAAATCTATAAATAAGTGGTCGAAAGTAAATAGTCAAAACTCTTCAAATACTGTTCCAGACTTTTGTAACTAACGATTTGACATTTTCTAGTTATTCTAAAACCCTCTAAAAATAGCATAGAAATTCAGAATATCACCATGAACGGTTCATTAAGTTGGCTGCCGGCCACTGTCATATCAAAGAGTTCACCATGACTTACTTGACTAAAGTGTTTTTCTCGAACTTTTTTTTAGCATTCTCAAATTCTAGTTTTTCTCTAATGCTTGCCAACAGAAAGAGTTGGTTTGATGCTTTTTGGTCCGAATAGCAATTTACTTTTATTAAGGTTGGATCGCTTTTTGCTTACAATCTCTGTTTAAATGAGTTTCCATCTTCCGTCTCTTGAAACAATTCCTTGCAACACAGCCTTCGAGATTATTGGATTTGACTAATTATTTTTTAGCATTTCTTCAGAATAAACACCAACAGTGGAAATTGAGAAATTTTACATTTTTCCATTTATTGGACAAATTTTCCTTCGCATCACAGCACCGTGAACGCAACTAAATAATCAGGAGTGTTCCGTTCGGTTAGTTTCCCATCTCTTCCTCTTTCCCCTGCTGCGTTAGCGTTTCATAAAGTGGAGCGTTTCGAGTTTCTCTTAGCCAGAGACTCACCACGCCGCTCAAAACAGACGCAACTCCAAACACAAGAAACGACATCATTGCGCTATCTCTCCCCAACGCAACTAGCAACGGCGCTGCAGACGCTCCTAGCATAAACGCTTGACGCAGCAGCGAGACCGCAAAGTTCCTCACGTTTGTCGGGAATAGCTCGACGCAATAGACATATAGGACATCGTACGCCGTTGAGGAAGCCATGAACCCAACCGCCTCAACCGCAAGCTGCAGCCATTTCGCAACGGATACCGCACGGGTCACCCGTTGGAGCGAGAGTACAGCGCAGAGTAAGCACGAGATTCCGGCGAGGTATGATGAGTTGGAGAACAGTGGACGGCGGTTCATGACACCGAGGAGGAAACTTCCGATGAAAACCGCTGGAAACTCCATCAGAGCGTTAACCGCGACTGTTAAATAGAGATTGAAGTTGAGGTTCTCGGCGTTTAGTTGTATTCCGTAATAAACAAAACCACTGCCAAATCCAGCCATCATAACCATCACGATCCTTTTCACTGCCCATTTCGTTTTCCAAAAATTCTCCGACGACGAAGTTTGACTATCTCTCGTCGGAATTGGATCGACAAGGCTGAGATCCGCTGGAAGTTGTTTCCCATTGAGCCTGGCGAGCTTCTTCAAGACCACCATGGCTTCTTTATTACGTCCTTTGACAAGAAGCCATCGAGGGGACTCATAGGCAAAGGGCAAGAGAAAAAGTGCGTAACTGAGAGGAAGAACCGATATGATCCGGTAAAGGTTTCTCCATGACTTCCTCTCCAAGTAAGCCATTAGTGGCAGAGATAGAAAACCTAACGTGAAGAAGAAGAAACCGTATTGCCCTACTTGGCCTCTCCATTTTTTACCGACGACTTCCGTCGCGAGTACGATACAGCAAGACCCGATTCCTGATCTGAAAAAACCGTTTGCGAAACGCAAGAAGGCGTAAACCCAGACGTTTGGAGAAAAGGAGATCGCCAAAGCCGTGACAAACGTTAATACGCAAGAGAGAAACAGAGTCTTTTTCCGACCAAACCATGAATCAGCAAGATATCCATAAACTCCGGAACCTGTGTATTAAAAATAGAACAAAAGGCAACATGAGAATCATGTAAGCTCCAAACTAATAAAGATTTTATGACAACCGAACTAAAATTGAAATCAAACTCGATCATAATCTTTTTTAATAACAAATTGGTACCACTTATTTATGATTCCAAAACTGACTAGAAACCGAACCAAACCAACTAAAGATGGTTCTATTTCGATAAACACTCTCCAAACCGAACTTTAGAAACTGAAAGTTGTTAGGATTCGTACCGAAAAGAGATCCAATGAAGAAGAGAGTGGAAGGAAGAGCCACAAGAAACTTGTGTTGACATATGAGATTCCACTCAGAAACAATAGTGTCGGTCTTTCCTCCGACCCATTCCCATTCATGAGTGGACAAACCACACAGCGATGAGCCCTCCACGATGGCGCCGGTTGCGATAAGCCTCGCAGCGGGCAGAGCGTCGGAGAAAATTGATACAAGCGTGGTCTGAGCATCAAAGGTCCAAGCGATAGAGACCAAGAGAGCATGCAAGATCTGAGCTAAACCAAGTGCTCCTATGTGTTGCTCGATCACCTCGTCAACTGTAAGTGCGTACCTATTGTTGGATTGATGTTGTTGTTGTTGCCTTGTTGCTTCTCCTTTCTCGGATGCTGATGAATCATTGGATATGTTTGATGATGTTTCCACGACCTTTGGAGATTCTTGATCTGAAGGTTCCATTTTTTCGTGTTTAGTTTTTCTGTTGTTTCAGGTGGAAAAATAATCTTGTTTTAAGTTTTGTTTTGTGGGTTTGATATATGTCTTAAGTAAGTGATCGTATATATACACATGGTCGGGCAGCGTTTTGTATCCAGTTTCATCACTCTCGAATAAACAATTAATCAAGCAAAACGCGATTGTGGGTAACGAGTCATTAAAACTTTCTTATATAAAATTACAGTTAAATTTTTTCTTATAGTGTACTTTATCAAACAAAAAAAAAAATCGTATATTGTGTGTCTAAATTATCTGCTGCGTCTGATTGGTACATTCATTAACTTCTTACCAACTTGAAAAAAAAATTATTTATAACTTGTTATCGAACTATTATCATAAGGGGTAACTTTTTTTAATTTTTGTTATACTTTCTATCTCCTTTTATCTATTTGTCTTTCCATCTTTTTTTTGTCTACATATGTATTCTTTTTGCAACAAACGTAACTCTTTACTTCCCACTAATATAAAAGTTTTGAAAACATAAATAACAAACGACAAAACTTACGGTTAGAATACATGATGCATGACGAGAAAATAAAAAAGAATTTATGAACACATGGCTAGAATTACAAAATTAACTCTTTCATGTGTCAACAATATGCATGTGGGTATCCGAAACTCATCAAACATTTGTTTGATCGTCCTTTCAAAAAGTTCGGTTTAGTTGTGGATTTTGGCCGAATAATATGAAAATTGAGTTTGAACTTTTGGAAAAAACTCTTGTAAGAAAGCGTATACGATCCGTAATAAGTAGTTAAGTGTTACGTATCGGTATGGCATACACACTCTTCACGAAATATATATGTAGTTCCACGATTGATATACAGTGGCTCTCTTTACAAAAGTAATTAGTGTAAAGAGACAGTTAAGCCAATCATGAAAAATTCTCCACAAATTTGAATCAACGGTTTCCTTTATATATTGAGTCATTTTTCATACTAACTATATTACATATTCAAATTAAAATATTTAAAAAGTATTGTTAACGAATTCTGAAAGATAAAAATAAAAGATAATTGGATGTAATTTAAAAAATTGAAAATGGAACAAATAAATGTAAGAAAGAGTTGAATGTAGGAGAAAAAAAATTGCTAAGAAAAAATGTAAACCTCTTTTAAAAAAAAAAAAAAATCGTAAACCTAATTACCCAAGTTTTCGATTTAGATCATCCAAGTATTAAAAGGGTGTTGCATATAATTGCATAATTAAAGATTAGTTTATAAACGAGGTGCGGTCATCCCGAGAGCCCATGAAGAAAGTGGATTAATAGTAGGATTAGGACATTACGTGGGGTGAGTGATCTATTGGGATGTAGAAAATTTGTATATTTATTATATATACATATCCTTTCTTAGCTCTTCCATATTTTCTAGGATGTGAGATTTTCTTCTTTTTGGGTTAAAATGTGAGCCTTTCTTGTGGTCAATTATTGTAATTAAGTAGGTCCATATAATCAGAACAGCTACTGCAAGTTATCTTATGATCAGTAGAACACAAAATTCCAAAATCATATCGTTTTCTGTGAAATATATACTGATTTAGTGATATGTATGGTATCAGAGTCATTTCACCTATTTTTTAGGTTATCTCTATATAAAGAAAATTTCGCCTCTTCACGAAATTAATATACGTCGTTCATTTTACTCTCTTTTGTGGAGAAGAATTAATTTCCCTATATATATATGGAGAGAGGATGAATATCTTCCTCCATCCCTTACGACGATTCAAGTAATGATTACGAATATCATCATAATCAGAACTTGATGAATCGTTTAACACGTCTTTCGATGATATATATATACCATATGACATAATGTTTTCCCACATGAAACCTCTGAATTTGATCTCGAGCTTATTATCTGACTCCACCTGGAAAACAACATACTATTGTTCATGAATCTGCCTTACGTGAATATTAATTATTTGTGTTAATGGTGTTAGCTGAAACTTATATTATTATAATTTTTTGTTTGTTGATATGTGTTAATCTAATCATGAGAATGAAAATGTTGGAACACTTGTTATTACGTTTAGTATTATCGTCTAAGTTAGTGTAATCATCCACAAACTTTTTCTTGATTAAGATATAGATATTTTAGAGGAATATGCGTTAATAAAGCTCCTTTTTATTCATGTGTTTTACGTATGATTTTGGTATTCGTTCATATAAATCGTGGGCAGATGAGAATCAAAGTGTATAACTGTATGGCATATTCTAATTAGATTCTATGTGATTGTTATAGTTTGGTTACTATGGCTATAGATTCCTAAGTCTTTTACATTTTCATATAAATTATATAATGGAAATAAAAATTTGAAAAGGGAAGTTTGAGAAAAGAAATTCCACGAGACCATTTAGATTTTACATTTTCAGATAGATGTTTCAATATCTAACTATACCAAACATTTATTTTTGGATCAATAGTAGAAAGTTATAAAGTTTTCATTAAGGTTTTCGGGTTAGAACAATAATATAAATAGGTAATGCAAAATTATGTGTACCGATAGTGTAATCACATATTGTGACATAAAAAAGTAAAATTTTGGTACGCTTTTCATCGACCAGATGAGAGAAGCATAGAATTTGAGGAAGACCGATGACACTATCACTAGTGGAATAACTAGTAATGAGTAATGACGCGACATAAATGCGATATTACTAACCTTACCAAATGATCATCATCCAATCGATATACTTAACCCATTTTCATTTGTCTTTCTTTTCAATTATTTCTCACATTAATATAAAAATTACGAATATATGTAGTTGATCAAATTATTAGTGGATGACGAGTTGTGGGAACAATTCAAGTGCTCCTCCGTTAAAGTTAGGCAAGCTTATATTCTATATATATAAATAAAACATCATCACTTGGTTCCCAATCTCCAACTTATATAATATTACATACCTGAAAAGGTTATTATTTTCGTGTGTAAATCTCATCATACAAAATGAAAATAGTAAAAAAAAAAAACCATTAAAAATGTTTGACAACTGTATCCCAAAGATTAATGTGTCAACGCCATTGATTTGGTCTGTCACAATTAAGCTTATTTTGCTGCAGACTTAATTTTTGTATCGTACTACTATTATTATCTAATACGAGAGAGACCTCTAGTTCGGACCACATCTACATATTCTTAGAATGTACTATAAACTTGTAAAAATAAAATAAAAAGCTATTAAGTTGAGTAAAAATAACTAGCTCATTTCTTTCATAAAGTACAAAATTGGATATATAAGACATGATAAATTTTTTTTTTTTTAAAAAAAAAATATATATATATATATATATATATATATTTATTGATTAATTATAAAGTGAGTAATGTTATATATCTAGTGTTCTTTGTAAATAAAATTAGTCAAATACAAAATTAAAATCCACAAAACAGTTGAAATCCCACGTGATTATCTACAACGTACTCTGTACTCCACCTCCAAATTCCACTTTCTTTTGGGTATACTAAAAAATGAAACTTTGATTCATTTTGGTGATGGAATGGATTTGACACAAGAGCCTTATTCAAACCTGGCATATCTACTAAAATTTCTCGAACAGCATAATAAGATTAGATTGTACGTGTTTCGATTCTACTTTCAGATTGGGGAACATAATTTCATCTAAGCATCTAGGTGCCTAGCCAAAACTTAAAGAATACAGACTCGGGAATCAAAATTGTGGGATTGATCTCAAACGGTTTGGTACATGAGGGCACCCGGTTAATTTCTGATCTTTTGTTTTCTTTTTTTTCTTTCAAAAATGGTTTAAATGGGCTTTTAAGCCTTTTGCTGCAAATTCTGAAATGGAGAGCGAATTGGGTAACATATCAAAACCGAAGATAGGCTTAAAACCCCTACCATATTCGTCGCATCACTGATATAACATTCCTTTCTTTTTCTTGACCAACGATCTGTCAAGACTTTGTGTGCATACAAAGTAGGAAACAAGCTATTAACACCACATGAAACACATCAAAACCTGACACGGACACATAACGCAGAAGAGCAAGCGTAAGCTCCATTGTAGCCAAGCTAGGGTTCACAGGCTTTTGGATCTTCCATAGTACAAGAAAGAGATCTCGTACGGATTTCACCACCTAATTGCTTCAGCTCCTACAAAGAAGAAACCATCTTCAAGCCCTTTTGAGCTTCATTCAACTGCATCTGGCATAAGAACAACAGGCCCACATCTTGCCTATGTTCTTTTGTAAGAAGTTTTAGTAACATAAACAAAGAAAAAAATAAAATGGGCCTAAAGAATTGAGCTTCGTCCAAGCGAGATTATTGACTATGTATATTGTTTTAACCCCTAATATGATATCATATTCGTCGCATCACGGGGTCCAACACACATATATGATAATATAATCACAACACTAACAAAAATCTATAACAATGTCACTATAGTACAACGGACTAAAGATCAGTGGATAATAACGTCATAGCGTTGGCGACATAGCGAGTCTGAGTAGTGTGATGAGGATACGACAAATGATAGGACACGTGACTTTATCTAAACTAACCACTTTCTTGCAGCAAAAAAAAATATGAAGAAACAAAGCACTTTCCCCACGTGTAAACTCTTTTCAGAAACAATCATACAAAATCTTTGATATGAAAAAAAGAAAGAAAAGAAGAATGCTATTATGCTAAGACCTTTCTAGAACCCAACTTGATCTTCTGATTAGATGCTATATATATTACATCTATGTAGTAGTCATCTAAAATCATTTATCCTTGATTTGTGTAATCATCTATGTAGTCGTCAACCAAAACCAACACATGTACCAGTACCACACACATGACTTGAGTCTAGTAATTGCTAACCATTTTATGGAGATAAACTAAAAGTTTAAACATCGAACGAAAAGAAAAAGAAAAGACAAGAATAAAAAAAAAAGGAGGAAAACGCGAGAGACTGACGCAGTTTTGGCCAACACGCGTCGAACCGGAAGTCCAGTGCTCCGACACCACACACTCGACTATCGACTCTCGAATGTTCAGTGTTCAGATTCTACTCACTCTTCTTTTTTTTCACCAAACACTCTCCTTTCTCCTTTTTTCCTTTATTCATTTCTTTTCCATTATAAATATTTTTTCAAAGTTATATAGTCTTTGCTCTTCTATATTATTTATAGCCAAATAGCTACAATGGAAAATAATAAATAAATCATTACGAGTATATTATTAGTCTCTACATTTTGACAATTTTTATGTTTAAAGTAATATTGGTTTATTAAATGAAATACAGTAAAAATCAATTTGTTTCTAAGAGATCAAATATTTTATTATATCTGTTTTTATTAATTAATTCAGAGATCCGATAACAAAACTATGGTTAAAAATTAAAAATCATCTGTGAAAAAGGTTCTTGTAGTTTTTAGATATAGTTATTCTGCTGTTGCTTCTTGAAATAGTTGGAAATATATATTCCACTTGAATGTAAATAAACACATGCACCATAGAAAAGATTATGGGGATATTACATTATCTTGATAACATAACTTTAATAAATAGTTTGCTCTATTTCATATATTTGTGTATTATGGCCTTATGGGAGCAGTTTCTTTATAGCATGCCTTTAAAATTGAATTTAAACATTTCCGTAATTCGGATACATATAGGTCAGTCATTTGTCGATCTTCTACAAACGCCCACATTAATGCAAACATCGATATTAAAATACATTATTAACACAATCGTGCATGTGTAAATCAGGATAATAATCACTAGAGCTCCAGAAACTCTAATTTATTCCATTATAAAGATTTACCAATAAACCACTAATATTTCTCATTAAAGTATCTGCCTCGTCTATAATCAACGCTTGTTATAAAAAAACAGATACCAATCAACATTTTATAATCTTTTTCCGTTTTGAAATTGGTGTCTTTACAGTTTTTTAACAAGAACATTGATATTTCATCAAAACACAAAAAAAACAATGATATTTCCCGTCAAGAATAAAACTTACGAGAAAATAAAAATCTAATTAATTGCTTTATAGAAAGCTTTATCACTCACCACACAAATAAAAAAGAGAAAATTTAGTTGTTATGTCTAACGTCCTCGTGATCTCCAAAATTACATTTAATCCATTTTTAGTTAATTATATCTTATAAAAGAAACAATTAGATGCAGAAGATCGCATATTTCGATATAAGCAAATGAAACTAAAAACAATCTACTTTTTTTTTTTTTTCATTTGCAACTTGGATTTTGGTGTCATAATGACGTAACCATGTCCACATTTTGTAAACTTCTTTGTCTATAAATATTTATTAAAATTTTTATGTATAATAAATATCTCAACCCTCTTTTTTAATTATAGCTAGATACGATTTATTTTAATTTATCATCATTGTTGTTTTGTTTAACATCAATTTATTAATTATTCGTTAGAAACAAAAGAACATAAGATCGACAAAAGTCTTCAGTTTCATACTTTTGGGTTGGGTTTAGACAAAAAAAAGGGGAAATTAATTACCTAATAAATAAAAAAGGATCAGAGTGAGTGAAAGAGAGAGAGAGAGAGAGAGAAGAAGCGTTTCGTCCTCTTCGTTTTCTTCTTCCATTAATACAAAGAAATCCTACTACTCAGAAAGCTTTATTCATCTCTACTTCAGTTTCTCTGTCCCCATTTTCCTCTGACGATTTCACGAAGCCAAAAGAGTAATACTTGACCAAATTTCGAGGAAAGCCCAGTTTCTTTGAAGTCTTCATCGAAAGTTTCGATTTTTGGGAAAACCCAGAATCTGTTTCGTTCCTTTGTGAGTTTTCCTGACGGGATTCAAGAGAAATATTTTGGGAAGAATCTGGGTGTTGGGATTTACGGAAGCGATTAAAAGGGAAGAGAGTTATTTTGGGAATTATAAAGCTACCATATTGGGATTAAGAGTTAGTATTAATGAGAGAAGACCAGAAATAATTAAATTTCCAAACTTTGTGTACATTATCGTGGACTCAAGTATACGGATAAAGATCTGAAATCAGAGATTGAGAAGAAGAAACAGAAATAGAAGAAGAAGAAGAAGAAGAGCAGAGAGAATGTGGTGGTGGTGTTCTTCAACGAAAGGCCGTTCAAATCTGGAGAGGTTTCTCTTAGGAGTCACTCCTAAACCTCCTTCATTCTCTCTTCCTCAGGTACAGTTTTATTACTCTCTCCTCTCTTGAAAAATCCTTGATTTGGGCATAATTGTGGTCTTAATTTCTCAACTAATCAGTTTTTAATAGTATTTGAATTGGGTTTCTCCTCAAATCTCGTCGCAAACAAAACAGATTTACCGAAAGGGCTTCTTAGTTTTTAATCAAGGGTGATGTATCAGACAACCTAGAACTTGTAATATTTTAATGATTTGGTGTGAATTTTCAGATGAAATTCGCAATAAGGACAATAATTGCATGGTCCATCACGGAAAAATAAATCTGTGAAAAAATCTATCCTTTTTAATGGTCACATCAATTTCATGGATTATATATATATTAGCACGTTTCCACGTGCGACAGAATTGCATTACTGAAATTAAATATTTTTATAATCCTTAGTCCAATCCCATAAGTACTGAGATTTGGTTTGAATCTTCTTGATGCTGGGTATCCTCTGGATCTGTATCATTAGAGGTCTGTCTTATTCTGTCTTATTGCTCAATACATGTTAATCCATAGTTCTGTACAAAACTGGTGAATACAGAACATGTTGGTCTTGAAACTTAAGATGATGCTGTTGCTGAGCTGCTTGAAATGATCTTAGCAGCTAAATCACAGTTACATTTGGGGTAATTTAGGAGTTAATGACGTTAACATTATCAGCAGCATTGGATTTTAAACAATTGTTAGCAGAGAGCTGTGTGAGCAATCTTTAGTTTTTTGTGGCAGGAACAGGGGAAGGAGGAGATAGAGTATTTCAGGCTTGGTGATCTCTGGGACTGTTACGATGAACATAGCGCGTATGGCTTCGGATCACAGGTTGATTTAAACAATGGCGAAACCGTTATGCAGTACTACGTCCCGTATCTATCTGCCATCCAAATCCACACTAACAAACCCGCTGCGAATCCCAGGTTACTTATCCCATCTTGACTCTAAAAAAACATTTTGAGTTTCTTGTGATGAGTCTCTCTAAATTCATTGGCAATGGAAACTTTAGATGTTTTGTGGTTTCTTGATTTTTGGTGTTGCAGGAACCTGAACGAGGTGGTTGAATCTGAGAGTAGCGAGTGTTGGAGTGATAGTGAGAGCGAGAAGTTGCTGTCGAGGTCAATGAGCAATGATTCGAGCAAAACATGGGATGCTGACTCTGAAGATTCGGTTTTTGATCCGGATGGTATGCTGTTGCCGCGTGATAGACTTGGTTGCCTTGACTTTAAGTACATCGAAAGAGAACCTCCATACAAGCGGGTTCCCTTAACCGACAAGGTTCTCTATCTCTCCACATGTCTTAGTAACCACACACACACACACACACACTCCTTTCTCTTGTAATGAACTTTGGTTTTGAAGCTATGGTATTGTTCTTGATTCTTCTTCAGGTAAACGATTTGGCGGAGAAGTATCCGGGACTCATGACCTTAAGGAGTGTCGATATGTCTCCTGCAAGTTGGATGGCTGTTGCGTGGTAAGTAATTACTCATGTGTTCATATGTTTTGCATCTTGAACATTTTGTGTTGATAAGTGTGATGACTTAGGTACCCGATATATCACATCCCAACCTGCAAGAACGAGAAAGATTTGACGACAGCCTTCTTGACTTATCATACTTTATCTTCGTCTTTTCAAGGTACGTATGTATGGATCACTAATATAGTCATTGTTTAGCGACGTAGAAACAAGCACCATTTCTTGTATTTTTTTTTTTATCTGACGGCGTTAAAAGCTGCAGATAATGTGGTGGAAGGAGATCATAGCAACAACAGAGACATGGAAGAAACAGAATGTTGTGAAGAATCCAGCGTAAGCAAGAGGATCCCATTGCCTCCATTTGGTTTAGCTGCTTACAGAATGCAAGGAGATCTCTGGGGAAACACAGGATTTGACCAGGACCGGTTGGTTTATCTTCAGAGCGCTGCGGATTCATGGCTGAAACAGCTCAATGTTGATCACCATGACTATAGCTTCTTCCTAAACTCGGGGCTTTAAGATCATCTTTAGTTTTACCCTTTTTCCAAACCTAAAAAAAAAAAAACCCTTAACCCTAAAATGTTCTTTGTTGTTTCAAGCTCCCATCATCTCTCTGTGCTTTTGTTGTTGTTGTTGTTGTCTGGCTCGTTGTGTTGTTTTAGGTAGCAACCGCCATCGCCGAGGTTTTTGCCTCCTGTTGCAAGTCCATGGAAGTTACTCAGAAGAAAACAGAGTATCCTTTTTTTTTTTTCTTTTTTTTTTCTTTTTCGGTGTTGCGGTGATGAGAAAACGAGAAAGTTTTTTCTTGAGTGAGACCATGTAAATCAAGTTCGTTACAATTCTATTTCTCTCTTGTCTGTTTTTTTTTTTCCTCAGTGGTTCTGTGAACTGAGGACTCTGTTTTGTCTTTTTGTGTTGTACACATATATAAAAATCTATCTTTCTTGTATGTCGGTAAAGACTTAAAGAGAGCAAGAAGTCTACACTTTTTGGTAGATTTGATATGTCCTTTTGTTTCTTTTCTAGATTTTTTTTAATGTCTGATGACGATTTGACTCATTCTGCAACGGATAAAGACTTGGGTTAAATTTGGAACTTTAAAGAGATAGAGGTCATACTGAAACAGTCAAACTTTCTAGTTCAACAAAATTAATATAGACTCAATAGTATTATAAGAGAAGAGAGACCGTTTTGTGAAATGGGAAGTATGCATATGTATAAGTATAAATTTTAGTTGCGTATGTAATGAAAGTATGAAACAATGTGTGTTGGAATGAATTCTAGTCACATTATTTTGGTGTATACAGTTTAAAGTTCAAACAAACAATGCAATGAAATAAACCTTGGCAATAGGATTGTGAAATCTTTATGTTTTAAGGATTTGATATGAATTTATGTAGATTTTCATGTATTTTAGGTAAAAGAAAATATATACTATCACCTAATTAAAAATAGATAAACATAAATGAAATCTGAAAATCAATACATTAATATTGTTTGTCATATATATATATATATTTTTCCAACTACTATATTTATGGTTGACTAGGTATCTATCCGCGCTATGCTGCAAAATATTTTTCTAGATTTTGTATATATTTTTAATAAAATAAAATTATTTTTATAATATAAATGAGTATTATATTTATTTTATTATTAACTTAAGTTATGTATTTATATGTTTTAAATCTGAATAAACATTATCTATTTTTATAATTTTATTCTTCAAAATTATAACGTGCTATTAAATTTAGTTAGCTAACTAATTATAAATGTATATATATGAATAAAATATATAAGAATAAACCAATACATATTTAGTATATTCATGCTAATGGCAAATGTAATCTATCTTCTCCAATAAATTGTCACATGATCCTCATTTGTAATTATATAAAGCAAAAATCATTTAAAAAAAGATTTATTAACTAATATAATTATTTTGAATTATAAATTTATTTATTTATCAAATATTTTATTATAAACATATGTTTCTAAAACTACCAAACTATAATCAATAACATTCTTATCAAAACCATTGCTATTGCTTTAGAACTAAATAGAAATTTATGTTTGAACTCTTAGAATATCGTTTCAGTTAAAGTTAAATAATTAAATTTTGGTTAATGTAAACATACTTTAACTTGAAAATTTAGCACATGAAAATTTCATCTTCTTACAAAAATCGAGAAATCGCATTTTTCGTCAAAACAAAAAAACTTCATTTTCCCATTAAACCGAGAAATCGGCTATTCCCACTAAAACCAAAAAAATATTTTCTCATCAAACCTAAAACCTAAAATTTTATTTTCTCGTGAGAACCTGTGTTTTTCTACTAAAGCCGAAAAATTACGTTTTTTCACAAAAACCAAAAAAATTTATCTTCCTGCAAAAACCAAAAAAAAAAAATTATATTTTCCGTCAAAATCAAAAAATTTATTTTTCTTGCAAAAACTGAAAAATCGTCTATTCCTGCCAAAAATAAAAATCATTTTCTCGTCAAGCCCAGAACCACTATTTCCTACAAAACAAATAAACTACAATTTCTCATGAAAACTAAAAATTGCATTATCTCCCGTGAAATTGTATTTTCCCGCGAAAACTAAGAAATTGTTATGTTTTTATCGGTTCAAATTTTTGCTAATGTGTGAGTTTCTTATAACATAAGGCTTTTTGCGTTGTTGCATGGAAGCATAGTTGATGCTGAGTCTACACTTTTTCAATCATATACATCTATGTCAAACAAATAGATAGCTAGAATTTTTTTTATTATTTATTTTTTTGTTATTTATTATTTGGATTTGGTTTTGGTAAAAAAAACTATGATGTAATTTTTTATTTGTTGTTATTTATTATTTAGATTTAAGTCTGGCAAAAAAAATAAAACAATTTTTTTTTGCTGTTATTTATTATTTGGCTTAGGCTTGGCCAAAAAATAAAACTAAAATTAACAATAAAAATATTTAGGATTTTAATAGGTTTAAATTTAAAAGTTAAAATAAACTGATGACTTGTATTAATGAAATATTTTTATTGGTATTTTTTTTTTTGAAATGTCATCTCCTAAAAATTTGAAAATGCTGATGTGTCAAGTTATGGAGAAATACTTGTGTTAATGTTATGTTGATTTCTATTTTTTTTTCTTAATGTTTTTTTGAGTAAAATTGTCTCAAAAATGTTTATATTTTTTCTTCTAGTGTCATTTAAGATTCGATTCTTTTTTTAAACAGGATGCTCTTTTGAATAATGGTGTGTTTTTTCAAAGAAATATCTTTTTTGGCAATATATTTGGTTGGAATTGCGAGTAGCTATTAATTATCCTATTGGTTCTCTATCTCTCTTTCTTTCTCCCTATTTTCTTCTTCTTCTTCTTCTCCTTTCCGTTCTCAAGTGACATGAACTACACCGTTACGCGTCTTCTTCTCTTCTTGATTCCTTCGCAAGAAATCTTCTCCGCTTTTCCTCGACACTAAAGTGTAAAATCGATAAACTTGGTGACTTCCCGGAGATGGTTTCGTTTTCGGGTTTCGTGTTCGTATTTGGGTTTCTTCTGGGGATTCTCGCCATCGTAGCGGCGGAAGTAGCGGGGTTTCTGTATCTTCTGAAGCGATTGAATCGGAAGAGAAATCTCCGGGATTCGAGTTCGAGTTCTGATCCAACACTCAAGGAGTTTGATCCTCCCCAGTCCATTAATTTCACTCTCAGCAAACAGGTGATCGATCTCATCCCTCCTGAGTTTTTTTTTTTTGTTTTCATCAAAAAAGTTTTCTGCTTTCTCGCTAGTTCCGTAATGAACATTGAGTTTCTTGCATTGGGATAACTAGATAAACCCTAATTTCTGATTCTGTTGTTTAATCGAGGTTTCACCGAGAAGATAAAGAAATGTGTTTGCTTTGGTGCTAAATTCTGATCAGTTTCTCCATTTCTAGATCTATGTGATGAAATCTGTTTCTCTATGCATTTTGATCTATTTTCTCAGGGAGTGATTTGGGTTTTGGAGCTGGATGAAAGTTTAAAAGATTGGATGAAGGAAAATTTACCAAAAGAGCAAAAGAAGAAGAAAGACCAACTCTTGGAGGTGCACCCATCAAGGAAATTTGCTCGTATCAAAGACCATAAGCTCATCTTAGCAGACGCAAATGGCAATCAGACTATCATCACTTTGAAAGGTTGCTCCGTTGAGGCCGTTTCTGGGTCTGGACTCCCCACAAGGAAATGGTATCTTACATTTCCGAGAGTATCTTAAGTTTCTTCTCACAAGTGAATAATAATAACCCTATTGTTTTGACTCTGTAGGGCTAAAAGATTTCCTATCCAAGTAGAAAGCAAAACCTCAGACTTGTACAAGGGAAACCGAGTGTTTTACATCTATCTCGAGACTTCTTGGGAGAAAGAGTCATGGTGTAAAGCTCTTCGTCTTGCTGCTTCCACGGATCAGGAAAACTCTATTTGGCCCAACAAACTGAAAGAAGATTTCCGAACCTACATGGCTTCCCTCAACGTTGCATACCCTTGTTTCATGAAACCATCAGCTGGGTTTAGTCTTGAGTCATTGGACAAAGGGATCAAAACGGATGGTCCTTCGTCAAAGGTTCGTTTGTTCTGGAAGAAATTTTCGAAAAAGTGCTCAACTAAAGTGAATCTGGCCCCGCCGAACCGTGAAGACAAGAAGACTTCGACCCGTCCTTACCAAGATTCACAGTCTAACGGTAGCTCTGGAAGGAGCACTCCAGCAAGAAAGATGCGAGATAACAATAACATCCCTGAAGAAACCGATGTGCAAGTCTTCTCACGTACTTGGAGCCAAGGCAGTCATCTCTCGGATGTAGACTCCGAAGACAAGTTCTATGCTGATGAAGGAACGTTGGCGTGGAACTTACTAATCTCTCGGCTGTTTTTTGATGTCAAACAGAACACAGTGCTAAAGAATGCAGTGCAGGAACGGATCCAGGTCTGTTCCATGTATATGGAAGCTTTCACTAGATCAGTGTTTGGTTGCGTTTGTTCTTTCTTATCTAAACATTTGTTTTTGGTTTAACAGCGAGTGTTGTCCAACATGAGGATTCCTAGCTATATAGGCGATTTAATCTGCTGTGATGTAAACATTGGTAATCTCCCGCCTTATATACACGGTACAAGGATTCTTCCAATGGAGATGAATGGTGTGTGGGCGTTCGAACTAGATGTTGAATACAGTGGCGGTGCGGGACTCGTAGTTGAAACTCGGGTTGATGCTCGAGAGGAAGATCTGCAGAAAGGCATAGCTGAGGGAAGACTGCAGCCAAATTCTGCTGGGGATGTTCCTCCAGATCTCCTTGAAGGTCTTGCAGATTTTGAAAAGCAGTTAACTGTCCCCGGAGGAAATGTTGATGATCAAGATGTCAGAACTGGAGGAAGCGACAAAGCTGGTATTTTTGCTGATGGGTTTTTGTATTCATTTTGCTTGTTGTGATCTTGCTTTCTGCTTAGAAGCATTTGTACCAAGGATGATGAACTAGATTGATTTATATCTATGCAGATGAATCTAAGGGTTCAAAAGGTACAAAAGCAGCTTCGAACAATGGATCCAAGTGGAAGTCTATTCTGAAGAACATCGTTGAGCAAGTATCCCAGGTTAGTCTTAGTTTGTCTGTTTTGTCTTACAAGAGACTTTTCGTTGCTTGTTGCGTTCTTTGTACTCCAGTGCTTAAGCTTCTTTTTCTTAGCTCTTGCAGTATCTTAGACTGGCTCTGTTTGTAAACTGCAGGTTCCAATTACTTTGTCAATAGGAGTCTCTTCGCTTCGAGGGACACTGCGTGTACACATGAAGCCTCCTCCATCTGATCAACTATGGTTTGGCTTCACAAGCATGCCCGATATTGAATTCGATCTACTCTCATCTGTTGGTGATCACAAAATCACAAACAGCCATGTCGCTATGTTCTTGGTCAACCGGTTTAAGGTAAAACGCTTGCTCCGCTTTTGTATCTATTAGGAATTTGAACGATAAATAAGACGCAAAACACATTCTGCAGACGGGTATACGAGAGGTCATGGTGCTCCCCAACTGCGAAAGCATAACCATTCCGTGGATGATAGCTGAAAAGGATGATTGGGTCCAACGCAAAGCCGCTCCATTCATGTGGCTGAATCAAGACTCAACCAGTGATCACGACAGCTTCGAAGCAGCAGAAGCGAAATCCAAAGCTGACAAGCCGCCGAGTTCTGAACAAGCGCAGAAACCTCCCAACGTTCCCCAGAAGCCAAGAATTGAGAAAGAACCTGTGACTGCACAACCACCAGCTAATTCGGCAGCTTTTATAGTGGAGAGTGACAGATCCTTGGAAGAACTCAAGGCTCCGCTGCTGGAGAGCAGTGACAAGCAGGACGCGATAGCACGAGGAGGCAATGCCGGGGAGATAATTCCTGGTAGTGTTCAGTCATCGTCGAGGTCGATTGGTTCAAGTGAAGAGGATGATTCGAATTTGAAGGGAAAGAAAATGGGAACCAAGGAGAGGATGTTTGATTTCAGGAAGAAAGTTGGAGAGAAGTTTGAAGAGAAGAAGCGTCATGTGGAGGAAAGAAGTAGACAGATTGTTGAAAAGATGAGAGGACCTTGACACAATGGTTTAGAAGAAGAAGAAGAAGAAGAAACCATCGTTTTTGTTTTTTTTCAGTTTTCAGACAAAAAAAAAAACGTTACAAAGAACAAGAAAGTCAGATCAGATTAGGAGATTGTTACTTAGTGTTCATATGTTTGGTGAAAAATAGCAAAAATAACTCATTGCTAAATATTTCTTCATTCTTATTTATTATTACAAACAAGAGTTGCATCAAAACAAAGATTTTATGCAAGTGATTTCATACACACAAAGAGAGAAATTGAAACAAAGACCATAAACAGCGACATGAGTAAAGCCCCGTCTAATAATCTTCTGGAGCCAATGGCTGGTGCGTGTGGTGCGTAGGTGGCTCACTGGGTATGACCATGTACTCATATATGAGGGCGGCTAAAGCACCGCCGATGAATGGTCCAACCCAATAGATCCAGTGGTCATTCCATCTCCATCCCACCAATGCTGGACCAAAGGCTCGAGCTGGATTCATCGACGCACCAGAGAATGGTCCACCCACTAAGATGTTCGCTCCAACTACGAGTCCGATTGCAAGCGGCGCTATGATCCCAAGGCTTCCACGTTTTGGATCAATCAAAGTCGCATACACGACGTAGACTAGGCCAAATGTTAAAATGATCTCTAGCACGAGTCCGTTAACCACCCCAACGCCTGATGCTACACGGAAACCGACCGGTCTCTGCGTAAACAGAAAGTCTTGTCTTTGTTAACATGCTTCTAACTAAACTCTTAGCTCACTCATATATGATGTGTATTAGTGTTTACCAAGCCGTTTGTTGCGAGCCTCAACAAGAGGCAAGCGATGATGGCTCCAAGAAGTTGAGCGATCCAATAGTAGATGGCACGGATCGCTGAAAGTCTGCCTCCGACAAGGGCACCGAAAGTGACGGCCGGGTTTACGTGTCCACCAGAGACATTGATGGCTGCTGAAACAGCAGCGAACAGAGCAAAGGCATGAGCCAACGCCACTAATATCAATCCTCCTGGTGTGTTTGTTCCTGTATGAGCCGCGTGCTCCCAATACAACTTATCTGACAAAAACACAACGATTCATCATAGGTGATGATGTCACATATGCAAAAGGCTCAAAGCGTGGAATCAGAAGGGTGTACGAACCGAGAGAGAGGATAGAGCCTTCAGCTGCAAATACGAAGACAAAAGTGGACAGGAACTCAGCTAAAGTGGCTCTAATGGAGTCGGGGTGTGTCGCCTCATCGGCTCTGCCGAAACCGTATGATCTACGAGCTGATGTCGCCATTATAATCAAACACTCCGAATTAACAAGGATGTGTGTGAAGAGAAAGATAGAAATGGGAAGAGAGAGATAGAGAGAGTTTAAATGAAGCCAAAATGAAGCGAACTCGAAGTAAAGAGGGACACATGTGAGACTTGAGTGACTTGAGATGGACACGTAGCTTTAAATTGCATGCATTTTACTTAGCCGTGACTTCAATCTATTTTTTTTTCTTCTTAGAGTTCGTGTTCGTATATATCAATAATTTCCTCTGCCTCCTTATCTTCTCTTGGTAAGTTTTTGGACAAGCCTTACGGTTCAAGATATATAATTACATGTCGTGTACGTGTTTGTGTGCGCATGTGTATTTGTATGTGTTGACTATGCATGCATGTGTGCCAAGTAGGTAAACAAGAAGCCAAGAACGAATTTTCTAGAACACAGTCCAAATTGGTTTCACGTTAGATAGATCTATCGGACTTCTAAATTCACAGAAATGAATATATGTTTATACTTTGTTTTTGAAGTAGAGAGACAGAGACCCTTAGTTTTTTATCTGATAAAATTTCGGCTCCTTTCAGCTTAGGCTTCTTCTAATTTTGGCGGGTTAACAACTGAAATCAAAAACGTTTAGAAAAACAGCGGTTTACATAACGGTTTCTTCCTCTTCTACAGAATCTTTATTACCATATGAGAATCTCAAAACTGTAATCTCCATTCAATTTGATATGGCCTTGAGAGTGTGACCTTCTTCAATCAGGGGTTGTTAGCCCCAGAAGCAGCAGCCTCAGCGGCTTTCTTCTTGTTCTCCCTCTTCTTCTTGTTTTTAAGAGCGACCTTGCTCATCTCTCTGTATTAACACCAGTTTCATCCATCAACATAAGAATGGAATTTGCAAGATGTATGTATGTATTGCAAGATAAGAGACTTACCCTGCTGGATTTTCTCCGCGCAACTGCAATTACAAATCATGAACTATCAGAGACGTTCTCACAGAACAGACTACAGAGTCAAAGACCAGAACACATCGATGTTTAGTATCACTGTGACATCATAGAGAAGTTCTTTTTGAGTACCTCGGCTTGAATGGCAGCTGCGTGCTTAGCATGCGGAGGTCGATATGCAGCGGGTTTGTGTACAGTGGGGATTGAAACAACAGGTTTCTTCTGAGCTGATCCTTGTCCTAAGATAGGATAAGTAGAAGAGTTTAAGAACAAGACAAGTTTACTAGGCTTTCTCACTATCAGACACAGGTTTTATGTTGAGATTCAGACCTTGAGATTTGCCCTCTTGGAGTTTCAATGATTCAACTGACTTGATAAGTTCACTGATCTCACCGAACCTCTCTGGAGACTCTGGTTTCCATTCAGCCTGTAGGTAAAATAAACATGGCACTTCAATAAAAGACAATTTGTAAGAATGCTTTTCAAAGCTGTTAAGAGACATACCTGGTAAAGCCTCTCAAAATTCTTCTTGAAGTAACGCTTTCCGTCGTAGTTGAATATTTTAAGCCTTCGATCAAAACAAAGAGAACACATATATTACAAATTGCTTGTTGCTGCCTCATTTCACCGCAAACAATAACTGACTGAAGCAGAATCAGATACTAAACTCAACAATGTGGCAAGAATTTTTAACATACCCATTGTCAATTTGACGTCTTGGTGCTGTCGAGGCAGTCAGGAAATACCGCCCATCTGGAGACCATTCACTTGTTACGGACCACTCAGCTTTATTACTTCCTAGCTGCTTCTTGTTGACAACGTCCCAGAACGTCTGAAATGTATAGTTAAATCAATTGAGTAACCATTTACAAGTGTGAATTGCTGACAAATTGTTAACCGGAAATTGAAAGATAGAAAGAACAGAAGGGGTCATTATTTACCATATCACCAGGTAAGTTACCGAATCCAGCCACACATAAAACTGCGGAACATCGATTGAAAGTTACAAAAGCATATATGGACACAAGTACTCTCTATTTAGAAAGAAACAGGAACAAGAAGAGGATGGATAAGAGAATCATACCTCTCCCTTTTGGGTTCCATCGAAGAGTGTTATAAGGACCTTCGCCAAGTTCCATCAAGGGTTTGCACTTCTTGTCAAAGATTGTCACACAGGCAGGCATAACTGAAGTCACGCTTAAGGAAATACAGATGCGAAGAAAAGCAACCTCTTAACAAGAACACAAGGATACTATATTGATAGTGACATTCAAGAGAAAACATTAATCCTCAATAAACTCATACAGATAAGTCTATAGCTGATGGAAAAAGGATACAGCCATATACAACTGCAAACTCTGAACCCGAGAATGACCATTGAACATCATGAACTGGTCCTTCTTTACCTGTTAAAGTACCAAAGAGTCAGTACTTTCAAAAACCACAAGTGCGGGTACAGAAAAGCTTAGGAGTTAGGACGAACGTAATGGAACTAGGCCTTCATGTGTGCCATCTACTGTAAGGTAGTGCAGCTTCGTTTCCCCATAGTAACTTTGGTTGGTCTTGTCAACATCTGATTGTACAACCACCAAGAGTCCAGTGGAACCATGATTCCAACTAAACTGCACAGAGGAACACCGGAAGAAGCTACGTCGAGCAATTGGCTGACTCTGTGAATCTTTCCCACATTCAAATATCTGGACACTGCCTGGACTCCCCTATACATATAAGTCTCAAAACGTAAGAGTAGCTCATCCACACAAGGAAGAATTACACACATAGCAGTGTGCAGCTTACAGGGAAAAGTTGCGTCTTTTACTACTAAGTAACAAAAAAATTATGATAAGCCCAAAGCAATGAGAAGCACCTTTACTTCTGGAACAAACACAGCAACATGGGAAGCTGGTGTTTTAGAAAGCTCAAATGCAGCAACCCCAGGAACTCTGATCCGGGATGTTATTCCTTTCGAGAAATCTTTCGGGTCAAAGAACTGGACCTCATTTGTAGCTAAACGACACGCGGAAGACTCATCGGGACAGAAGCGAATTGATGGCCTACACAGGAAACACTCCGTATCATAAAAAGAATATAATAAGCACGCATCACATTCACACATCCAAATATTTCCGGTAATAGAGCACTGAAACCAGCTTACCATGTGGTTTTAGTAATGGACTTTTGGTAATGACCGTGTGCTAGATCACCAGTCTCAGTTTTCCAAAGGGAGACGTTCTTCTCCTGCGGAGTAGAGGGCTTCTGAAAGGTCTGCAGATAAGTCCCGCATGGAGATAGCTCAGCAGCCGTAACATCAGCTATAGTGAACGACCTCACTTCGGTCAAGCTGGTGGAGTCATAGATACTGATGACTCCATCTGGTTTTATACCCATAAACTTGGATCCATCGGCGCTGAACTTTGTGTTGGAGCATGAAACTCGTTCAAGCTTGAGAGTGGGTTGACCATTGCTGAATGGTGGGCCGTTCCACACACAGAAACCTTCAGCTTCTCTAACTGCAGCAACAACAACAAAATTAGAGTGACTTTAGAGAAGAGGCATTAGACACAACCCAAGAGTATACAAAAATGGAGTTTCAGAGATATGTACCTAAAATCTCCAGCGACGGTGAAGAACTCATTGCTTACTTCTTGAGACGGCACCTAATGAAAGGATCAAGGAAAAGAAAAAAAAAACCCAGAATTGGTACACTGATTATCCCAATTTACAAACTCAAGTCAACAAAAAGCTCTGGAATTCGTACTGAAACGCTCCTCATCAATCTAATTAAAACTCTGTTTGCAGACTAGTTACACATGAATCGCGAAGAAAATTCATTGACAATATCAAAGTAACCAACTTTTAGCAAACTACTTATTTTGAAACGAAAGAAGGAAAGAATCAGAAATTGAAGAAGAAGAAGAAGAACAAGGCACCTGAAACGATCCGGCAATCGGCGGGCAGAGTATTCGGTTGCGGTTGTGGCCGGCGTAGCTATGAAGAAGATATACCCTAACTTGAAATTTCGCAAGGCTTTGGAAACCTCTAAATAAACTAGAAGGTAACAACACTAATTATTAAAGGATAAAATGTAAATTATAAAAACTCGAAATTTAATATTAGTTGTGTGCACTGCTGCTATTGCTAGTCTCGTTCCATCGTCGTCTCTACCAGGTAAATAAATCTCTTGGAATTTTTTTTTTTGACTAATTCAATTCAAAGAAGGATATTTTTCCATAGAGAATCGTGTCTTTCTTCAAGGATTGCCTATGAATTTTGGTTTGAATTTCATATCCGGTTTCTTACCTAGATTTCTCACCACCTGCTCGACGATAGAACCCTAAATTTTTTGTACCTCCGACGAAACTATCCGTAGATTGTTTCAAATCTTCAGCATAAGAATCTTCTAAATCAAAATGGGATATCAAAAAGTCCCAATTCTGCTAATTATTTTTTGTTGGGATTGTACAATGACAAAAGCAATAGATTTTGAATGAATTTTTAAACTTTTTTTTGACTAATGAAATTTTTAAACTTCTCTCGCAAAATTGACCTGATACATTGTAGTCAACAGTCCAATTTTTTCTCGCATACATACAGTATGTGCATATTTGTTCTGACTTTGTATGATTTTCCATAGAAATATTTGAGATATTGGAAGCTCCATTCTTTGGAATATGGCGGAAGTAAGTCTTGGCATGCTTATAGACATTGTGGACGAGGAGTGGATGAGGGACACTCTGCCTGATGATGGTAACCATTTTTGTCTTCCACATTACACCTCAAGATCACTTTATTTCCTAAAGTCCCATTTTCATCAGATCATCTCTTGTCTGTATTGTTTGCAGCTCTCCCATTGCCTCCAGTGCTTGCTGTTAGGACTGATGATACTGAAGAAACCAGTATGTCCCTTTTTTGTTTTCTTGTACTTTGATTCTGTAGCTCTTAAGTCGTTGGAACACAGTGGTCCTAAGAACTTCTAGCTTGAGTTTTACAATGGTGATGCCTATGTACGTAACTATGTTGATCCAAGATAGTAAACACACATTTGAGTTTTCAACATGTCGTAAGGAAAGTAATACGTCACTAGCCTCTTTTTTTTTTGTGTGTATGTTTCAGAAATAGTGAAGCTATATTTGATAGCTTTGTTTCAGAGAAAGTTTGAGCTTTTAAGACTTTCTATTACGATTACGAGAAACAGCTTTCCTGTGAATAGTAATCTCTTGCATCGCGATTGTTTCAGATCAGGGAACTCAGCAAGCAGATGGAGAAACTTGGCATGATCTTGCACTGGATACACAGTAGGAAGCCTTCGAGTACAGTGTGAACTCTTGCACTTCCTGTTATTCTATGATCAGAAACAGAAATTGTTAGACTTTGTATGATTATGAAGGCATCGTTGCTTCACTTCTATTTATAAAAACTCTCTTGCTTTTCTTATGTTGGTGGAATAAAATTTGCTTCTTCTTTGATCATTGACGATAATTCGTCCACGTGGTTGGTGGACATCATATTCAAATTTCTCGAACCAAAAAAGCTTGACCCCAAAAAAAAAAACATTCCGGGCGAGAAATATGCTGAGCTTATCACTGAGTAATCATGTTCCTCCATTAACGCTCTTGAGCTATGAACGAGGAATCCTCAAGCTCAGATGCCGATCGTCCTTACTGTTTCACCAAGTCTTCCGTAGTAGGGCCCTTCTCGTTTCGAATTCTTCATCTTCTTCACCTGGAGTTGTTGCTATTTCGGCCTCTTCTTCTCCGGTCGCGGTTCCGGAGCTAGATGAGGGGGACAACTCCGATGAAGAATTACGCCGTCTATTGGCGCTTGTACCGGAGGAGATACGACGGACACTGGAGGAGCACCCTGAAATTAGTGAACTCATAGAGGTAGTGTTGGATTTAGGTCGTAAGCCTCTGGCGCGATTCCCTTCTGGAGATCTCGTTATCTCCGAAGACGCCGTCAGGGTTAAGGATCTGGAATTCGCTGTCTCTCAGGTCGGTGAGTGGTTTTGTTTTGTTCTTCATCTCCGCTGAATTTTTCCGTTGACGAAGCATCTATAATATTAGCTCGATAACACCATATGAACGTCTCAGGTTGGAGAGTTTACTAATGACAACCGAGCCGGAATCAGCCGGACGTTGCACCGGATTAGCGCCATAAGGAATCGGAAGGGAGACGTTATCGGCTTAACTTGCCGCGTTGGTCGATCTGTTAGAGGAAGCGCCAATTTGCTGCGTGATCTCGTCCAAGATGGGAATTCGTTGTTGCTTATTGGTCCACCAGGTGTGGGGAAGACTACAATGATTAGGTTTGTGTTGGGTATCTTCTTCTACATACTTCAGCTTCACCCACGAACTCTTCTTCCTCATTGTTCCTTTTTAAGATATTGATATGTAGTCATCATCGCTGATACAGGGAGGTGGCACGAATGCTTGGAAATGACTATGGGAAGAGAGTAATGATTGTTGATACTTCCAATGAGATTGGTGGTGATGGTGATATACCTCATCCAGGGATCGGCAATGCTAGGAGGATGCAAGTCCCTAACTCTGACATACAACACAAGGTTTAGTAGATAGCTTCGTCTTTTGTTTATTTAGGTATACAAGAGAGAGTGTTTTACATGTAATTTTCAGTTTGCTTTTACGTTTAGGTACTGATAGAAGCAGTAGAAAACCACATGCCCCAAGTGATTGTGATTGATGAGATTGGAACTAAACTTGAAGCGATTGCTGCAAGCACGATAGCAGAGCGTGGAATCCAGTTAGTTGCCACGGCTCATGGAGCGACCATAGAGAATTTGATTAAGAACCCTTCATTGGACCTCCTCGTTGGAGGTGTACAGGTTAGACATGATGTGTTTGCTTACCATTCAAACCGAGATTGAATTCAAAGATATAGTTTGGAGATTCCAATTTGACATTTTTATGAGGATCTCTTACTAATGGTCATTGTCACTTATTATCAAGAAATTGGTAAAGAGATGATATTTACGAGATGGGGCACAGGAACTGCATAGGATATTTGAATTGAGTGATATCATGTTGTCATAGCTCAAATGGTCGATAATTGTGGATTAGTTCGTTTTTCTGTTGAGTAGTTGTACAGCATTGTAAACATGTATTCTCTAGTAGGTTAACATTTCTGACATATTAATCTTTGGCAGAGTGTGACTCTTGGAGACGAGGAAGCGACCAGAAGAGGTGGCACGAAGACTGTCCTTGAAAGAAAAGGACCTCCAACATTTAACTGTGGTGCAGAAATAGTTTCAAAGACTGAAGTTCGTGTTCATCGTAGTCTTGAAGCAACTGTTGATGCTGTCCTCGCAGGTAGACTCTTGTCTTATTGAGTTGGAACTGTCAATAGAAGCAGAGAACAGATGCATAGCTACATAAACTATGTTGACACAACAACAATTTCAAGACTCTGGCTTCAGTTAATCTTCTTTTTTTTTGGCTCATCTGCTGGTTAAAAGGTCGCTTACCAAACGTTGAAATCCGCAAAATAAACTCTAATGGAGTGGAAGTGATTATGGAGAAGAAGGAACCTTTCATCGACGTGAGGACTTTGGATAAGAAACATGAAGAGGAAACATTAGATGTTTCAAAGCTCGCCAAGGAGGAAACTATTGCTGAAGTCCTTCCAACGAAGGAGGTGACTGAAGCAGAATCTTCAGAGCAGGAGACACCGATGTATCTATATGTATATGGGGTAAGATTAGAATGAACTTTGCAGATTTTCTCCTATTCCTTTTTATGTTACTAGTGGAAATATGATTTCTTGGTTAATAATATCCATATACCTATACACTGATTCGTCATTTTTCTCACCCAGATTGCAGAATCAACTGTTCTTCAGGCAATCAAGCAACTGGAAATGGAAATTGCTGTTGAGTTAACCGACAACATTAGCGAAGCAGAAGCCTTTCTTGCATTGCAATCCAAGATCAGAAAGAATCCCCGGATAAAATCATTAGCCACATCTCACGGTATACCTGTTTATGTAACCAAGGTAAAAACAGAAAAGACAAATTAAGAATCTCTTGTTCTTCATATTTTCAAATTCCAGCTTAATTACCAAAAGAAAAACTCTCCGTCTTGCAGACTAGCTCAGGTATTCAGGTGGCCAAGGCAATAAGGGCATTACTAACCGACTACGAAGAGGGACTCGGAGAATTTGGATCAGAAGATCGTCCAAAGTTATCTGAAAAAATGGACGCCTTAGAGGTACCTAAGGAGCTAGTCAAAAATTTCTCTGATAGTAACCACAATTCACCATTGTTTCGAACTGATTTGTTTATATGCAGGAAGCAAGATTAGCGATAGAGCGGATAGTGATACCGAAAACGGAACCAGTCGATCTACTCCCGAGGCCAACACAAATCGTGTCTCTTCAAGGAAATCTTGTCAAGAAGTATAATTTACGATCAGAAAGAAAATGGAGAGGAACTGAGGTGTATTTACGGATCCTCCCTTATGGTACAGACCAAGACAGAGAAGGCGATGAAGAGGAAGAGGAAGAGGAAGAAGAGCTTGAAGAGTTCGGTTGTGCCACCGGCGAGTCTAATGGTTCGCCTTACGGCATCGACAGGTTACCTCTATTGCCTGACTAGTTTTATCTGTTCATAACATTACTATAGATACACTTTTGTGAATGCAAAAATGTTTTTTTTATCTTTAAAGAAATTTGATAATTGGGTTATATAAATTGATGGTTACGAAATTTTAGTAGATCGGTGTCGAATTGTTTTTTTGTTACTTAAAACGTTTACTGTCTATAGATAAACGTACACTTGATTTGCCTCGACCAACAGAACGAGTTGTGTCACTAATCAGTTACTTAGTCAAACTAATTATGTGTATTGTTCTTCTTTTTTCCTTTTCCTGAAACTCATGTATTGTAGAAATTTGAATTCAGGGAGGTGATACAACAACAATACCACAAACTATTATGTTACATAATATATCATTCATGAAATCAATAAATTAATTTAATTAAATGTCGTCAACGTATCACTATCTCAGTTCAACTCTATAGTGCATGTGTTGACAAAAGAATAATATTTTGGAAAAAAATATTGTTGACTTTACAAGTTAACACATTCATTCAACTTTTGTAACAATTCTTTTTCAAAAAGTAAAAGAAAAAAGTGGTAATAAAGTTGTGATTTGTGAGTGACTCTATACATATCTAACCGTCATTAGAAATTTCTTTAGTTTATCTTCAGTTCAGCTATCGTGATCCATTTTAATCCCAGGGTTGTTATTTAACTCAAAATATAAATACATAAATGTCATTACTTAATTATATTTGGAAATGAATGGAGGAAAAAGTTGGATAGAAATAAGTGAGTTGGAGAGTGCGCTATGTAAGAAAGTGCCGACCAGCGGAGTGAGGACCACGGTGGGAGGTAGTTAATTAGTTCTAACCTTAATCATCTCAAAGAACCGACTATACTTTACTTAAAACCTCTTTAAGGATTCATTTTTAAATTTTATTTACTAGTTGTGAGTAGTATTACACGCAGGTTTTTATATTCATATTGTTGGTTGTTTTCTTAGCCCTAAACATTTCTTATGTATATATATATATATTTCTATGAATTTATGACCAATATGTAAATAGAATACACACACGTACACGAAGAAACAAAATGCTTTAAGTAATTTGGTGAAATGCGTTAGTTAAGAGCTTAAGAGGATGTTTGTAAGTATTTTCCATCATAGAGTGCGTAGTTTCCATAACTATTTTCTAATTTGAAAACAATCAAAACAATATATAGAGTAAAAGAGGATCTTGAGTATCTCAACTAGTATATACAATGGTCTATCATCTAGACAATCTAAGATTCTCGTATATCCAATCTAACATATTCTTTCTAAATCTTTTGTAATCTAAAAAATTAGGTGTTTCTGCCAATACACTGCTCTCTATAATAGTTGGGTTCAAGTTAGTGTTTTATTCACTTTTTCTTCCAGCTTCTAATTGGTGCTTCACTTACTCTATAAACTAAAGCGACACACTAGTATCCACAAAGTCCAAAATCGTCCACGCTGATAAATTTGTTTATCGTAAAAGAGTCATCAACTTGCTATTATCCAAAGTAAAATAGATCTCACTCTTATTAATTTTTAAGGAAAACTGAGAAAGAAGCGTATTAGTGATTTGGACCTCACTCATGAATATTCTCTAAGTTCTTTTATAATCAATACGTGCACAGATTATACAGAGATTCAGAGTTGCTTTTGCTTGTTATTATTAATAATACTATTTATTTTGTTATTTTTATCACATATGTTATTTTCAGTCGATAGAATCAAACTTCAACCAAAAGACACTACCCGATATCCTTTACTTTGGATTTACGTTAGTTAACTCATACGGTCAACTAAACTAATCAAAAGGCCAACCACAAAAAAAAAGGCGGCAAAAGCCTGCCACGTGGCTTTCATTGACTCTTTGCTACGACAATTATAAAAAATTTAATCCCATTCACATTTGTCTCCCATAATTTCCTTTTTATATTCTGAACTGGTTTATCATTCAAATGCACCTTAACACGCATGTCATCCAGGCATTCTCATTTTTCTTAAGAAATTGGTTTTTGGGATATACTAGAAATAAAATTACAATCTAATAATTAAATCACTCCCAGTAATTCAAATAAGATTTCCATACAATGATGTTATTTTTATTTATCTAAACATAACAGTAACCTGATTATATTTGTATGTGTGGATGAATATATGATGATAATACGATATGTTTCAATAGCTTACTTTACATTATATGTTGACAAAAAGAGTATATATATATATATATATATATTCGAAGTGCATGCATGTGCTCTTGAACCAGCACTTTGCATAGTTGGAAACTCGTCAATTATAAATTGGCTGTTACGACCGCCGTATTTATTTTATAATATATAGCAAAAAAGTTATCATTCAGTGAGATTCATGATCCCAATGCCGTTTTCTATATAAATGTCTCAAGCATTTTGATGAAAACACACACATACCACAGTATCCCATATAGTATTTACATAGAAGACAGTTAAACACCTTCCACACCAAATCATTAGCACATAACGTATGGCTAAGTTGAAATTCTGGCTGTGTCTTTTCTTGATCTGCGTGTCTTTATCGCCTATATCGGCGTCTCGGTCGCTGCAGCAGCGGTTTCGAAACGGGATTAAACGAGGGCGTATGATGAGAGAAGCAGAGAAAGTGTTAAAAGCTAATATGGAAAAGCTAATGGAGAGAGGTTTCAATGAGTCCATGAGACTCAGTCCTGGAGGTCCCGATCCTCGTCATCACTGAGTATACTCTACTCTCGTAAATTTTAATTTGAGGAATTAATGTATATTTTTTTTTCTTGATCGAGAACCGGTTTAGAAGAAAACATATTGATCCGTTTTGTATGTAGCCTTGGTGTAACCAAAATAAATTGATGTATCTGTTCGTCAGATTTTTTATGAATTGTGCATGCTTTACGTACCCTATACATTCTATTATATGGTAGAGAGAGTCTAGAGACTAGAGAGGACGTTTGCATATAAAAGTATATATATAACAAGAAAAGGGTAAAGAAATCATATGAAAAAGGGAGACTGAATTAAATTAATTTATCCTGTTTTTTTCTCTAGTGGCTCGTGTAGATTATACGATTTAAAATTATGTTTGAAAAGTTTATATTATTTATGAACTTTTTCATCTCATCTTCTACCAATAAAACATATATATGAAAAGAAAGATAGTGATTGAAGTAAACAAACAAGGGAAAACAGAGATGTGGCTTTAAGGAAATTAGACTTCTTTTAAAGTTCGAAGTCAACGTCTCTAATTTTCTCCTCCTTCACAACTTCAATTTCTACCAGAGACCAAAACCTTGAAATGCTCTCTACAGAAACCGTATCTCAAAATATCCATTTTCTTATTTTTTCTTATGATCTACAGACTACAAAGAAGAAGAGAAATATTGAAACATTTTTGTATATTAGTGGAAAAAAAAGAGAAAAAGAGTACAATGATAACTCAACTATTAAATCGGTTAAACCGGATACATAAACCAATACTTTTAGTTTCTTTACTAGATCCACCAAAACTTACAAGTGTGTATTGTGTAAGTATGAAATTGCAAGAAATCAGGTAACTTGTTACAAAAGAAACGAATCAAAGTAACTTACAAAACCAATGAATTTTTCAATTATCTATAGGAAGAGGGTACCTACAATACCTCTCGTTCTTCATACACATAAAAAATCTCTCATAAGCCGAAGCCATTTGAGTAGCTGTAAACATCGAAAGAGCGTAATCCTTACAAGCTTTTCCCTTCATCTCCAAAACCCTAGAACCATCTCTTACAACAGAATTTAACGTTTCAACAAGAGATCTCACGTTTGGAGAAAACGTGTACCCAAAACGCTCATCCACAACCACTGTCCCAACAATGCTCGGATAATTAGGCGTCAAGACCGGTTTCCCACAATGCATTGCCTCAACGATCGTCAAATCAAGCCCCTGTGGCCTCAACGTTGGATTCACAAACACATCTAAAGCGTTGTAGAAACCAGAGAGCTTTTCTGGCTCTAACGCTCCCAAAACCCTAACGTTTTCACCTAATTCCGCGTATCTTTTGCCCCAAGGACCAGATCCAGCCACAAGTAGATACACTTGCGGGTGCGTTTTAGCGATCAAAGCAAACGCTTCGTAGAGAAGTGGATGTCCTTTGTCTCTCACCAAACGTCCGGAGACACCCATCACAATAACCGTCCCATTACCATCAGGAACACCGTGTTTCTCCCTGAATCTAGCTCCAGATTCAGGGGAATACACGAACTTGGTCTGGTCAACGCCGTTGACTACAACGTGAACGTTTCTCTTAGGAAGCTGATAGATGTTAACGAGAACCTCACGCGCGCTGTTGCTTATGCAAATATGGTGTTTATAGCTCGAGAAGAATCTGATTTCGTCCACTAGTCTAGGCATCGCCTGCTGAAGATCAGAGCTTGGATGATCATTCGAGTAATAAAGCTCTTGGAAAAGCTTAGAATGCATAATCTCGTACCAGATTCCGTGCCACGTCACAGCTACGTCACCGCTAGGCACCATTTTGATTCGCCAGTGAGGCAGAGAGACACTCTCGGTGTGAACATAGTCGAAGGGACGATCATCTACACCGTTGATTCTGTGGAATATCTCGAAAGCCTGAGTCTGGTTAAGTACGCCGTTTTGGTTTGGCGCAAAGTAGATGTGTAGATCTCCCTTGTTGTAGTACTCTTCTCGGTTGTTGCTTTTGTCGGAAGAAACCGTAAAGACGTGAACCTCGTGGCCTCTTGAGGCAAGAGACGTGTAGAGAGTGTGTGCGTGACGCTCCATTCCTCCAGGGATCGAACCAACTGGCCATGATTTGCAGAAGACGGCGAGTTTTAGCTTCTCGGAGATTGGTCCGAGAGAAAGTTTGTTCCAAGGGAATGTCAGGTCTCGAAGGTCTCCGGCGAATGGGGGATTTTCCGGCGAAGAAGTCACCGGAGAGTAGTCGAACTGCGAGAAGAAGATGTAGAAAAAAGAACAGAAAACGAGTGCTAATGTAATGATTGTTGTGAATCTGAATGGAAGTGAAGTGGAAAAAGAAGAAGGAATTGTTCTTGAAGAATGATTCTTGAAGGCCATTTCTCTTGCTTTGGTTTATTTGATTTTTGTGAATTTGATTGCCAACTACTGAAGATGATTCTTTGCTTAAAATTCGGATCTTCCTCAGATTTTTATTACAGAGTTCGATTCTCAATGGAATTGCACATGGCTTAGCTAATTTTATATGTTTTTCGACATTCAATCAAGTCAAAATCTCTTTGAATTAACTGGGATTTGTGACTAAACCGGGGACATCTATCTGGTTTTTTTCTTCCTGGTTTGTTCCGGTTTGGTTATTTTATTCAGGACACGTGGGCGTTATTACCCAGTCACACTTTACACATGTGTTATTCCCCTAATTCCTCGGGTTCTCAAGGCGCGTGGGCTAAAGCGCGTGTGTCTACGCTATTCTCGCGGACGCTGCGACTCACAATTGCTTCCCCTAGGGTTTCGTTGTTGCAATCCCAGTCAATGTTCATGTACCACGGATCCTAACCCCTTTCCCGTCTACCTCACCGATCTCCGATTCCTTGATTCGAATCCTCAATATTGGCGCTGTGCGTAAAAAACCCTCGAAAAACCCTAAATTTCCGTTCAGAGAAAATTGTCAACGAGGGAATGGCGTCTGGTGCTATAGCCGGTGGTGGAGTTTCGAAGGCGAAGCATAAATGGAGTGACAGTGGCAGCAAAAGCCAAAAACGATCGACACCCACGATGGCGGCGAGACAGGAGAGGCCGATTCCGCTCGTTGCTCACTCTAACTCGATTGGGTCGGAGGAAAATCAACAGACGATGAAGATAAGCCTGAGCTCAATTTCGAAGCTTGAAGTCAGGAACTTGAAGCGGAAACTAATGGCTGAGCTGGACGAGGTCAGGAGCTTAATCAGCCGGCTCGAACCACGAGGCCACAACGTCGCCGGAGGTCTCGCGGAGACGCCGGCGGCCAACAAGAAGCTCAAAACAGCAAACGGTGGTAGGAATGGGGGACACGGAGCTGCTGATAAAGGTACGCTTCAGATTTTGAAGAGCTGCAACAATCTGCTTACGAAATTGATGAAGCATAAGTTTGCATGGGTTTTCAATACACCAGTGGATGCAACTAGCCTTGGTTTACATGATTACCACACCATTGTTAAAAAGCCTATGGATTTGGGGACTGTGAAGACTAAGTTGAGCAAGAGCTTGTACAAGTCTCCCTTGGATTTCGCTGAGGACGTGAGACTTACTTTTAACAATGCGATGCTGTATAATCCGATTGGGCATGATGTGCATCGTATGGCTGAGTTTTTGTTGAAGATGTTTGAAGAGAAATGGGCTCCGCTTGAAACACAGTACGAGTCTCTCAGTAGAAGGCAACAAGAACCAGCCCGTGATATCGATTTTCATCGTCCTGTTTCAACAAACACTCATTATGTAGAGCCATTACCATTACGAGCTCATACACCTTCCCCGTCTCCTCCTCCTCCTCCTCCGCCTCCTACAGTAGTTGAAAATAGGACTTTGGAGAGAGCAGAATCTATGACAAACCCAGTGAAAACTGCAGTTGTAGCTGCTTCCCCTGAGAAGCCTGAAGAAGAAGAGGGATCTGGAAATAGGGAATTGACGTTTGACGAGAAGCGGAGGCTTAGTGAAGACCTTCAGGATTTACCTTTCGACAAGCTAGAGGCAGTTGTTCAGATTATAAAGAAGAGAAATCCGGAACTTGCTCAACAAGACGATGAGATTGAGCTGGATATTGATAGTCTTGATCTCGAAACGCTTTGGGAGCTTCACAGATTCGTGACCGAGTATAAGGACAGCTCGAGCAAGAAAAAGGAAGAACAGAGGTTGGGCTCGGAAAGAGATGCTGAATCTGCTCACACTATTGTCCAAGAACCGGTGAGAGCAACTAACTAATTGCTTTTGACTTCTCTTTCTTTTACCGTATTAACTGGTATCTAGGCTCTAATGATCTCCTGATTTCTTCTTTCGTGCTCACAGAACACTCTAGTAACTGGCCCGGAATCGCCAAAAGTTAAAGAATTAGGTGAGAATTTGAGTTCATAAGATCGTATTGAATTCTGCTGTATCAGTCCTTTTGCCCCACTGCTATAACTCTTCTTTAATTTTGTTTTTGACGACTTAGGTCATGTGGCATCTCCTGTTCGACAAGAAGTAAATGCTGGTGGATCAAGTAGTTCTAACAGTTCCAGTAGTGGATCAGGCTCGTGTTCTAGTGGTACAATGTTGAAACTTGTTTACTCTTCTTCTCGCTTATCAGCATTACATTCCCAAACCAGTGTACTCACATTCATTTCTCTTACCTTTTGCAGATTCTGACAGTGACAGCTCAGGGCATGGGTCTGATACCGGTAATTAACGAAGATTGTGAAAGTATTTAGCATAGGTGGGAGCCATCGTGTTGTCGAATTTCAAACTTGGTGCATCTCTTTAAGTAGCAAAAGCTAGGTTGCCTTTTTTCTCCAGCTTCTCCCGCATTGGATTGTTTCTGTATTAGGGTTCTTGTTAAACTGTACAGCAAAAGTGAACATCTTAAAGTGTTTTGTTTCGGGCTTGTCATCAATCGAACAGCCTTGTTCTGTACCACTTAATAGTTTGTAGCCGAATAATTTGGTCTTTTATAGTGTTTCTTTTATTCATACCACTATTTTAGACCACTTTAACAACAAACAAAAGACATGCTACCTAATGTAGAAAGTTCACCAACTGGTGGTTACATGGAACAAATTCATTTTTTGTTGTTGCTTGTATGTGAAGATATTCGATCCTTTCAAACACCCAACATAGAAGTTCTCAATTCTTCTGTTGAATCTGTATCAAATGTCGATACAGACTTCCGCGGATTCCCGGATTATTCAATCCGTATTCCAACTTGTGCTTGTTAGTCTTCTGGTTTTAGGATCAGCAAGATGGATCCTTGATGAACTCAAGAGCAACGAGAGTCGGATATTCCAACTCTATGGCTTCAGACAAAAAGAAGCAGTGTTTGTTACTAAAGAGGACCAGCTTGATGAGAGCTGCAATGTCTTTGAAGGACAGTGGGTTTGGGACAATGTCTCTTACCCTCTTTATACAGAGAAGAGCTGTCCTTATTTGGTCAAACAAACAACATGTCAACGAAACGGACGGCCTGATTCTTATTATCAGAACTGGAGATGGAAACCGAACTCATGCGAGTTGCCCAGGTAAGAAAGAAGAAAAAAAAATCATGGTCTCAGATCCAAATTTGAGTTAAGTGACTTTAATAATCTCTGTGATGTTTCAGGTTCGATGCTCTGAAACTGTTGGACGTGTTGAGAGACAAAAGAGTGATGTTCATAGGAGACTCAGTGCAGAGAAGCACGTTTGAGTCAATGATCTGTATGGTGCAATCAGTAATACCTGACAACAAGAAGTCTTTTCACAGGATTCCTCCTATGAAGATCTTCAAAGCTGAGGTACATAAAAAAAAACACATATTCCTAGTAAAAAGAGGCAATGATGGTTTCTTTTCTTCTACTAAGTATGCATGCAAATTGATCAGGAATACAATGTATCGATCGAGTATTACTGGGCACCTTTCATCGTGGAATCAATTTCGGATCATGCAACGAATCATACAGTACACAAAAGGTTGGTCAACCTCGACGCCATTGAAAAACATAGCAAGAGCTGGGAAGGCGTCGATGTTCTAGTCTTTGAGAGCTATGTGTGGTGGATGCATCAACCTAAGATCAATGCAACGTAAGACAAAATCAAAGTTGCTTGCATTTAGCGCCTTAGAAGGACAACTTATATCTAATATTATATAAATCCTATGCAGGTATGGAGATACCAGAGAAGTCCACGAGTACAATGTGACGACTGCTTACAGAATGGCGTTAGAGACATGGGTCAAGTGGTTAGTGACGAAGATCAATCCCGTGAAGCAAAGAGTTTTCTTCACGAGTATGTCTCCGACTCATCTATGGTATGTTCCTTACAAAACACGAAACATTTTCAAAAACTCTACTGATGATAGATAATTTTGAGAGCAAAGCTTATATTCAATTTCCAAAGACTAAGGCGAGTGGTTTTGGTGTGTGATGTTGGCAGGAGCTGGGAGTGGAATCCAGGGAGCGATGGAACCTGTTATGATGAGTTAAATCCAATAGACAAACAATCATACTGGGGCACAGGATCAAATCAAGAAATCATGAAGATAGTTGGTGAGATTCTAAACAGAGTCGGAGAAAATGTGACGTTCCTGAACATTACGCAGCTGTCAGAATATAGGAAAGATGCACACACGACCGTGTATGGAGAACGGAGAGGGAAGCTCTTGACGAAAGAACAGAGAGCTGATCCCAAAAACTATGGAGACTGCATCCACTGGTGTTTGCCTGGAGTTCCTGATACATGGAATGAGATTCTCTATGCATATTTGCTACGAAGTCATCGGAATTCGTTCTGACTATACCTTCTCGGAGAATGTCAAGCTCAAGAACATGAAGTTTTTTACATATCAATGGTATTTTTTGAACAGATATGAATGCAAGCAAAGACGATAGGACAAATTTTTGGTTAATCATTGTCAAAAAAAAGTTTGCATCTCAGAGCAAATTAGCTCATTCAATAAAAGCGAAAGGAGTCTCACTGAGGATTAAAATACATGGCGGATTTGAACTTGTGCTAAAATGATGCGAGCATAAATGTTACAATAGCTCCCACTGTGAATCTTCTGATTCTATGGCTTTCATGTGTTTAGTAGAATCTTCCCCATAGGCTAGATCAGAACCCATAGCAGCATCTCCGAACCAAATTGCAAGCTGCTCATACTCCTTCTCTCTTCTTCTTTTCGTAGTTAACGCATCCATGACCTTTCTCTGATGATGATAGAAAAAAAAGGTAAAAATTAGGCAATCGGATATAATTTGGTGTAAAATCTAAGAAAGAGGTTGATGATGATCATGGAAGCGGAAGTTACAGTTTGATATAAGTCAGAATGATCTGAAGTACAGAGTACAATTCACTAGCAAGAAACCAGGTTTCGGGTTTATCACAAAGACATATATCTAATAGAATGTGGGAGAAAGCATGGAACCTTGAATGATCTGAGCTTCTTGGTCCTAACACGCACTGCATAGAGTGAACTGTCGTCAACATCATACGAGGGATCTTCTCGATAAGTCATGCCGTATAATGCTTTGGTATCCAACGGACCAACATCAGATTTGCCACTAACTACATCATCTAGAAATAACAAATGTTACCAATGGAAAAAACGTTAAGAGGATAATTAAAGGGTCCAAAACTACTAGCAAACAATAGCAAAACCAGAAAAGAGTAAAGAGAAGCACTAACCCTCATTAGAGGATCTCATGTTTGCCACATGATCTTGAACAGGTGCATCTTGAATCTTTGTGTCGATTTGATTTAGATTTTGATCATCCGTGAAAGTCCTAAACGCTGCTACAATGGTGTCATCCTTATAATCTACTACAGCCTCAAAACTTTCCACAGAGCTTTGAGTAGATTGAGATTCTTCGGAAACATCTATGCATGATTCAGTTCTTCCTTCTTCAACCATCTCCTCAGTTTCTCCAGCATACACTTTCTGAGGAGTTAAAGTGTTGGTGATCTGAGACTTCTCACCGCTAATTACTACTGATTCTTCATCAACGCCAAGTGTAGTGCCTGATGTTAGACTACCATCACAGTACTCTTGGAGCAATGGAGCTCCAGAGAGTAATTCTCCATCATCCAACGAGGAGGAGTCTGATAAACTCTCCTTCAAACAATCCTCTTCAACTCGAACATTTCCTAAAATTTCAAAGTTCTGATGTGACGGTGGATCATGTTCCTTCTGCAGATCACAAGTTACAGAAGATCGGTCCTCCTCCGCGACTTCATCTGGTTCACCTCTTACAGATTCCCAACCCGAAGGATCACTTGATTTCAAACAAAGCGTGTTCTGTCCCAACACAAGAAGAATCCATCACTCATTCCCTCATTCGTTTTGATCAGATTAAATATGAAATATTTCAACAATGGAATCTCAGAGAAGAGTACCTGAGAAGTGAAAGTGTCCACTTCCACAAGTATCGTTTCAAGCTTGTTGAAGATTTTACCAAACCATGCTCTTCCTTTCGATTCTGTACCCATCGCTCACGCTATAGAAGTTTTATGCAGAAAACAGCAAAAAAGGTACAAACTTTGGTTAGGAAACATCATCGAATCGAATGGATGATCAGAAGATGAAAGTTCCAAACAACAAAAAAAAACAGGAGAAGGTCCCAACTTAGAAACAGCTCAAAACCCCTGAAAATTTTGCTATCATCATCGATGAGTCTAAATTTTATCGAAACTTTAGCTAAGTTCTCGGAAAAGATGAATATTTCTGAAAAAAAAAATACTAATAGACACTTCTCTCTAATTGGTGACCAAAGCACGAAGATCGCTGAAAAAGAGAAAATCATAGACGCATCGAATTTTATTATAAAAAACGAGACTTTCAGATTGAAAACGCAAAAGGAGAGGAAAGGGAAATAAACCCTATAGCTCAAAGTAAACCATAGACGCGAGAACGAAGGAAAGAGATAAGAATTTACCTGAGAAAGTAAGGAGGAGACTACAACATAGGGAAAAAAAAACGAGAAATAACCTGATGAGAATCATCACACAACAATAAATATTAGCTTCTCCGCTTATATATAAGATTTTTAAGGGTGGGTTTAAGATTTTTCATTTTATTTTTAATTTAATTAAAGTGAACGTCGATTTGTGTGGGCCATATATGGGCTTTCTTATCTAAAGTCGAAGACATGTGGATGATTTTACTCTTATATCGCATAGTTTAAACAATATTGTCTGTTTATAATGGGCTTTCAATGTAAAGCCCAATATACCATTTTCGTGTCGTCATGAATCACGCCACAAGTGTATTATGTGTATGCATACGTATGTGTAAAAATGATCCAAAATTAGAAGACGTGGATCATGCCACGTGGAGGAGATGACCAAAGAGAGGCATGGGTCTGTCGATAATCTGCATTGGGAGATGTGAGTATGGATTATCCCACACACTCTATATCTTTCCACTCCAAACTTATTTTAATGTCATTTTGTTAAAATTCCATTCCCATTTGATGATGTGTGTGTGTCTATAAATGCAACTCTCACAATTCATACAGCATAAATTGTATATTTATTCTTACATACTCTTTTATTCATACACATTATTGTAAGAGAGATAATCGACATGGCGACCTCCACATTCTCGTCTCGTGGTGCTCAAACGATGAACACCATGTTCGTCAAGTAAGCCTACTTTGCATGCAATATTGATAATGCAGAACAATCATATGCAAGATCGTAGAATTATGATCACTTTGATATGTTATCGTGTGTTATTATATATATATTTACACATGCAATTACATATATAGGCCGATGCTTAGGAAATCGATCCACAAGAAGAGCGCGTCGCACGACATAGTGAGAGAGACGGCGAAGACGGACGCTGGTGGTGCCGGAGAGGAGATGAAGACGATGAGAGGTTTCTCCGTCGCCGGGGCCGGAGAGACGTCGTCGTCAGCGAGTAGTTGGGTCCCACATGAAGGCACGGGAATATACTATCCAAAGGGGCAAGAGAAAGTGATGCAAGATGTGCCACCTCCTCCAGCTGGCAGCCACGTGGACGAGCTCGTTAATTGGTTCTCTTGATCAGTACTGATCTCTTGTCTCATCTCGATCTCATCGCAAGAAACTCTGTTGTTCTCTCTGTGTTCGTATAATTATTTGTTGTATGCGGGAGAATTTCAATTTTCAGTGCCGTATGCTGGATATGTATGGTCAAAAAACAGATGACAATGAATAATAACCGTTGTAGTATATAAATGAAACGAGTTAATCACCAATGCATGTAGCAGTAACCGTTGCTTTATGCATGCTTTCACTAATTAGCTTGTTTGCTGGTCACCTCTTCTAAGGACTAAGTAACACTTTGTTTAGTGATCAAGCCTACTCCAAACAAAAATAATTTCATCATTAGTAACAAAGAGAAGATAGTATTTGTCTTAAAGAACCACAGAATTATCTACTATCAGACAAGAATAGTTTTTTTTTTGTTTTGTTTCTTATTCTTTCAAACGACAGTCATTCATATCAAGAAATTAAATAATTCTTAAAAACATCACTTATTAAGAAATTAAATAATTCTTAAGACACTTATTCAAATGCCGTCGGCATAACAAAGTAGTATGCGTACGAAACCTCGTCCACTCCTACTTTTACCGAGTAAAATTCTCCAAGGGTTTGAATCGCTATTAACGTTCTCCAAACTCTCCAAGCTGCAGGAAAATATTGTCCACTCTTATTTTTACCAACTAAAATTCTCATTTAAATCGCTATCAAGGTTCTCCAAGCTGCAGAAGAAAATTGGCCCAGAGAAATGGATAAATAAGAGGTCATATAGTGGCTACAAGTGAAACGTCTCTCAAACCACAAGCAAAGAGGGCTGTATACACAACCACTTCATCGCAAGCATCATTCATTGGTCGATCACTTGATGAGGGTATCCTCAAATCTACATTTGACAGATCGCATGCTAGCATCATCTTAGAAAACACCTTTTTTTTTATGTATTCTTCCTACCGATTCTTTGATCTATGGTTTATACTAACTCTACACTTTGTATTTCATAAACAATCTTGTACTACATATGTACATTATACATCTATAGAAAATGTTTAGGTTAGAGTTAGTCATAAACAATATAATAAACAATATAGATAAAAACAACTATCTATGCATTTGTTTTAAGTTCATCAACATATTAGTTTTTACGTTTGAAAGTAACCAAAATTTATAAACAAAAAAATCTATACATGTATAAATTGAGAATATATATATATTTATATTAATTATGCTTTCATATAAATTGCTAAATTTCAAGCAGCCAATTTTTTTTTATTTTTTGTAATGTCAATTTTTTGTGTGACACTTACTCTACCAACAGATTACAAAAGAGATTACAAAGAGTTTTTCTGTTTATACCTATATATATCTGTTGTTAGATTTTTTCTTTTTGTTTTAAGAACTTTATATTACTCCAATCTTGAATATAATAATATTATTTATCTTATTCAATTATCTTTTTAATCCAACTTGGCACAAAGCTCAACAATTGAATATATATTGTTTAGGACCATAATCCAAATAAGAAAAATAAACCTTCTCAATTCTCTCGGACTTCTCTCTTTGAGGGACCATGCCAGTCATTGTTTTGTGACACAAGTTCTCGAATGTTTTGATTAGGCTTGTCCATTTTGGAATGAGTTTCTGTCAAAGCTCTGATCTTATTCAAATAATATTCTGTTTTGGACTGTTTATTTTATTTTAAGAAGAAAAAAATATCAGAATACATGAATTGTTGAGAATTTTAAAAGAAATATACATAAATTTTAGAATATTTATTTAAAAGACATGGATCTTACAGACCCGATAATTATATGGTATATGCTAGAATGATTTCCAATTCGAAACAAAAGTCTCTCTTTGTTAATTTGTTTAGAAAGATCATTGTTTTTTTTTTTCTGTATTTTATCAGTCAGATTTCTATTATAATCATTCGAAAGTGTTAAAAATATGTGGAACATTATATATAACAAACTCCTTTGAAATGAAGGAATCATCCATCGGGTCTGCAAGATACAGTATAAATTAGTGTAGGTCTGTTCATAATATTAATTTTAACATGCGGGATCCAAAATCAGTGTTGCTGATTACCTTCTAAGGACTAAGTAAAGCATTGTTTACAACGTTTCGTGTCAGGCTTTAACCAAAATCTATCAGACAAAGTTTAATTTCATTCTATTGGAAGTTAAAACTGCTAAAGTTTCAGGCAAATACATATGCAAGTAGTAACAAGAGAGAAAATCTAAAGAGATGGAATTGTGGGGCCAGAAGTAAGTCTTTGTCTTCAAGAACCACAGAAGCAGCTACTATCAGACAAGATACAAGAATGGCTTTTAGAACAAATGGCTCTTCTACTTCTTCTTCAATCAAAATCCTATCTTTAGGAAAAAAAAAAAATTATATAAAAAAGTTAATTTAGTTGCAAACAGTGGATTTAATGGCGCTTGCAAACATATCTTTGCGTTTCAAGTTTCCACCACAACAATCTTCTTCCTCTTCCACATTCAACAACACTTTGATCTCCCACAGAAGAACCTCTTCCATTGCTTGCTCCAAGCCATCGTCTCTCTCGGCCGGAGATGACGGCGGAGACAGTGGCGCGAAGCCGCGAAAGTTATCGGAGCAGTCGTCGTGGGAAGCAAAAGATTCGGAAGGGAAGGATTATCTCTACAGGCTTGGCGCGGAGTCGGATAACGTCAACATAGCCGTCGGAGCAAGAGCCGGCATGATCGACGACGTATTCATCGGAGATTTCCTTGGAAAAGATTGTTAAGTCTCTTTTTGTGAATTTGTTAAGTCAAAAAAGGCTCAATCTTTGACTTGATGTTGCTTTATTGTCTTTGATAAGGAGTTAACACAAGTTGTGTATCTGATGATTTGCAGCTGATATTGTGTTTGATTATCGTCAGAAGGCGACGAGGTCCTTCGAACATCTTCAAGGAGATTATTACATTGCCCCAACGTTCATGGTAACTGTTGTATATATCTGCATCAAATGTAGCCACTGAGCCAATGGGTTTGATCAATTTCAGACCTTTTTGCTACCAAGTTGCTTATATCTTAATTCTTCTTTCTTGTCTTTTCTTTTTGACAGGATAAAGTTGGTAAGGGTTCATATATGACAGCCTTAAGTGTCTGGAACTATTGATATGATCTTTGGTTCTACATTTTAGTTTACCTTAAAACATGTCGATTTTCAAATGTTTTCTGCAGCGGTCCACATTGTGAAGAACTACCTTGCAAGCTCTCTGAATATAAAAATCCCATTGATCTTAGGTAATGAATGCGCCTCCTGCTTCTCTGTTTAGATCCAGTGACTGAAATCTCCCTAAAATCTCTTGAACATTGCGGTGTTTAGGTATCTGGGGAGGTAAAGGACAAGGCAAGACGTTTCAGACCGAACTTATCTTCAAAACCATGGGAGTTGAACCGGTTATAATGTCTGCAGGAGAGCTGGAATCCGATCGAGCTGGTGACTTTACCCGACTATGATATAAAGATTTGTTTACTTGGGTCTATCTAGTAAACATTGTGCTATCGGAAGTTCTAATCTTTCTGATATTTATAACAGGGGAACCGGGAAAACTCATACGTGACCGATATCGAACAGCTTCACAAGTCATTCAGAATCAAGTTAGAAGCTCTTCTTATGATTCTCAGTCTTGTTACACGTATTTATTACATTTACGGGACTAGCATGAACTTTGATGATGACTTGTAAATGCAGGGGAAGATGAGTGTTCTCATGATCAATGATATTGATGCTGGCCTTGGAAGATTTGGTAAAAACTCGATTCCAGATAACTTCAAGCTTATGCTGTGACTCCTCTGCTTTTGTTCTGAAGAGTTGATCTTAACTGAGTTTAGTGCTCTCTTTGTAGGGGAAACACAAATGACAGTGAACAACCAGATTGTTGTCGGTACTCTGATGAATCTTGCGGACAATCCTACAAGGGTGAGTGTGGGACAAGACTGGAGAGAAGCTGATGTTGTAAACAGAGTTCCTCTCATTGTCACAGGGAACGATTTCTCCAGGCTCTATGCTCCACTGATCCGTGAAGGAAGAATGGAGAAGTTCTACTGGTAATAAAAATCCACACAGATTTGCTTTTCATTTTCCTGCAAACTATTGGATCTTTCCTGATTCTGAAAAAAAAAAGCTTAAGTGTTTGATGTTCAAACACAGGCAGCCAACTCGTGAAGACATCGTTAACATTGTTAGCAGAATGTACGAGAAAGATGGGATATCGCGGAAAGATGTTGTAAGCATTGTTGATAAGTTCCCAAATCAAGGTAATATATTTACTATCTCGATGAGGAGCACGAAGCTGCAGTGTGAAGCTTTTCCTTACCACTTCATTATTTATTGCAGCACTTGACTTCTATGGAGCTCTGAGGTCACGTACATATGATAGATCTATCCTCAAGGTAACTTAACTTCAGCAGCCATGAACAAACCATCTGTTACAGATAGGATCACTGCAGTGAAATGGCTAATCTCTTTGTTGTAACAGTGGGTAGATGATGCTGGAGGAATAGAGACTCTAGGGAAAACTCTTCTCAGGCGTAAAAAGACCGAAGAAGTTCCTCAATTCATACCCCCTGAGGTAAATGCCATTGCAGGCTTCACAGTGATCTATCTGATACTCTTAGATTTGGTTCCAGGAGATCCTATGAAGGGTTTGTTTCATAATGATGATATTGATTGGTGTAAACAGCAAACGGTGGAAGCATTGCTGGAATCAGGATACTCACTCATTATGGAACAAAAACTCATCATGGAAACAAAGCTTTCCAAGGAGTACATGAAGAACATTGATGATTAATACCAAACAAACATCGATTTTTTGTTTTCGTTCTTAGAGTCTACTGATAAGTTGTTACAAAAAGCTTAAATACATAACTGAATCGCTCTCTATAGAGTTTCTTTTTACCAAACCCATGAGAATGGAACCTAAAGCCGATATGGTGCCAATACATTAGATGTGAATGCAGAACATGCAAATGCATACACAATTTACAAAAACGGCAACCATTACCTTAATAATAACTAAGCGCGCAATTAAAGCCAAGCCACATCTCCCTTTGCACTTTGCTACACACATTAAGATCTTCAGTCTGTCCTGTGACAATAGAAATGGTTTCAGACGGTTTGTGTCAGACCTATATGTGGAAAGTACAAAGAAAAGAATATGACCATAGAAAAGTGAAGTGGTTACATTTCTCAGATTATCCGAATGAACCACGGCAATTCACAGATCCACAGAAGCATCTCCTCTTTCCATGAAAAAGGCTCCCATGTCTAGTCTCGGATGTAGGGGAGACCCCATAATCATATGTCAACTCCGCCATTGGAGGAATGTGACGGATGGCAAAGAAAGCAATGTGGACAACCGATTCACCGTTTCCTTCACAGATAACTGGCTGCCACAGAACGTTGGGAGAGCAACTGTGGTTCATGAACCGAGCTACGTTTCCGAAATTCTTGGCACTGATCAGGAGTGGTGATGTGAGATTAAACTCCTCGGGGACTTCATCTGAAGGGTCCTCATCTAGTAATGCAGGTTCATAATTCCACTTAAACGAGTTACAAACACGCGACGAGTCGAAGACAAACTCATCGTCTTCTAGGTCAGCTCTAAACCTCCCTGTGTCTCTGACCTCACCAGCATATTCACATATGAAAGTACCAGCACGGATGGGATCCAACGAACGTAAGCCCCAACCACGATCGGCTGTCTTAAACACTTCCAAGCGGGCTTTCAGTCCTGTCTGAATCACTTTGTTTTTGCAACTGGCATGACATGGACAGGTTGCGCCACATTCATATATCATTGGCCTCCGAGAAACAAGCATAGTCCCATTAAGGTAAGGGAGATCACCGCCATTTCTCCGGATGCAAAAGCAGTTAAGATTTCCCGGTGCACACGAGCCATGGCAGGAACAACCGATCGTGGCCTGAATCAGTTTAAAGGTTTCCGAGTATTTTAGAGAGGAGATATAAGTAAAATAAGCAGGCCCCTTCTCTTCATCAACGTCATTCACAAGCGAAACAGGTTTGCTTTCAGCTCCTGAAGTGATATCTGGAAGGATAAGACCTGGTCTTGCAGTCAAACCTTCCGTCCACTTCTGAACAGATTTCCAGAGGCCGAAAGCAGGAGGTTGACCAGGCAGTCTCACCAGTTTATATTTGAATGTGTTGCAACCAGATTTCCCTTTCTCAACCCACGACTCTAAGATTGAATAAAGCCCATCATAAATATAGATCTTTCCTGTTTTACTAGATGGATCCTCCTCCCCTCGTATGACTCTTACTCCATTGCCCTTCCTCAAGCTTTTCTCTAACGCCAGATTACCCCTTTCAAGTTTCTGATCAGATGCTTGTCCGTTCTTGTCTGCATTGCCGCCTTGTCCACTGTAGATTAAAGACTCAGGATCCTGGGCTTCACCGTCATAACGACCAGCTGCAACAATGCTAGTAGCTATAGGCTCTTCATCTGCCCCAACTTTACTTGTTATATAGTCAATGCCAGCCATAGTCTGCATGTGAAGACCCACCAAACACATCTCTAACCGGGAAAAGAAGATATCCCCGACCTCAATTCCGGGAACCGTCCCAACTCTCTTCTTCATGTTTGTCCGAACCCCATTGCTCATTAAAATACCTGCTGCTTTCGAAGTCGCGGCCTTTGCATAATCTATTTGGCTGAGCCGTCTCCTGACTGCATCATAACGCATCAACACGCTGCTCACTAAATCCCCGTTTCCATCTTCTCGCTCTGCTACACTGATCCCACTTTCAAAATCTGCACTGAATCTTTTCACTACCTGAACATCCAAATCAGTCTCTTTGGGCACAGTCTTCTCTTTTTTCTTCGCGTTACCACTTCCCTTGGGACGACCAACTCTTCTTTTAGTTCCAGTGGAGCTGCTGGGGCCATTTGATGCAGCAGGTGTAGGTGTAGGTGTAGGTGTAGGAGTAGGTGTAGGTGTTCTATATGAGCGAAGAGGTGGAACAAATGAAGGAGGAGGCGTGTGCTGGGTTTGATTAAGATCTGGAGTATGTTGCGTTGGTTGTTGTGCTCCAAATGGGAAGAAAGGCGAATACTCAGAAGAAGAAGAAGGCCCAAAAGGTGGACCTCCAACAAAAGGTGGACCTCCAACAAATGGTGGACCTTGATTACCATCTGGAAAAACAGGTCTCAAACTTCGCAGCGGCTTTACATCTAGCACTATTGACTTGTCATAATAGTCAGGATTTGGAACAGTATTGACCCCTGGAACTCCTTCCATTGCTTAAACTCCTGTCAACGTAACCCAAAAAAGAGACCAACATTAAGATTAAGAGCATTAAAACAAGCATAGACTTAGCGTGAAAGATATGACACTAGTGCATTTACTGCGTAGCCCTCTCATTCTAGAGCTTCATACAAAAGAATCCATTTTCAAGTAAGCTTAGCTTCGATAAAAATCTCTAACAATCGACACCCAAAAATGCAACCTTTGCTATCAGAATGTACCTAAATGCTTAGCAGTTTGTTTCCTTTTGTTCATATACTCATTTTCTCCCAAAACATACAAATATAATTCACACAAATTATAAACACCACTAGATCTTTCGTGCCTAGAGCAAATGGGGAAGAAAAAAAAAATCCTCCTTTTCTAAAATCAAAATCCCTACTTTCTTAAGGAATAAACCGAATACTAGAGAAGAGCCTGCCACAACTAGACCACCAACCGTTAATTGAACATCAGAACATGAGATTCATCAGCGAAAACGAAAGCTATATCTACATTTTATACATAATCCAGATTTCAGCTTTAAAACAAGAAATCAGATTGTCACCAACCTGACGAAGATGAGAGAATAGAAATTAGGGTTCCGAATCAATAATAGAGAGAGGGAGAGAGAGAGAGAGAGAGAGAGAGAGAGAGGGGGAAGAAAGCGCAGAGACGAAATTTGACGAGAGAGAGTGAAAACAAGCAAGTGGCAACGTGTACACGCACGCGTTTCAGACTTTGACTATTTGCGCAGATGAAATACGCAAAAGACGTTGGGTATTACAGAGAAATCGGTCCGTTAGATTCCCGTGTGCGTCATCGCTACCGTCCAAAAAATTCGTGTTGTTACTGTTGCCATTTTTGTCCACCAATCATAGATGCACCGGAATCGATAATTACTTTAATCTATATTCGAATCTAACTTCATTAATAATATCCACTACATAAATACAAGTTTTACAAAAACGCTCTTCAATCTAATGTGAAAAAGCTTGCAATCAACGTTAACAAGAGGCATAATCTTAACTCAGTTGTACTGTTTGACCATTAGAATGTCGGTGCATAATTTTTGAGGAACTTGTTGCAGTTCTTTCCCTTCTTGCCATGCTTGTCCTACGCACACACCGGGACCTATGTGTCGTATGTATATGACGACGCTGTCGTTGAATGGATACGGATGCTTTGCTGCAAGTACATTAAATGAGTTTAGATACATTCTTCTCTATTCTATTCTAAAACCTGAGATGTGAGTAAGGAAGTTACATATTCTCCTTTTGTTTAGTAAAGATTGAATCTTTCGATAGAAAAAATGCAGGGTTTGATATATATATATGGATTCCCAAACAAATGCTCAGAGTTGTCACTATTTGCTTAGCTAAGTTAAGGATGTGTGAATCATTGGATTGAAGTTTCAGACTAGCGTAATGTAAGTGAAGACTGATAGTGTGGAAAGTGGAAATGGCTAATCTAAAGCAGTGAGTCTTATACCTGGTCGAGGGAAGCCGTTTGGGTAATCTTCAATAGCAAGAAGACCATCACCGAATCTGCATGCTATGTCGCAGGGTTCTTCTGTGGCCATAACTTCCATAGCTTCTGTGACCTCAAAGTATAGCGGACTGAAAGAATCGGCAAGGGTTGAAACAATCGGTCCACCTGCATGATAGAGATATTTGTTAAAGTTATATGCATTGCTACAGAAGTAATCACATGAATTGGATCAGGACTCACCACAAACACGCCCATAGATTTGGCCGTTGTTGGAGGAAAACACAGCCTACCAAAGGAACATATAAACTATGTCAAGGAAGATAGATGCTGCTGAATAAAACGGGCATGGAAGTGATATTAGTCCGACATACCATCCTGAAGGACTTTATCCAAGATACGACTAGTGGACCTGAACATTAAGAGAAGAATATCTTAGAAGCTGTAAAGAACATAAACATCGACATAACAGAACATAAACACTTTTTTCTGTTTTTGTTTTGTAGGGACTCAGACCTAAAATGGATTATTACCCTGGCTTGTTCGGCAGTTAAAGTATTCAAGTGAAATCTCCGCATCTCCATTAGAGAACAACTTGGATGCAGTCATTTTAGCTAACCTTGGATCTTCATAACGAGCGCTTGCTGTTTCCCACGCTCTTGATACAAGCCTGCATACATAATAACTCCCATGAAAAAAACCACTGTACATGCTAAAAACATGCACTTAAGTGTTCATTCCATGTCTGGTTTCACCAAAATTCTTTGACATTTGAATCCAATCTTTTTCCAACCACATGACTCAAAAGCTAAATATCCATAAGAGTTTAGCAAGAATGACCTTGGCTCTAACAACTGCAGCAAGCGGTGGCGCCTCTCTTCTGGGATATCTTCAATCTTTTTCCTGTACAGTTTTCAACTCTATCAAAAAGTCATCTTATTGTGTTAGAGGTAGTATAACTCTAATTCATGGTGTTATATTTTTCCTCTTGCTTTGAAATATACAACACGATTTATCAACATGTCATTGAATAGCACACCATTTGTAGAGCAAAAACAAGAGAAAATACTAACTGTAGTCTCTGAAAAATATTTTCCCCACCAAGAAAAACTGAAACTGTACTGCAGCATATACCTAATCAAATTCCATGCTTTATAATATAGCTATCACTGGTGTTATGACTAGTTTGAATATGCTACGCATCTGATTAAACTGAATCAATGCTGTAATTCAATCAACTATAGCAGACTAACCAAAGATAAGCAGCTGGATTATATGAAGCAGGGTCCAATGGAATCAACTCCTTGGGTGGATCAAGAAACGTCAAAACATCAGATTCATCGAAGTAAACCCTTTTACCGGTGGCAAGAGTTTCATAGGGTTTTTCATCCCATGGAGATTGATATCCTCTCCCTCCATGAACCGCCATAACCACACCACGAGAAAACCCTGGAAAAAAAAAAACCAAAATCTTTTTCTCAGACAAACCTTATTTTTCCCTCTCTTTGGAAACCCAACAAGATCCAGCTACATTCAATCCACAAGGAAACTGCAAAGAATCTATAAATAACTAAACTTTATCTTCAACATCACTAATAAATTGACATAGAAAGGTTAACAACAACCAATCAATGGCTCGGCGGTCGTTTTCTGATCACCATATCACAAAACAGAACTCTTAAACTCAACATGACGAAGTAAATGTAATCTTTTGGTATTTCTGTTCTACTTCTGCTTATCCGTCTTTTTCAAAGCTTGTGTTTGTCAATGAAGAAACCCATTTAATTACTCTTCATGTCACCGAAACTCGTTACCACAGTCACCTCAATTTGATATCGACCAAGTTACTAGAAGTGTGTACCGAATGCTTTCCGAGAAAGAAAAAAAAATCATTATAAATGAAAGAGAAAAGCTTTGCTCACTCTTCGAAAGAGGAAACCCGAGCTGCGACTGTCCATTCCGGTGGATTGAGCCGCTAACCGCCGGAGGAAGCGCCGGTGTCCGTATAAGCCAACTCTCCCGAACGGCACCTATCTTCATTTCCGGCAAGACGAAATAATTTCCGAATAATTTTCTTAAATTTGATTTTTTACCATACACGAGTCGATTTAACAAGCTTGAAGTTTTCGAAATACAGGGCCGTCATATTTGGGCCTTAGTTAGGCCCATATTTACATTATGGGCTGTGTTACATTACTTCTAGTTAAACGAAAACACACACACTTGCTTATTCTCTATTTCTAGCGAACTGAATCAGAGTAGCATCTTACAAGACCTTTCGCATCGCTCAACACTTTCACCACATCTCTCATCGTCGGTCTCTTCGCCGGATCATTCTCCGTACAACTCAGTGCCAGTTCCGTCACCTGAATCACCTGCTCCCTAAGACTCGAATCTAGAAGCTCGTCCACCAGAATCGGATCGACGATTGTTGACACCATGTCGTCTACATTGTGGCTGCTGCTGCTGCTCAAGACAGATCTCACCCAGCTCACTATATCTGTACTGTCGGGGAAAGATTTGTCAACTGCTCTCTTCCTCGTCACAAGCTCGAGCAACACAACACCGTAACTGTAAACATCGGATTCTCTTCCTCTCACGGTTTTGAAAGCGTTTTCTGCACAGTTCCATGGGTGAAAATTTAGCTTATGATCGAGAGAAAGAAAGAAACAGAGCATACAACAAACCTTTAACAGAGTATTAACCGGTAACTAACTCGGTTAAACTCTAAACCAGACTATACCAAGTCTTATATGTATATACATTACCTGGTGCGATGTAACCGGTGGTGCCTGTAACAGTGGCAGTTGAAACCGTTGAGCCATCAAGAAGCCGAGCTAAACCGAAATCCCCAATGTGAGGCTCCAGATCCGAGTCCATGAGTATGTTCTCCGGTTTAATGTCGCGATGAACAATCGGAGGATGACAGTCATAGTGAAGATAAGCCAGTCCGTGAGCGACCCCGAGCGCTACGTTGTACCGTGCAGACCAATCTATCACATCTTCTTTAGGGCTAACGCCGTGGAGAACGTCGTATAGGCTACCATTAGGCATGTACCTATACAGCATCAACCCGTCTTCTTTCCTCAGCCAAAACCCTTCTAACTTTATCAGGTTCCTATGCCTGACTTTCCCGATTGTCTCGATCTCCCTCATCATACTCTGGTTCGCACGGATGTGAGATGCGAAGACGAGTCTCTTCACTGCGTAGACCTTCCCTGAGCCCAAAGATGCTCTGTAAACAATCCCGTGAGCTCCTCTTCCGATGATGTACTTTTCGTTTAGATTGTCGGTCGCTGCGAGAACTTTGTTCAGCAACAGAGACGGGCCTTCCTCGGTGAAGACATAAGCATCCTTCTGTGGTTTTGGTTTTCCTCTGCGACGGCGTATGCAAACGAAAACAAGACCAAGAACCAAAGCCAATACTAGTAAAGAGGACAAGACCGATATAAGGACGACTTTCCAGGTGCTGAGGCCACTTTTGCCGTTTCTTGATTGATCGTCGTCGCAGTAGTTTAACTCGCTGCGGCTGTTGGGGAAGGAATGTGGAATGCAGAGGTTGGGATTTCCTGTAAACGACGACGGGTCAGAGATCAGCTGATCCTTCAGTTTCTCCGGTATTGGACCAATGAACTGATTGTTCGAGACATCGGCGTGTAGCAATGAGGTAAGATCTTCAACAACTGACAAAGATCCTGACAACTTGTTGTTGGATACGTTGAGTCGTGTGAGTCTGTCAAGTTCTCCCAACTTGGCGGGAATTTCACCTGTTAATCCGTTTCCGCTCAGGTCCAGACCATAGATCAGGTTCCGTAACGACCCAAGAGACGGAGGAATCTCACCACCAAAAGCATTTCGAGCAATCTGCAGATCCGACAGCTTCACAAGCTCAGGCAAGAACGTCGGAATGCCTCCTGAGAACCGGTTCTCACTGAGAACTAAAGTGGCCAAGCCTTTCCAGGCACTGAAGCTCGAGGGAATTGAGCCGTTCAACGAGTTGAATCCAACATCAAACCGCTCGATACTCACCAAGTTAGATAGCTGAGATGGTAAAGAGCCTTCCAGAAGATTATGCGAAAGATTCAAGTATCCGATGTTGTGTAGATTCCCAAGTTCTGGAGGTATCTGTCCCGTGAGTTTGTTTCGAGACAGGTTGATGCTAGAGAGATTCCTAGAGCTTCCGAGGCTTCTAGGGATTGGTCCTTCGAAGTTGTTGCTGTTGAAGTCGAGAAATGAAAGGCTATGATCCTGAGAAAACTCGGGAAGAAGACCAGAGAGGTTGTTGTCTCTAAGGATGAATCTCCAGATGCTCTTGCAGTGACCAATAGAAGTCGGTACCTTACCATGAAACCTATTAGAACCCAAATTCAGCACTGTCAACTTCTTTCCATGGCAGAGATTCGGCGGTATCTCTCCTGTAAATTTGTTATCAATAAAATCAAGCTCTTCTAAGCTGCTGTTCACACCTAAACCAGGTGGTATCGCTCCGTAAAAGCTGTTGTTGAAGAGCGTAACAATCTTTAGACGCTTCAGCTCGGTTATCTCCACAGGTAGCTCTCCTGTGAGATTGTTTTGATAAACTAGCAACTGCGCAAGACTGTGAATCTTCCATATCTCAACAGGAATCTCACCCGAGAACCGGTTCTCGAAAAGCTCAAGACTTTCTAGCTTCTTGAGCTTCCCAAATGTACTCGGTATCTCGCCTCCAAGCTGGTTATTGTTCAGCTTCAACAAGCTCAAGCTACTGCAGTTCCCAAGCTCCAAGGGGATACTACCAGAGAGACGATTCTCGGAAAGATTGATAACCTTAAGCTTCTTTAACATACCTAATGTTGAAGGGATAGTCCCTGACAAGTTACCACTCACAATGACTAGAGCTTCAAGGCTACTGCAATTCCCCAATTCAGGAGGGACACCGCCTTCGAATTCATTGTAGGACAAATCTATTGTCAGCAAGTTCTTGCAGTTGGTCGAACCAAGACGAACCGGCCCTCGCAAGCTGTTGTTGCCAACAAACAGGTCAGTGAGATTCTCCAAAAGGTTGAGACTTTCAGGCAAGGAACCAGCTAACTTGTTCTTGTGCAAATACAGAAGCTCCAGCTTACTGCAGTTCCCAATCGACTCAGGGATCGTACCAGAAAACTGATTCTCGAACATACGCAGATCCAAGATCTCCTTGGCCTCACCAACACTTTGAGGAATCGGGCCGGTTAGGTTGTTGTACTCAACGTGAAAAGTCTGCAAAGCCGGGATTCGAAACAGGGATTCAGGTAACTCGCCGGTGAGGTAGTTGTCGTAAAGATAGAGATCGGCGACGCTCTTCAAGTTTCCGAGAGTGTCTGGGATCTTACCAGAGAACTCGTTTTCAGACAAATCTAGATAGACGAGTTCAGTACAGTTTCCTAAAGTGGACGGTATGGTTCCAGAGAAACTGTTAGTACTCAGATCCAAGATCTCTAAGCTTTTGAGCTGCCCAATTTCAGGACCCAATTGCCCTGAAACCCCAGAACGGGTGAAGTTGAGAGACGTAACCTTCTTGGAATCGTCACAAGTGATACCGAACCAGTTGCATGGAGTGGCTTCAGATGCGTTTGTCTTCCATGTCGAAGTTACTTCTTTTGGTACTTTGTCCAAATGCTTCAGAAGCGAGAGTAGAGTTAAGCCATCTGAGTTTAGACAAGAAACAGAAACTATGCGGAAGGAGACAAACAGACAGGAAAGCAGAAGAATTTCGAATAACCCAAGATTCTTCATCACAGATTAAGGATCAAGAAACATGTCAACTCTCAATCAAGATTGGAATTTGAAGCTCTCGCCTCAGCAGAGAAGTGAAACTTGCATGAGAGAGAAAAAGGAGAACAAAGGACAGAACTTGATGGATGGGTGATATAACTGATAAGTGAATCAATCTGAATCTTTCTGTCTAGTATGAACGAGATGTTTGGTCGATATCAACGGTTGTGAACCTTTAACATTCAACGCGTTTTCTTCTTGCACGCCGTTTCTCATTCAGTCTTCCTCTTTTCCATTTTCAGACACACGTGCTTTAGAAAGAAGACTTCTCTGCTTATTTTACTCTCTCTCTCTTTGGGAAACGTGAATCAAATTGGATACTTTATAACTCAATGTCGTTTTACATCCAGCCAGAAGATAAGAAACCGTTAGCATTACGTAATGAAACAAACATTTCATTAATTAATCGGTTTCTTTTGTCCACTTGCAGGCAGCTTCGTTTGGTGGATGGTCAATTAATGGAGCTGGGGTAGGTTTTTGTCCATTATTCGTTTAAGCACTCAAATATTAGATTATTGTTAGCAAACGTTATCATCGTTCCACTATCTAGATTAAGATAATGATATATTACGTGTAAGTATCATAAGATTCGAACTAAATGTTAAGTATAGCAGAACACTTTGACTAATAAAGTTAAGATTCTGATTGGTAACTCACCGTGCAATAAAAGGTAGACAGCAATATGAAATGCAATTACTTATCAAATAATTAAGCACACCGCAATTTTTATTTTTTTTGATATTCGTTTAGTCATTCCGTAGAGTAATCCCTATTAATCAGAGTTTTAAATGAACATAAAAAATGACACTATACATATTTGGGTGGGAACTGAAACAAGGGGAGGGGATAAGGTTACGTCCACTTGGTCGTAAAAGTAAAATGTTGAATATTTTGATATAATGTTGCAATTTGCATTGTACAATTTTGTTATGAAGTAAAACATTATGGAAAACGTACGTTAAAAAGTCTGGTTTTTGTCTAAATATGTATCCCCAAAGACAGGGGAAGCCTGAGTTTTAGAGATTTCCATGATTTCAACATCTCTTTGCTAGCAAAGCAATTGTGGCATCTTCTACAATACTTCTCCTCCCTTCTGGCTAGGGTGTTACGAGGAAGATACTATAGAATGTCAAGCCCACTAGATGTTCAGAAGTTATATTCTCCATCGTATGGATGGAACAGTATCATGGCTGCAAGACCCCTCCTCCTCCAAGACCTACGAAAGACCATTGGGTCGGGCTGCAATACCCGATTCTGGAGTGAACCTTGGATCCCGGCTATTCCAGCGAAATTCGCAAGAGAAATCATCCCTATAATAGACAGAAACCCAGAAATGTTAGTCCATGAACTCATGCGAGGAGATACAAAAGAGTGGGATACTCAAATTCTTAGTAACCTTATCCATCCTGATGATATCCAGTTTATCCTCGGGATAAGACCTAGCCAACGTTTTACCCTTGATGGGTACGCTTGGAATCATACAAAATCAGGAACTTATACAATCAAGTTAGGGTTTGAACTAGCACAACGTTTAAAATTGGATAATAAGCCTCTAGAGATGATGGAACCGAGCATCACTTGTCTATTGAATAAGTATGGAAAGTTCGGGCGCCCCCAAAACTTCAGCATTTTATGTGGCAAGCCCTCTCGGGTTGTGTGGCTACCTGTCAAAGGCTAATGTTCCGACACTTAGGTACAGATAAGAGTTGCCCAAGCTGCGGTGATCCAGAGGAAACGATTATATGATATTTGAATGCCCCCTGCCTTTCAGGTGTGGGCTTTTTCGGACTTTCCGTCCCTTCCGGGTTGCTTCCCGAGTTCATCTCTATATGAAAACATAGATTTCCTATTTTGGAAGATCAAAGAAAGGGAGCTCCCCTCCCCTCAAAGGGATATATTCCCATGGATCATTTGGTTTATTTGGAAGGCAAGAAATGATAAAGTTTTCAATGGAAAAACTATATCTCCTATGGAGACTCTGCATCATGCCACTATTGAAGCAGAGAGTTAGCAAACAGCAAACGAAAAAGAGTTGGATGAGGAAAGAGAAGAAAGGCAAGGCGCATACGCCCTTGATGAGCCTGAGGGTTTTCTTTTGCTCCCCCAAATCCCGACTTGTCAGATTGATGCCTCTTGGGTCGATCACGATTCAGTTAGTGGACTTGGGTGGCATTTGTTAGACACAAGAGGATACATCACTACTGGACAGCAATGTTGCAGAAGGAGTCTGTCAGCGCTACATACGGAGTTGGACGGGTTAATTTGGGCGCTGACATGCTTGAGAGATAAGGGGTTACAAAGGGTTTGCATCAAGACAGATTGTTCTAATTTGATTAAGATGCTCGAGGATCCTGTGGACTGGCCATCATTTAGATCAGAGTTAGACTATTTACTTTTCCTTAAAATTTCTTTTGTCGAATTTATTGTACGTTTTATTCCTCGTAGCAAAAATATCCATGCTGATATCCTTGCAAAGAAAGCAAGAACACGAGGTATTATATTTTCCCATGTAAGTCACACTCGGTTACTAGAAACAGAATCAATAGATTCTGAATCTAGTATCTAAATTTGATTTAATATATGGATGATAGTTGACAAAAAACAAAAAAACAAAAAAAAAAGTCTGATTTTTGTCTAGTCTATAATAAAGATCCAAAAAACCGTTGTTCTCTTTTACTCTCAAGACCGGCGGTCCGGCGGAATGACTCCTGAAAACCGGTTTCCAGAGAGGACCAAAGTGGTTAAATCTTTCCAGTTACTAAACTTTGAAGGAACCGAACCGTTTAATAAGTTAAACCCAAGATTCAAGTGACTAAGGTTTTGTAAATTCTCAAGTTCTCGAGGTATATGTCCAGTGAGTTTGTTTCGAGACAGATTGATGGTCGTGAGGTTCCTACAGCTTCCGAGGCTACGAGGGATTGGACCTTCGAAGTTGTTGCTGTTGAGGTCAAGAAACGAAAGATCATGGTTATGAGAAAACTCAGGAAGAAGACCTGAAATGTTGTTTTCTCTAAGGATGAATCTGCTCAGAGTCTTGCACTGCCCAACAGATGAAGGGATTTTACCGTGAAGCCGATTTGATCCTAAGTTGAACACTGTCAGTTTCTTTCCATGGCAGAGATTTGGTGGTATCTCTCCTGTAAGATCGTTACCGATGAAATCCACAATCTCTAAGCTGCTGTTCAGACCTAAACCAGGCGGTATTACTCCACTAAAGCTGTTGTTGAAGAGCGTAACGATCTTTAGATTCTTGAGCGCGGTTAGTTCCACAGGTAGTTTCCCTGTGAGTTTGTTTTGATAAACTAGCAACTGCGTAAGACTCTGAATCTTCCATACCTCGATAGGAATCTCACCCGAGAACCGGTTCTCGAAAAGCTCAAGACTTTCTAGCTTCTTTAGCTTACCTAACGCACTCGGTATCATACCTCCGAGCTGGTTATCGTTCAGCTTCAACGTGTTTAAGTTGGTGCAGTCTCCTATTTCCGGGGGTATACTTTCAGAGAGACGATTCTCGGAGAGGTTAAGAATTGTAAGATTCTTTAACATACCCAACGATGAAGGGATTTTACCTGACAAATTGCTTTTCACAATGACTAAAGCGTCAAGGCTACTGCAATTGCCCAATTCAGGAGGAACACTGCCTTCGAATTGATTGTATGACAAATCCAAAGTCACTAGCTTCCTGCATTTGGTTGAACCAAACTGAACTGTTCCTCGTAGGCTGTTGTTAGCAACAAACAGGTCAGTGAGATTCTCCAGAAGATTGAGACTTTCAGGCAATGAACCAACTAACTTGTTCTTGTGCAAATACAGAATCTCCAGCTTACTGCAATTTCCAATTGACTCAGGGATCGTACCAGAAAACTGGTTGTCAAACAAACGCAGATCCAGAAGCTCCTTAGCCTCGCCAACATTTTGAGGAATTAAACCGGTCAAGTTGTTATGCTCAACGTGCAGATAATTCAACGCCGGAATTTGAAACAAGGATTTAGGCAACTCGCCGCTGAGGAAGTTTGTGTAAAGATACAGATCAGCCAAGCTCTTCAAGCTACCGAGAGTATCTGGGATCTTACCAGAGAAGCCATTTTCAGAGAAATCAATATACACGAGTGAGCTACAGTTTCCTAAACTGGAAGGTATGATCCCTGAGAAATTGTTTGAGCTCATATCCAAAATCTCTAAGCTTGTGAGCTGCCCAATATCAGGACCCAATTGGCCTGAAACCCCTGAGCCCGTGAAGTTGAGAGACGTAACCTTCCTGGAATCATCACAGATGATACCGAACCAGTTACATGGAGTGGCTTCAGATGCGTTTGTCTTCCATGTCAAAGTTACTTCTTTTGGTACTTTGTCCAAATGCTTCAGAAGCGAGAGTAGAGTTAAGCCATCTGAGTTTAGACAAGAAACAGAAACTATGCGGAATGAGACAAGTAGACAGAAAAACAGGAGAGTTTCAAACAACCCAAGATTCTTCATCTGAGACTGAAAAGATCAAGAAACATGCCCACTATCAATCAATTATTAATATTTGAAGCTCTCACCAAAATGAGGTAAAAAAGAGAGAGAAGAGAGAAAAAGGATAGAACTTGATTGAAGGGTATAAGCTGAGATTAACCAATCAGATTGACACCAATATTAGAAAGAAACAAGTAAACGTTAGGTTTGGGATTTGGACACCTTCCGATGAAGAAGAGCAATCTACGTTCTTCGGCAGAGAATAGATTATTCTCAAGAGAAGTTGATAAGTTGGGGAAAGAGAACCGTTGGGCGGCTAATTAAGGAGAGAAGGGTAAATATTACTCTACCCTAAATTGTAACTATTCCTAAAAATAGTTTCTTTGTAATTTCCTCCGACTATTCATGGTTTACGACAGGGTTTAAGAATTAAACAAGTGTGTGGTGCAGACCCTATCATAATGCGCCTGAATAATATATAGACGAAACATTTTCAAACTATCGTTTATTATTCTCATTAATACATCACTCTCTCTTCCAATGTTGCACATATACAGGTGTAAATATCTTGAGAGACTTATCAAACTTACTAGAAAATGTGAACCCATGACCTTGCCATCATTCAGCTACGCCAATTAGACGATAACTCAAGTTCCACATCCTCTTCCCACCAAGTTGCGGCCTGCAACATCATCAGTTTCAGACCAGTTTAAGCTACACTCTGCACATAAAAGAAACAGACAAACAAAATCTAGAGACTAGAGCAATGCGCAAAAAACCTTATAGCCCCTGCGCAGGAACTCGAGTGAGCTTCCCTTCTCTTCTTGTAGTCCTAGAACCTGCAACAGCTCTTCCTTCGTCTGTTTGCATCAACATAAATCAGAGCTCGTTACTTTTTTTGAGAGGTTGGGTTAAAACGACTAAACGCAACAGGTTAATACACATACTTCACCCAGGGTGAAACGAGTTGGGCTTTCTGCAACACATGCAAATGAACCATCAGATTGCTTAAGCATCACCTGCCATGGTCCTGCATTAGTTTTTTTTCATATCAGACATGGATAAAGATAGTCCTCTCTCAATTCAGGTCATTGGAATTTAGACAAGCATCACGTCGTGTTCAGTGTTCAAGGAAGCCACAATAGAGAGAGGCTCCAACACAAAATGGTGCCACTGTATACTTTTAGTCCCGGGAAAGAATAGTTAAGCATTTACCAGGATATTGTCGAAAAAGTGCTCCGTTGTAGTTCAACACATATGGTGCCACTGCCACTGTCTTAGCCAAGAAAACACAAACAATTATTATGCTGCTTCATTTTTGCAAGCAGTCAAGAAAGATCCACTGAGAAGATATCGTCCTAATTGGAAAGTACCTTTGAATACTCTCTGATTCGGATATAAAAGACGGGAATAAACTGAGAAAGAAACCGATAGTGTAGATCTTTAGGGGGAAAGCCAAGTAGCCCTAGGTCAGCACTGCACTAAAGTTCAGCTGTTACCAGAAGTAAGGAAACCGAGAGAGATTGAGTAAATGAAATTGAGGTCTCGATGGAGGCAATACCGTAAGGTATCTAGCTCAAGATTGAAGAGAAGAGCTGGGGTTGAACTGGCAAAGCTTTCCTGCAAGTATACACCAACAACTTACAGATTGCGAATGATTAAGAAAGTACAAAGAAAAAGTCAAGATGACTATAGCCAGTGACGTATCTAAACCACGTTCCATGTTAAGACAAGAAAGGTTTACAGAATTCAAATACCACAAACTTCTCTATCACAGAGAGTTCTCGAGTGCTGCAATTGATAAACATATAAAGGGTCGGTGGCTCCTTGGGCTCCCAACTACCTGTAGGAACACACACAAAAAAAAGCAATAATCCATCTGTCTACATAAGCAAAAATAATAGGGAAAAGGAAACTTTTTTAGAGGAAAGAGCTGAAGTTGTAGCTCTATACCTTCGTTTTCATCTTCAAAATCAAAGTCCAGTGTACTCCTTATGGATCTGAAGAAATTGGTGACGGAAGTACCAGGTATATCATCTAGAGAACCGATGCTTATGCCATCAATCTGATAAGAAACACACAAGAAGAAATCAAGCCGCCGTTAATCATCAAGTGTTCAAATCCTAGCATATGCAAAATGCAGCGAACTGGAAGGTTCCATTGCTACCGAATCAAACGCCGCTTTGAACAGTTGCGAAGCTCTACGCTTCTCAGGCTTGTCAGGAAAAACCTGAAGCATGTTTGATGCACATAGGTCAGACGAACCAGAGAAGAAGAATGACTACTAAATAAAGTAAAGAAGGAGATGATAGATTACAATGCAAGCTCTCGTTTCTATTTTCTCCTGGAGTTTCCGGACAACAGACAAGGCCAGTTGTATGTTGGCATCAATAAAATCGTCTGAAGAACCCTACACAACGTTTTCAAGTCCAATACAAATTACACAGATGAGCTAAAACGAAGCCACAAGAGCATAAATTGGAAAATATTAGACCAAAATTCTCAACGATAACAAGAAGAAAATAAAAACCTTGTATGAAGAAATGCTACTGGGCAAAGGCCTACAGAAGAACAGAAGAGCAAAAGGCACCATAATCACGACGAGGCAATAACACAAAATTGTACAATTCGATTGAAAGAAGAGGAGGATAATTACGGGAAATCGATTTCCAAACGAGATTTGGATTCCTGGAGAGCGAATGCAAGAGAATTGGCGGCGTCAGAGACCAAAACCTCGTAAGACTTGGGCTTATAAACGGAGACACCTCTCCTAGGGTCGGAATCAGGAGAAGCAGATGAGAGTGCGCCTCCACTCTTTGCGGTGGCTCCGCATCTGATTCTGCTGGCCATGATCGAGGGAGAAGAGAAGAGCGCCGGTAACATCGCCATCGCCATTTTTGCTCTATCTCTCTCTGACGGTTAAGGTGTCAGTGATAACACTGGCTAACAAAACGATACAGTCTAATCGGCACAACTTCATGACACGTGCTTAAATCCTGTTATCTTTAAGAACCGGACTGAACCGTATTTTGATTTGAGCTCATCGGACCGGCACACAATACGACGACGTTGAGACGCTGTTGCTAACGGCCGTGAAAGTTATCGGCAGTTATTATCCGCTGCGGTTGGGCTCATGCTGATTACTTCTCTTAAGAACCGTTGATATTTACTTGGCCCAATTGTCATCGACGGCTATAAGTACTTTTTTATATCGTAGATACACACCGATGACTTCGAGAGCTGAGAGAAACACTCCATAGTAACTCACGAGCGTCGAGTCTTCTTTTATAACTTCTCTTCTTTCACTCTGTTTCTTCTTCTAACTGAGAAAATTCTCTCTTTCCCGGGAAAATTTAATTTTCTTTCTGCTCTGAGAAGATCGTCGGGCGAAGAGCGAAAATGAGTAAACGGATGGATTGTTATCTTCTGTACACGGTTTTCGTGGTGCTTCTTCTCCTCGGGGCAGTTTCTCAGTCTAATGCAAGGCCACGCGCTAATCGACGTAAGTTTCCCAAGAAAATTCACGAGAATTTTCTGGTTATGCATGAACATTGAGATCTCTAGCCACGATTGATGAAGTTTTCGTTGATTTCATAAAAAATGAATGTAACTAGACGAAGGTTTATGCAGTAAATCGTAAATATGATCAGAAATTCTAGATTCTTCCTTGATATTTTGCGTCTTACTAATTAGACCCAAACTCATCCCTAATCGTTTTCTTGAGATATTCTTTTTCATTGCTGTTCTTACTTTTAGAATCTTCGATGCAGCTCCCAATTTCATGCGATTCGTGACGAACGCAACCGATTTTGCGTCGGAGGATTACTACGACTACATAATCGTCGGAGGAGGAACGGCGGGATGCCCACTAGCCGCCACTCTGTCGCAATCTTTTCGGGTTCTTCTGCTAGAACGCGGCGGCGTTCCGTACAATAGACCTAACGTGATGTCACACGACGGTTTCTTGACCACTCTTACAGACGTCAACAACTTCGACTCGCCGGCTCAATCCTTCATCTCCGAGGAAGGAGTCCCAAATGCTAGAGGCCGTGTCCTTGGAGGAAGCAGCGCTATCAATGCCGGATTCTACAGCCGAGCCGATAAACAGTTCTTCGACAATTCGGGTCTCAATTGGGATCTGACTACTGTGAATCAGTCGTACGAGTGGGTGGAGAGAGCTATTGTGTTTAGACCTCAGCTCAGGACTTGGCAATCTGCGATTAGGGATGCGTTGCTTGAGGTCGGTGTCCATCCGTTTAATGGCTTCACTTTGGAGCATAAAGTGGGGACGAAGATCGGAGGTTCCACGTTCGATCGTGCTGGGAGGAGGCACAGCTCTGCAGATCTTCTCAGATACGCAAGAAGTTCCAACATTAGAGTCGCAGTTTACGCAACCGTGGAGAGAGTTTTGCTGGCTTCATCTCCGAGTGACTCGGGTAACAATGTCTCTGCAATAGGAGTTGTGTACCGTGATCAGCTGGGACGTTTCCATCACGCGATGATACGGGACAGAGGAGAGGTGATACTATCGGCTGGTTCACTCGGTAGCCCACAGTTGCTGTTTCTTAGTGGGATTGGTCCAAGGAGTTATCTTTCGACTTGGGGGATCCCAGTGGCTCTTGACCAGCCTCATGTGGGAGACTTTGTGTATGATAACCCGAGGAACGGTATCTCCATTGTTCCTCCGGTGCCAATGGAGAACTCGCTGATACAAGTTGTGGGTATTACGGAGGAAGGTGCTTTTCTGGAGGCTGCTTCAAATGTGATTCCTTTTGCGTCGCCTATACATTCTGTATTCATCAGAGCTCCAGCTTCTCCTTTGTACGTCCCTGTGACAACTATAATGGAAAAGATCCTAGGTCCAGTGTCTACTGGTTCACTGAGGTTGGCCTCAACGGATGTGAGGATGAACCCAATTGTTAGGTTCAACTACTTCAGTGATCCACAGGACCTGGAGAGATGTGTCAATGGGACGAGGAAGATTGGAGAAATACTCAGGAGCCGAGCTATGCAGGACTTCATGTTCAGGGAATGGTTCGGGAGCCGGAGGTTCAGGTTCGTTGGAGTTCCATTACCTGTGGACCAAACAAATGATCTGGTGATGGCAGAGTTCTGCAGACGAACCGTGAGCACAATCTGGCACTACCATGGAGGCTGCGTTGTGGGAAAAGTAGTGAACTGTGATCTCAAAGTCAATGGTATCACTTCTCTCAGAATCGTGGATGGTTCAACCTTCAATATCTCTCCTGGGACGAACCCCCAAGCTACCTTGATGATGCTTGGAAGGTAAGAAAAACTATCAGAGTTTATAACTCTTTGATACTGTACCAATGCTTTTTAATCAGACTAAAAACAAATTTTCCATATGACTATAATCGCAGGTACATGGGGCTGCAGATGCTGAGAGAGAGGATGAGATACAAATGATTCCCCAGATGTGCTCTTCTCGCATTTTCTGGATTAGTTTACTGATTCTTTTGCTGTATGTTCACCTGTTATAGCTCTCTATTAGGTGCTTCTACAGTTACTATGTTCATTCTTTCATTGGACTCCTCTAGTTAATTCATGTAATAATAGAGTATAGGAGTTCGTCTATAGTTCATGTAAACAGCAGGATTGAGATGTTATGATCTTACTCAAAGTACCTATAACAGTGAAGTTTCAAGCCTTACTGTGTCAGAAAGCAAAGGGCATGTTCATATTTGCATTAATACATACTTGAGAAAATTTAAATCTTGGTGATGTGAAAACAAGAAGGCAATAATTTTCTTATCTTCTTTTTGGCACTATGATGTGAACACTTTTGGAATCTGTTCCATGTAAATGTTTCTTCTTGAAGTTTTCCAGAATCTCCCAGTAAAGGATGATGGGAGAATCAAACGTTACCCGGAATCCAATTCCTTCCCGTGTTTTCATCGTCTTGCCCTCTATTTATATGCCTTGTTGCCAAAACTAAATGCTCAATTCTTGTTCTGTATCAATCCGCAATCTGTTTGAATTCCAAAAAGCTTCTGCTGCAGCAAAGAAGAAGTTTGGTTCTTCATAGATGGTATCAGCCATCAGACTAATAGCAGCTTCTTTTGTTGTACGACTTTGGTTTCTCAGCAGTTTCCCTTGCATCGTGTTTACAAAGTAAGCTGTCAATCAAACAGCAGGACGGACACATGGATCAACAACAGGGTGATAAAAATCTGACTGTGTTCGTAGGACCATGGGGAGGAAATGGAGGAACCGTTTGGGACGACGGGATCTATCATGGTGTCCGCCAGATCAACCTTGTATATGATCATTGCATTGACTCCATCTCTGTGGTCTACGATAAGAATGGTAAACCTGTAAGATCAGAGAAGCATGGAGGTCAGGGAGGCAACAAAACAACTGAGGTAATGTTCCTCTCTCACTTTGGCTTCTCTTTCTCTAACTTCCTCTCTTTTACATGAACTCAGTTTCTGCAGATAAAGCTGCAATACCCAGACGAGTATCTGATTGGCGTGAGTGGTTACTACTGTTCGGTAGTTCACGGTGGCTCTCCTGTGATCAGATCAATGACCTTCAAGAGCAATAAACAAGTGTATGGACCTTTTGGAGTTGAACAAGGAACACCTTTCACTTTCTCAGTCAATGGAGGACGCATTGTTGGCATGAATGGTAGGAGCGGCTGGTACCTTGACTCCATCGGCTTCCATCTATCACGCCCCAAATCTACCAAGATGATCCACAAGCTTCGTAGGAAGATTCATTGGCTCACAAGAATAGTAGCATGATAAGGTCTCTTGCATACAATAGAACCTTTCTGCATAAAGTGTAACACTAGACTCAACGAATAAGTATGTTAATTTTTTGATGTATCTTCCTTAGCCAATGAAACCAAAAGTGACCCGAAAAGAAACTTCTTAATGCACAACTCAAAAAAGGAAAGCATATCATTGAAATGGCAAACACACGAAGGTTTTTATATAAACTTATAAACAAAGCGTATTCCATAAGTGAGCAATATACACACATAAGCCCGTGATCGCGGATAATAGCAGAGTAACACTTCGATAAGGATCTCGTGCAAAAGTGGTCGATAGTCCAAGCACGGTCCTTGGTTAGCTCATCTATCCTCTGGCTTTAAGCTCTGCAAGCCTCCTGGACAAATCGTCTTCATCGACTTTCTCCTCTGTCTTCGTAGGGATAGCATGACCAGCAGGCTGAGGTAGTCCCACAGAGACTTCAAGACCATAGTCATCTGCCACCTGCTGCATCAGGCTGTTCACTTCGCCTTCGGGAGTCGACAATGAAGTCGAACCAGCCATAGCGTTCTCCATGAACTCAGCTTGCACTTCCATGTTCACAAACTGCTTCTCGAATGAATCCATAGTCTCTGACATCTTCTGTAGATTGCCTGTTGAAAAGAAACATGAAACAGATAAAGAGCCCAAGTTTTGTATTCAAGGCGATGAATCAGATTATACTTGCTCTACATCTCAGTTGCATACTAAACGAAACTTATCACAGAAAGAACAAAAAGATGAATACTTTGTGTTTCCATGAGAACAAAATCTTCCTGACTACAGAGAAGTCCACATTACCTTCCTTTCTACAACATACCATGGCGATGCCTTGTTCAGGCTCAATTTCATAGAATCAAACCCTAACTAATGATCGGCAACACAGCCACTGGCAGAACTAATACTAAAAACTCGGACTTTCAACATAAACTGATGGAAGACAAATACTTGGGATAATTCAACAGCAGCGAATGGCGATGATTTACCTGTGGCAAGAGAAGACTCGAGGGATTTGACGATGTTGGTCATTGATTTGGTGATGGTGGTCATCTTAGCCTGGGTATCAAGGCGAGCAACAACAGCATCCAGGCGAGAAGCGAGGCGGAGGTAGTTCATCTGCTCGCTACGCTTACGAATGGCGTTCTCTGCGTAGATCCGAGCACCGTCCATGTTCCCCTTCTCGATCGCCTTCTTCACCTTGAGTTTCTCTGCCTTCTCCTCCTTCTCGCACTTCCTTGATTGCCTTTGCAGAGACTTCGACGTGAATTTCAGGTCGAATATCTGATTCATCAGCTTATCTGTGTTACCCATCTTGATCGATTCCTCTACACCTCCTCCGCTATTCAATCAAAATCTATCGGTAGAAATTCCCAAAAAGAGAATTAGGGTTTTATTCGAATTTGGGAAAAGATCTCTCGACGCGTTAATCGTACTTTTTTCTTTCGTAGAAGAGAGATGGAAGAAGAAGACAGGAGGAAGGAAGCTCTAATAAAGATTGATGAAGTCAACTTCGGTATTCCTAATTCAAATCGGACTTGACCGGTTAAATCTGAATCGCGGTTAGTGATTGTCGGCCGTACCCGGTTTACCATTTTATTTATTCTGGTGATACAGTAAACGGCAATTACTAATTTACACGCACACATAAATAGAGAAAAAGGGAAAGAGGCACACGTGTCAGGAATGACTCAGCACCGTCCGATGTGTCACTCCTTCCACGATGGATTAAAGCATCGTGTGCGTGCCAACTCACAGCGAGCTTCTTTTGGAATTTTGCATGTAAATTCTTTTCAAATTCAATCCAATTTCAAACCAAAACTTTGTCTCTTCCCTTTTCCAGAAACGTTTTCAAATTGACGCAAGATTCAAGAAGCCGAGCCAAACCCCAAGGAAGGGGTAACGAAAGATTTGTGATAAGTTCAATATTTTTCGTGGAATTTTGGAAGTTTCGTATCCTTGATTTTTTTCAGTGTACCGACTTAAACCTTGATCCCCTTTTATTAAGGCCTCCTCCAGAAACCGGAAAATTAGATTTACAGAGAAAAAGTAACAAAAGGTGGAACCTTTGGTGATTAGTGTAAGTCAGATCTTAAAAAGGAAGGCACGAGCTTCAGCTACTGTGCGAAGTTTTACGAAGCGAAGACAAGGAATCTCAACAAAATTCTTCATCTTTCTTGGGTGATTCGGTTTTGAAAATGAATGGGAGCAATGGGGAGGAGCGAATCGTTCACGAGGTTGCAATGGTGGTTCCTAAGAGGGTTTTGGAAGAAGAAGGAGACTGTGTTGAAGTCTTGGTGACTGAACTAAAGAAGAGAGGGATGGTTGTTGATAGAGTCGCTGGTCTCGCACATGAGTTCCTAAAGGTCGGTCTTTTCTCAATTCTTCCTCTTTGTCATACAAAAGTATTGGTCTGGAAGTTGAGGAGTGTCCCTGAAAGAGTGAATCTTTATGAAAAAAAAAACAAAATTGTTTTGGTAAACTTGCTAATTATGCCTAATGAAGTCTAGGATTCATTGGCGACTTATTTAGCTCGAATTAAGTAGAATACTTTGTAGGCTCTTATGCTAGTAATGTCTGAGATATAACTACAATTCAAGTAATTTCTTCAGGTAGCAGCTCCTTTGGAGACCTTGGGGAATGCAGCAGCAGAGCTTCATATACGAAAGCCTACTCGTCTTGGTAAATACTGGTTCCTTGTACTAATAGCTTAAGAGTGATATATGAACATCTGCTAAGTAGCAGCATCGCAGATCATTCCAAGTTTTTATGTTCTCCACAAGTTTCAGTGTTTGATGGTTGTCTCTCATTTCAGGAATTGATCTGCCCTTTGAGATGCAAGGATGCGAGGCTTTCTTCCGGCAACCTGATGGAACACTGTTCAGCTGGTTTGAACGTTTTCGGTGCTATCAACATCTCCTTTATGGAATCGTGAGTTCCGTCTGTCCAACTCATCTTTAGTTTGATTTGATTTGTCAATTTATAGATAGTGTCCTTGATTCATGACACCTCATATGAACTCTTGAAATACAGGTAAACCGTGATGGATACGACGTTACACTGAAACTTGACGGCAGAGAGCTTTGTTGGGCGGCAGGAGAATCATTAGTTCGAAGGTTAGAATCAGAGGGCGTCATCAAACAAATGTTTCCTCTTCATGGTAAGCTGTTTTAATAGTATATGTTTTGAGTTACAGGCAGTCTAGACTCTAGAGTGGTTTAAAAGTCTCACACAAAAACATTTGTTTGTAGATGAATTCAAGAGGAAGGAACTTCTCCAAACTTGGGCACTAAATTGGTGGAACTTCACAAACCAACCAATTGATCAGATCTACTCTTACTTCGGCGCAAAGGTAGACACATAGATAAATCTAAACTTGCTATACATGTTGCAGCAGAAAGTTTTTTTTGGTATGGAACTCATAACATAGAAAAATTACAGATTGGAGTCTACTTTTCGTTCTTGGGAATGTATACACAATGGTTGATATTTCCAGCCTTCCTTGGGTTTATGGTGCAGATGGTTGATTTCGGGTAAGTTATTAATGATATTACAAGTTTCTTAGTAAACCATTCTAGAGTCTAGACTGACTGTAATCTGTCTTTGGTCAGATCCTTGCAGTTTCTTGTTCTCCCAAGTTTCTTTGTCAGCACAATACTCTGGGCTGCCTTGTTTCTTCAGTTCTGGAAACGTAAAAACGCAGCCTTGTTAGCTAGGTAGGATTCCCATTCACTGATGCATAGTTATGCAACAAGTTGGATTTATTTTCTGTTTACTAATATCAGTTTTTTGCGTTGATTCTCTACCAACTGGTTCTGTTTTCTTAGATGGCAGATAAATTATTTAGTTGGCCCCAGTCAAGGATATAGATTTCTGGGAATGGAATGGAGTTCCCTTCCGTTTCCGAAGGAGCTTATAAAGAATCTTGGAAACGAGAAATCCACAGAGAAGGAAGCATATCAAAGATACGAATGGTTTGCTTATCGCAAGAGGTTTAGGAACGATGTTCTTGTTATCATGAGCATTATCTGCCTCCAACTTCCATTTGAGCTGGCGTATGCTCATACTTACGAGATTATCACATCCGATATAATCAAGTGAGGGCTTACTCATTTTCTCTTTACAAGCTCTACAACCTGTCCTGTGTGTTTAGCAATTTTGTTAGAACCATGACAATTTTTTTCTGTGATGGTTTCAGGTTTGTATTGACAGCTATCTACCTTCTAATCATTCAGTACCTCACGCGACTGGGAGGCAAAGTATCTGTCAAGCTGATAAATCGAGAAATCAATGAGAGTGTGGAATATCGAGCTAACAGCTTGATTTACAAAGTCAGGACATCATTGTTCACAGAGTCCTTTGCGAGTATTCATTGTTTCTCTTTTCTAATCATTGATATGGAAAATTTCGGCATTGCAGGTTTTTGGGCTCTATTTTATGCAGACATACATTGGGATCTTCTACCACGTTCTCTTACACCGAAACTTCATGACACTTCGACAAGTATTGCTACAACGGTTAATAATCTCACAGGTAACATGTAGATGCCGCTTCATTAGATACTCTACTTTGAAAATGTTTTCTTTGTTCCTTTTTTGGTAATATAATTTGAACATGTTGATACCAACATATGTTTGAAATTCAATTTTCTGCAGGTTTTCTGGACCTTGATGGATGGTTCTTTGCCTTACCTTAAGTACAGCTACAGAAAATTTAGAGCTAGGTACGCAATTTATATCATTCGTGCAAGCAGTGTCAGAAATCTTGAGCAATGTCTGAAACTACTTTCTTTTTCCAGGAAGAAGAAGAAAAGTGAAGGTGGGCCATCAACAGGAAAGATACAAATAGCCTCAAGAGTTGAGAAGGAATATTTCAAGCCTGCATATTCAGCAAGCATTGGTGTAGAACTTGAAGATGGACTTTTTGATGGTATTGTACTTATGAAGTCAATGATCTTGGGTTTTTTAGATGTAGCTTGCAAATATCTCAGCTAAAAAAATTGAACTTTGCTTTTGCAGATTCCCTCGAGCTTGCCTTGCAGTTTGGAATGATCATGATGTTTGCTTGTGCCTTCCCTCTTGCTTTCGCCCTTGCTGCAGTGGTAACAGTTAACATTTTTGTCAATTTCATCTTTATGCTTTTGGAGTTTTTGTTACTTACAATATGTCGTACACAGAGCAATATAATGGAAATAAGAACAAATGCTTTAAAGCTACTGGTCACACTGCGAAGACCTCTTCCTCGTGCTGCTGCAACCATTGGAGCTTGGTTAAACATATGGCAGGTAACTTTGATAGCAAGCTTTATATATTTCGATCCTATACCGCTGCTTTTATGTCGCTGCACCGAGTGATTTATTTCTTGTGTGTTTCAGTTTCTAGTAGTAACGTCCATATGCACAAACTCGGCGCTCTTGGTGTGCTTATACGATCAAGAAGGCAAATGGAAGATCGAGCCAGGGCTCGCTGCAATTCTCATCATGGAACATATACTCTTGCTTCTGAAATTCGGACTCAGTCGTCTTGTCCCTGAAGAGCCTGCTTGGGTTAGAGCCAATCGCGTGAAGAATGCGACGCAAGCACAAGACATGTACTGTAAACAGCTCTTGAGAAGCATCTCTGGTGAATTTGCCTCCATGGCAAAAACTCAACAAGAACCACAACAAGAGTCGGAGCAGTTTGACATGAAAACATAGAATCAAAAAAAACCAAGAGGCTCTTTTTTTGTGTGCGCGACAGTTTGATCTTTTGTTGCGTCCTTTTGTGCATAAGAAAATGTGTGATATCTTGAAGACTTTGTATAGACAGATCTATCTCTTATTTTGTTTGTAATACGTTGAACTATCAACTAAGAGGAGATCAGTTTAAACTATGTTATAAATTTATAATCATGGGTCAAAGCTCTAGAGAAGAACAGCCCTAAACCATAATCAACAGAAAATGTTGTCCTGTAATTTCGATTACTTGCGAAGATCTCTTATAATATTATGAATTAACATTTGTGTACTTCATGAATGGTTGCAGACTTGTAGTAGTACTTAGGAAACAATCTCATTATGATCACGAGTCTCGTAAAGATGAAATTATTAGAGCAATAATTCTCTCTTTTTGGGTCAAAGATATGATATTTTCTTTTCGTTTAAAGATGATTATTTTTGTTGATGTCATTTGTCAATTTCTCCTTTTAGATTAGTGGAAATTTCTTTTGTGAATGGTCAGGTTACAGTTACAGATATTTTTTTCACCTAATTAAATTATCAAATGTTTTTTTGTCTTTCATTATAGTTTCAACGGTTTTATTTATGATGCTATTAAAACATATATCATATCGGGCAATTTAAAAATACCACATTGAAGATTTTTGTTTTATATAGTTAACCTCAATATTCAACAATGCCACCTAATTGAAGTTTATAAAAGGTTCAAAATTTATAGAAAACGTTCTTTTACTACAGTTGTAGTAACTCTTTATAAACCAAAAGTTTGTAGCATTTGAGGCTACATCGTATTTTTGTCAACCGTATATTGCTCGTTCAAAACTCAAACGATCTCTACAAATTATAAGAACTAGTTTCCATGATATAATCGCCATAAGACTGTTTAGAAATCCCACCAATCTCAATGATTTGCTTTCTCAAATCAAATGTGTGGAAACAGTAAGCAACAGGAAAACATATGAAAGAGACGTAACTTGTACAAAAGTTTTAGAAAACAAATATAACAACAAATGAAGGTAAAGCGAAAAAAAAGAAAGAAATAAATATGAAATAACATGGAGTCATGGACGATTGATTGATTAATTTTGGAACCCGTGATCTATTAAAATAACAAAGAGACAACGTCGTGGCCTATATGCATGCTGTTTATTTTTCAGATAAAGCATATGACTAAACAATTTTATATCAAAATATTTATATGGTTTATTTTATTTTCTGTCACCCAAAAATATATAATAAAATGAGATTTTAATGTTAGCGTGTATTAGTGTTGTTGATGTGTTGATCCGGCCGTTCAAATTCGAAAAAAAGTGCGTTTGTATAAACGAAAAAAAAAAAAGATACTCCATGCATAATGTATATTTTTTCTTAATGAATCTCAAGTTTATTCAATAAAAGCCATTTTTACTACATGTATAATGTAATGTTGTTCAGCTACACCTGTATATATATATATATATATATATATATGAGTTCTCTCCACAGCACACAGTCACACACCTCAAACGTCGCGTAAAATGTGTAAACTATAGTTATTTTTAATTATTATTAGACCTAGATTATTGGACTGCACGATACTTGGGAACTTGGCAGCTTTGTTAAGTGGGAATCAGATTTAATGGGACACGCATGACATGTCACAAACAGAAAAGGACGAATCTTGTTAACACTTTTTAACTGTTTCGACCACAATATAATTGATATTTTCTACAATATTCTCTAATTCTTTTTAATTAACATTCGTTGGAATTTTACAAAATCAGCCGGTAAGGCTTAATTATATTAACCACCGCATATACTCGCACCAAAAAAAATAGAATTTCTACTTTAGATTTTTCATATTTTGCTATGATTCTTCACGGACCTAGAAGGACTTTCACGAGCTATAGTGATGCTGATTCTCGGATAACGTTAGTGTTGTTAGGTTATGGAACAAATGTGTATGCGTGCGGACACAAGGAATTTCACGAGATTGTAGTGATGATTCTGGGATAACGTTAGTGATGTTAGGTTTTGGAATAAGTGTGTATGTGAAGATACTGATGTGATCTCAGGTAAAAAGAACTCTTGTAATCGCAGTACTCTCCGAATATTAAGCCAGACAGAGTAAAATATACTTATTCTATGTATTATTATTATGCGAAGGCACCATTAGCTTTTATCAAGTTAGATAGATAAACCATGCGAATTACAAAGGATTGTGTGTGTGGTCAAAACGTGAAATTTTATGAACCCTTTAATTAGAGTTCTACTTCTACCACTAAATTATGTGATTAACTGGTTAATTTATATGTGTTGTTTTGCTTTTTTATCCGCGGAGTAAATGCGAACGTTTGTGTTTGTTAAGTTCCAAACGCCGACGCGTCTTGTAAATCACAAATTACAAGGCAACGTGTTTCAAAGAGATCTTATTTGGTGGCAGCTTCTACGTTTGCCATTGCTGTAGTGTCACACAGATCCAACTTTATTTATTTATTGATTATTGTTTTTTTCTACAAAAGTAGTTCATAATTGACATGCACCGATTTTTTTTTTTAATGATACATGAATAGATTTCCAACGGTTTTCTTTATTGAAATATATCTATACAATTGTTTTTTTCGAAATGCATATGCTCAATAAATTTTCACATACGTTCTAGTATATGCTTATATTCTTAATCAATTTTTGCGTGCTGAAGAGAGATCATTCAAACTATTGTTCCTAAGTCCTAGAAATATACAAACTAATCCAGTCTTAAACCGTGGACTGTCTGTCTGATTTTGGTAAAACTTGTTGGTCGGGTTTCCGTAAAGTACAATTAAATACAAAAATAATTGTGATTAACGAAGGAATCAAGCGGATTAATAAAATGATAAGCTGTAGCTAACGAGGAAGGCTGCTTAATTAGATCATCCTTTAGTTTTTATACTCTAAATTACAAAAGTTTAAACTTCTTTTTAATGTATAAAAAAGTATGACTCGATTTTTGACAAAATTGTTTTTTATGAATTAAAATTTAGAAGAATCTCACCAAATGCTATATATCCTATAAAAATAAAATTCAGAATAATTATCAAAATCATTAAGGTATATAGCATAATTAAATTAAATTAAATATGAGCTTTATCAGGTTCCATTTAAAACTTTTTTTTGTCAACATCCATTTAAAACTCTCTCTTTTTTTTGACATCATCCATTTAAAACTTTTAATACTATTAATAGCAATATCTAGAATTTCATATGATATGTCAATATATTATTTAACAGTTTTTACAAAAATTATCTTTAAAAATCATGTATCACAAATTTTATAATTAATTTAGTTATTTGCCTTCAATGAAGGTGGATACATTTTAGTTAGGGAATATTCTTCTCTGATTCCCGCGTTACGAAAACCCACTCGGAAACTTCTAAAAAGGCAAATCAAAACCCAACAAAATCACCAGAGAGCTCTCATAGCCGTTGGATTAGCAAACGAGACCCAAGTTTGACCCACAAACGTCATCAAATCAACGGTTCAGAGATGAAATCAAAAAGGATTCTAATTTCTTCTTCTTCCTCTTTTTTCACCTTGAGGTAATATTCCATTGGCATCTCCAAGAAAATTCCTCATTTTAGTTTTGTATAAATACCAAACCGCATTTCTCTCTTCCTCAATCCACAAACCAACAAGAGCTCAAGAAATCCCATCAACCATTTCATATTTTCTCAAGACAATTTGTGAGAAATGGCTTACAATAGCAAGAACAAGAACAACATTGTCGTTGTCTTCGACTTCGACAAGACCATCATCGACGTTGATAGCGATAATTGGGTAATCGATGAACTTGGCTTCACTGATTTGTTCAATCAACTTCTTCCCACCATGCCTTGGAACACACTCATGGTTTGTTTTGTTCTTACCTTCTTTCCTCTGTTTTTTATTTTTCAAAAATCTTCTTAAATTTTCGAAATAAACATGTTTGGTTTCATTTCTTCTATGTTATTCAGATTTCCGGTTTTGTGATATTCCCCATAATTCTTTATTGAAAAAAAAACTCTCTAGTTTGTTTTTCTTGCAATTTTGTTCATATACCATCTTGAATTTCGAATGAAACTCAAAACTAATTATAACCAGTGAATTGTTATTTTACAAAACAGGATCGTATGATGAAAGAGCTTCATGATAAAGGCAAAACAATGGAGGAGATCAAACAAGTCCTAAGAACAATCCCGATCCATCCACGGGTCGTCCCTGCCATCAAATCTGCACATGATTTAGGGTAATCCACATTATTATTTTGGATACATTCTGTTGTTTTCTTTTCCCTATTAAAAAGATATGTCTAATGTTAGACAAAAACCCACCGTTTCTTAACCGACATTTACGGGTTCGGTTTCCAGGTGTGAGCTTAGGATAGTGAGCGACGCGAACATGTTCTTCATCGAGACCATCGTTGAGCATCTAGGGATCAGTGAATACTTCTCTGAGACCAACTCAAACCCTGGATTTGTCGATGAACATGACACGTTGAGAATCTCTCCTTACCACGACTTCACTAAATCCTCTCATGGTTGCTCTCATTGCACTTGCCCTCCTAACATGTGCAAGGTAAATTTAATTTTATTATTAAAGAAAAAAATCAGTCAGAACATGTCGTCTCCATGGTACCATTTTGGTGACTTCTAAATATTAAACCATATCTTGATCATTATGTGTAGGGTTTGATCATTGAGAGAATTCAAGAATCTCTAGCTAAAGAAGGGAAGAAGAAGATGATCTATTTAGGAGATGGAGCTGGTGATTACTGCCCGAGTTTAAAACTAAAAGCTGAAGATTACGTGATGCCACGTAAGAATTTCCCGGTTTGGGATCTGATTAGTCAAAATCCTATGGTGGTTAAAGCAGCGATTAGAGAATGGACCGATGGTGAAAGCTTGGAGAGGATATTAATGGGAATAATCGAGGAGATTAGATTGGATGGAGAGAAGGAGAAGATGTTGGCTAGTGTGGAGAGTAATTGCAAGATGCAGACGATCTCTGTCGGGATTAGTGCTCATCATGAACCAATATTGCCTCGTGCTCTTCGAGTTTCTCAGTCTAGTTAGATGTTTTTAATTTAGTGGAGGAAGAAGAATAAAAACCCGTGGTGAATTTTCTTCTTCTGCTTAATTAATTCGTCGTATTCCCAAAAAAAATATTGGAATTTATCCTAATATAATATGGTGTATTTTTAAATTGCAATAAGATTGTGAATTTTGGTTTAACAATAGTTACTTCCTTGGTTATTTGGTTGGTATGTAATATATACTAGGTGATCGGCCTGCACGGCAACAAAATATTTTATATATTCAATTATGATTATAGTATTAAAAATGTTTCATTTGTATATGATTATTATGTATTAATAATAAAATAAAAATAATGACAAATTATATTTTAAATATTATATATTTCAATAGAAAATGAAGATAAAAAATCTTAACTAAGATTTTAAAACATTTTTTGGATAAAAAATATAAATATAATAACTAAATAAACAGGAAAACATTAAAATGTATAATAAATTTTTAAATTTTATTTTCTGCAACCGTTATGTTTTGAGAGGATGCAGTTATTGGCGTTTAACAACAATCACAGAAACCGTTTCTATCATTTTGTATTTAATCAAAATTTCTTATTTTTCAGCGTTTGATGATATGTAGTTTCTCAATAAAAATATTATAAAAATTTGTTATAAAATTTGTGAAATCATATTTTATAAAATTCTCTTGTAGCTCTCCCCTCATCTCTTCGTCAAATATTTTTTTATAATCCGTAGTCGCTTGCTTTCACAAACTCTGTGAAACCGAATCGTTTAAACCAATCAAATCTAAACTTATATGTATGTGTATGATTTATGGTGTAAAATAATATATTTAATATTTGATTGTTATTAAAAATTCAGAGTTTATATGTTCCTAACTTTAATATATTTGTTCATATAAATTATAATTGATCACAACATATACAAAAACATGATTTATGAAATAATGTTTTAATATATTAGAAAAAGTATATGCATTAAAGAATTAATATGTGTAAGATAATATTTTTAAATATTAAAAACTTAAATTCAATCAAAATTGTTCTTATTTTTTTTATCTTCTTTGACTCATACTTTTTTTCTTAACATTTAATAATATATTAAATATTAAGTTCATCTCCAATATATTTTTCTATTTTTTCCTCAAAAATATAAGTGGAATTCTCTCCAACCTATTTCTATTTTAGAGGAAAATTTTTTTTTTATTTTTTCCTCCAATTATATAGGAAAAAATAACAACCTTTCTGGTTCTTCTAAATTAGAAGATTTAAAATAAAGGTGGTTGAAGATGCTTTAAACCAAAAAGATAGCCTGAGATTTTTACATAAAACCAAAATCATAAAGATTCATTTTTACTTTTACTTCTACTTTTTATTCATATATACAATATTATAATAAAAAGTTAGCTAACAGAATATTTATAATTTATTTTTCTATTTGTTTATTTTTTGTTTTATTTATAATTACGAATTCTTGCTATATAATAAGAATTCATTTATATATCATATAAATTTTTCTTATTTAAAAATGAGATTTATTTAGTTTTAACTTAACCAGTAAAAATATTTTATTTATTTTAGGAAATTTGTCATATCACATTTATGAGGTGACATTGTTTTGTACTAACTTTTGTTAAGGTGATGACACATCAGATTTTTTCATTAAACATGCTTCTCAAATAATAGTTAAGATTTTTTATTTAACCGCATATTAATTAATGCCTCAGTGTCATACTGAAAAAAAATACAGTTTGTTTTGAAATAAATTTTACATTGCGGTCCTTACTCCTAATGATAAACCTCCATATGATTGTGTACTGCGTGATTAATCTAAATGTTTAAAGATTTTATAATTTCAAATATAGAAGTTTGTATTATCCAGTCCACGTGAGCCGTAGAATCCATTTGCATCCCATGCGGTCCCAAATTTTCATATACGGAATCCTACTTCGAATCATTTGACACGAATATTCTTCATGTTGTTGCCATACTCATACGTGTATTCGTCTTCTTCCATGGTTTCAAAGTTTTTTGTCAAATGCCGAAAGCAGATGCCACCAACTTTCTAGGCCCTAGACTATCACACAAATTCTACTGATTATTACGATTTTGTGTTTTCAAATCTATTTTTTTTTACATCGATGATTATATATTCCTTAGTCGATACTTTAAATGTTTATTCGATTCTATATATTTTAACTTGATGATTATTTTTGTTAGCCAACAAAAAAAACCTCCGTTATATTTTCTTCCTGATGGAACTTGTTTTTGACGAAATAGTTTTAAACTGTTTCCGGTGAGTTTTCGGCGAAGACGTGAAGACGTAATAACCGAATGTTAGGCACGATGAAATCGTAACCGTAAGCATTATATTATATAATGTTATCAACTGTCAAAATTGGAGTTGGTTTGAATGAGAAATGGAGATCTAAAGTGGGTTGCTTGTAAAGTTTTAAAAATATAACATTTTTTTAATGTCACACTTGGAAGTTATAAATGAAATTCCTCATATATATAAAGCGGAGATTTTTTAATACACATTAGTGTATTGTAAAGAGAGAAAATACACAAATTGGATTTGAACTAGTTCTAAACTTCGAGATTTGGCTAATAGGCCAATAAATCAAAAAATTATATTTTTAGAATAGATTCTTTTGATGTTGTTGTTAATAAATTCAACAAAAGAATCTCTCTTATTGATATCGGTCATATAGACTTTAAAGTACAAAATCATTTTTGATTTGTGTAACTTAAAATGTTTAATGCATGACTAAGTAATGATAGTGAGATTAAATTCTCAATCTTCCTTTATTAGCATAAACGTATCATAACGTATAATGATGTACGTTATGTGTTGAACGTTTGTGTTGACAAAAGTTTGCTATATAAACAAGCTATAAGCTCCTTTTCTATAACACACACAACACAATTATAATACAATCTCCTACTTCTTTTTTTTTGTGTGTATGAGAGTACAACATATTATTAGGTTTGTTAGATTCTATTTTTGAGTGCTGCAAAATAGTCTATCATGTGATTGTATCCTGGAATTCTGATTGCATAATACAGTCACACTACGGGTAATTAAAGAATTAAGGAAAGACTCGTCTCCACACACAAATCCTTCATAGTTTATCAATAAGCGGTATTAACCATTGTATTTTTACTATTTACTTAGGTTTTGTTTGTTTTTGCATCCAGTTACTTATTTGGATGTAAATGCTTAAATATTGGTCTTTTAAATATTTATAAATTAGTATATGGATGTTGTATCTGGATACAAAATCTATAATATCTCAAAAATTGAATATTTAAAATGCTAAAAAATAGAGTGGATGCAATATTTGAATCTCAAAAATTAAAAGGCCAAAACACCTTAATTTGAACGACAAAATCAAGTTTTTTTTTTTGTCAAAACCATAAAATCATAGTTTTCTATCGAAATAAAAGCCGCATTTTCCCGCAAAATCGTAAAATTACGTTGTTATACCAAAACCAAGAATTCTCATAGAAACTGCAAAAAACATTTCATCAAACCGAAATTTCCTGCAAAAACTGTAAACTATATTTATTAACAAAACCAAAAATTATGTTTTCCCCCAACACTATAAAACTGTATTCTATGGCCAAATTTCTAAAATTACGTGTTTTTTTTTTTAAACCTGCAAAATTGCAATTCTCGTTAAAACTGCAAACTTGTATCATTAATAATATCCACAAAACCATTTTTTCCATCAAAACCTATAAAACCTGCTAAAATATGTAAACCTCGTAAAATCCACAAAATCAAGTTTTTCGCCAAATCCACAAATTCTTCTTTTCCGTAAAATCGGGTTTTACGATCAAATTTTTAAACTCATTTGTTTCTGCCAAACCTGCAAAATCGAGTTTCCAAACCTGACAAACCCGCATTTTCTTGCATAATTACATTTTCTGCTAAAACCCGTAAAATCCATAAAATCTTTAAAATTGTGTTATTCGCATTATGCAAACCCGTGTTTTTCCGTTAACTCCGCAAAATCTGCAAAATCATAATTTATGACCAAATTTCTAAAATCATGTGTTCTTGCTAAATTTACAAAAGCATATTTCTTGTCAACCCGATATTTTCTCGTAAAACTATGTTTTCTGCTAAAACTTATAAAACCCACTAAAATTTGTAAAACCCGTAAAATCTATAAAATTGTGTTTGTCAAATCTGCAAACCCATGATTTCCTAATAAAAAATCATTAAAAAACCAGAAAAAATTATTTACATAATATTTTTTCATTGTATGTATATATGTAACCAAAAAATAATGATTACATATTTATCATTAAATATAAATTGTCATCTTTAGTAAATATCATAGTAGCTTTTAGACATTTTAAAGTAGTGCTTTTCTTTTAATAGTATAGAAAAAAAATTGATTATAATATAATATATATTTAATTTATAGTATAATGTATATAATTATATTAGTTACTCATGCCATACATAATATGTGGTAATTATGTTAAAATATTATGAAAGATTTTAATAAAATTTTGAAATTAAATTAATTTGAATTTTATTAGTATCATATATAATTTATTGGTATTATCTGTTAACAAACTAATATAATTTAATTTAATTTAATATATTTATTAACAGTTTAATGATAAGACTAAATTACTCTTAATGAATTAATGAAATTGTCTAGTAAATATAATGGCACATTTGGTAAATACCATGGTAGCTTTTGGATATTTCAAATTAATGATTCTCTCCTTCTTCTTCGATCTCTTCTTCGAATATCAGCTTCAGTATCGAGAGGCGAGTGACAACCAAGTGTTTCGAGCTTCAGTCCTTTCGGCTTCTCTTTAGTCTGGGTTTGCTCATCATTCTTCCCTCACCTCAAGCGCTGTTCTCGCAGGATCTTTGCTGTCAAGTCCCTTGGCGTAAGTTATAGCAATGTATACTTTGTTAACTGATTTTTCTTTTCTGGGTTTCTGTCAATAAGCTTAGCTTCGTGAACAGTCGGATTGTTGTAACTTGTAAATA